TAAATATTCTGCACTTACCTGAAAGCGGATGGTGACTGCTATGGAAATAAATCAGTCGCAGAGGTTGTGGCATTTCCAGTAGCAGCCCTGTAGCAGGCAGTGACTGGAGCATCCAGCAGTCCTGACACCAGTGCTGGGATCCTACAACTAGAGACTCTAACCCCAAAAGAGGGTTTGTTTTATTCTAAGGCTAATGCTACATTCAGACCAGATGCAGCAGAGGTAGCAGGAGCAGCTGCTTTACATGCAAAGTTATTGCTTAAAGCACATCAAGGTGCAGCAAAAGGTCCTGCAGCAAAGCAGCGCGTCTGACAAGCTAATGCAACAATGCGCTTCAGAGGCTGCAGCTGCTGGGTTCAGTTCAGTAGCTTTTATTTGTCCCAGTATGGGCAATTTTGTGCAGTAGTAGTGCACCTTTCACACACGTTCACATTTCACAAATCACAGATAAAAAATAAAAGAAGCACAAGAGACACATAAATATTTAAAAAGATAAAGGTAAGGTGGATAAAAGAGACAGAAATGTAAAAAATAATAAAAAGTAAATAAATATGTGCAAATGAAAGCATAGACCTGAATGCATGCAACATATGGCTATCTGCTTTTCCTGGTAGAGTTTAGCAGCTGAAGAGCAGAGGGAATAAAGGAGTGTTTGGGTTGGAAGAATGTAAGTTTATCTGCTGGATGCGCCTCATCAACCAATGAGAGAAGCTGATCTGGGAGCTGGCAGGGAGTCAGACGCAGCACTGCTGATGCAGAGCGCTATGATCACTCCTCTGAAACAGTTTAACGCCTAAATTTACTTCAAATGTAGAAACCTGCCGGCAGAATATGTTGGAAGAAATTAGGCTTTTGGTTCATAGGGAACTCAGGGTAACATTTTGGATGAGTTAACTAAATAAACAGGACCGTTTGTCTACAAAAATAAGATTAATAAAAAGCCAAACAGGAACAGACCAGTGAAGCTACTATGAAAAAAGAGAGAGCAGAACGTTAGAGATTGAACTAACAGATTCTGCAGAGTGGGAGAATAGAGATAGAATGAAGCAGAATGATGAAAAAGGGGTCCCTATGTCCTCCAGCAGTCTAAGCCTATAGCAGCAGAACTATAGAGATAGCTCATGATAACCTGAGCCACTGTAACTACACTCACCGGCCACTTTATTAGGTACCCCATGCTAGTAACAGGTTGGACCCCCTTTTGCCTTCAGAACTGCCTCAATTCTTGGTGGCATAGATTCAGCAAGGTGCTGGAAGCATTCCTCAGGGAGTTTGGTCCATATTGACATGATGGCATCACACAGTTGCCGCAGATTTGTCGGCTGCACATCCATGATGCGAATCTCCCGTTCCACCCCATCCCAAAGATGCTCTATTGGATTGAGATCTGGTGACTGTGGAGGCCATTTGAGTACAGTGAACTCATTGTCATGTTCAAGAAACCAGTCTGAGATGATTCCAGCTTTATGACATGGCGCATTATCCTGCTGAAAGTAGCCATCAGAAGTTGGGTACATTGTGGTCATAAAGGGATGGACATGGTCAGCAACAATACTCAGGTAGGCTGTGGCGTTGCAACGATGCTCAATTGGTACCAAGGGGCCCAAAGAGTGCCAAGAAAATATTCCCCACACCATGACACCACCACCACCAGCCTGAACCGTTGATACAAGGCAGGATGGATCCATGCTTTCATGTTGTAGACGCCAAATTCTGACCCTACCATCCGAATGTCGCAGCAGAAATCGAGACTCATCAGACCAGGCAATGTTTTTCCAATCTTCTATTGTCCAATTTCCATGAGCTTGTGCAAATTGTAGCCTCAGTTTCCTGTTCTTAGCTGAAAGGAGTGGCACCCGGTGTGGTCTTCTGCTGCTGTAGCCCATCTGCCTCAAAGTTGGACGTACTGTGCGTTCAGAGATGCTCTTCTGCCCACCTTGGTTGTAACGGGTGGTTATTTGAGTCACTGTTGCCCTTCTATCAGCTCCAACCAGTCTGGCCATTCTCCTCTGACCTCTGGCATCAACAAGGCATTTCCGCCCACAGAACTGCCGCTCACTGGATGTTTTTTCTTTTTCGGACCATTCTCTGTAAACCCTAGAGATGGTTGTGCGTGAAAATCCCAGTAGATCAGCAGTTTCTGAAATACTCAGACCAGCCCTTCTGGCACCAACAATCATGCCACGTTCAAAGTCACTCAAATCACCTTTCTTCCCCATACTGATGCTCGGTTTGAACTGCAGGAGATTGTCTTGACCATGTCTACATGCCTAAATGCACTGAGTTGCCGCCATGTGATTGGCTGCTTAGAAATTAAGTGTTAACGAGCAGTTGGACAGGTGTACCTAATAAAGTGGCCGGTGAGTGTATAAGCTTTATCAGAAAGGAAAGTTTTAAGCCTAGCCTTAAAAGTAGACGGTTAAAATTCATGAACCCATCTGGAATCTCAGGCCTACCTCCTCAATTTTTTGTTGGACTAAAAAAATCAACTGTCACAGAAGATTCTGGAATTTCAAAAACATGGTTTTCACTGAGATCCGCTGTCACAAAATCTTAACACATCTGAAGAAGGTTATATAAAATACAAAGGAGTACACTTTTGTTTACCAAGTAAAACAAATGTATTTATTTTAATTCTTTTACCACAAATGATATGAGATCAGACGTCTGCGAGAATCTTCTGTAGCTCACATTGACCAGTGCGGTGCTGTTTCCCTGAGGATCGTCTCTTTACTACCAGTGTGCTCTTAATTTAGACTTTCCTCTCCAGTTACAGGCAGTTATTTTAAGCAGTTATGTTCAGAGGCGGTTAAAGAGTCCAGCTGTTGGAGTAGTGAGCCTCACATAGAGTGGTTTAAAAAAATTACTTATTTGATTGATCACAACTTTTAACAGTTGATTTATTTTCCCTTAATCCTTATTTTAGAGAAGGAGGGATTAAGAATCAAAGAACATGTCTGTTGGGTGAAAAACATGGCGCTGAACACTTTCAAAGCATTAAAACATTTAAAATGAATAAATCATAAAATAAAACAACTGATTAACCTCTTAACATCCACCTCATTTTGGGTAATCCTCGCATATTTTGCATACCCAAATGGAAAAGCAAATAATTTAGGAACTGTAAACCCAAATTACATGTGCAATACAGTATTTGAAAGCTAACGCCCTTTAGTTTCCTAATATATAAATTAAAATTGGGTGACTAGAACACAGACCAGTTTTTTTCATTCTCAGAAATCCATCCATTGTCTGACACGCTTGTCCGAGTGGGGTCGCGAGGGGTGCTGGTGCCTATCTCCAGCAGTCTATTCTCAGAAATTATAGGTCATCCTTGAGAAAAAGCGGGTTTTATTGTATTATATTTGTTCTAAATCATGTCAACCACAAATGCAGAACATTTCAGAGCTCTAGCTATAACAGTTCCAGAGCTGTGGGGTTTGGAACTGTTGGTGTCAGCTTGGAGCTGCGGCGCAATGGCTCCACCTGCTGGTAAAAAGTTTACCGGTGGAATTTTATGTGTTCTGAATTTTTAGAGGTCAAACATCAAGCTCCTAATATAATAAGCTGGGCCCCCACCCTTAGGATTTTAGTTAACGCCAGTGTTTTCATCATTTGAAATGCATGCTTGGATGTTAAATCCCATCAGCTTTCCTGTCAGCGTCACAGGCACTGATCTCTATTTATTCACTGGATTGCTGATTGGCGGAAAAAGTAAAGCCACTGTCCGCCATCTTGGTACTCCCCACTCCCACAGAGAAACGAAGTAAAATGCCTTCCTGTGCAGCATCTGGCTGCATAAAGCAGCAGTTTTCTGTCTGCAGGAAGATGTTCCAAAGGTAATTTCCCAGTCATATATATACATATATATATTACATGCATTACCAGACATGTAAAATGTAATTACCATAACAATTTAATAAATACATCCATATTACAAGTACTTCATCTATACAATTTAGCACTTTTGGCTCATCTCTATTATTCTGCTCCATTAACATTAATTTCATTGTGATGAATTTGTTTAATATTTTATATTACATGATTTATAGACTTCATAATGACAATGCAATGTGATGGGCCTATTTGGTGGGCCCGGTGGTCAGTGTGTCCAGCTGCTCCCCCACAACATCACCGGCCCTCCTGATCAGTTTGTTCAGTCTATTGTTGTCAGCGACCCTCAGCCCACTGCCCCAGCATGTGACAGCAAAGAAGAGCGTGCTAGCAACAACAGACTCATAAAACATCCTCAGCATCGCCCCACAGATGTTAAAGGACTTCAGCCTCCTTTAACACAAATTTAATTGTATTTTATTGAAGTTTTATTTGGAATTACAGAATTCAGAAAAGAGCTGACCATTTCTTTTTATGTAATCTTTTGCTTCTGTGGGCCAAACTTTATATCCATAAATGTAAAATTACTAGGACTAAACCCTTGTGTATTTCTTTGTTAAAGGAAGCAATTATTTATTTCTCTACATTATCCTCTTCCAATAACAAAAAGGCTGTTAAAACTTTATGTCTATGCTCTAAATTCCAAATATTTATGTAATCCATTTATATGCGTCTATGTCTTCACTTTACCATTTTTACGTTTATTCAGTTATTCTTTATTATTACTTTTTTTGTTCAAACCACTAAAGATTCTTTGAAATTTGTACTTATATCTTCTTATAGTACAAAATTATTTAATAAAGCTTAAAAAAAATAACTTTCCAAAGAATAACTCAGATTTCCGGCTTAACGTGTGGGTGAGGAGCACCTGAACGCCTCTCGCCGCTTCAGAACGCGCGCGCGCACAGGAAGTTCCTTTCCTATCGGGAACGCGAACCATGACGTAAGCTGCTTGCCGCGCAGCGATGATGGCGGTGCGTGAACGCGCAGTAAAAGCAATGGCTGCTGTGGATCGGCGGGTACCTAGCCTCGATGAATTCGTGGGTCAGAGCTGGACTGCCTGGGCGGACTGGGCCGGAGTGACGGCGGCAGACGGTGAGGAACCTCCCCGGCTCCAATATTAGCTGGTCTGGAGCATGGTAACCGGCCCGCCGCGGCTATTTTCCCTCTAAACGGATGGCAGAAGTTCCCATGTTACCCAAACAAAGACCCTGCCGGGTCCTAGTGCTGGGTGGGTAACAGCTTCTGCTACATCCACAGTCTGGAGGAAAAGCAGCCCTAATAGAAAGTCAAACATCAGTGCCGTGGGGTGTGTCGCTGTGCGGCCGTAGAGCAGGCTGCCGGCCGGCCGGCTAGCCGGGGCTGCAGCTGGTTGGTGGGTTAGCAGGCTGGCAGCAGGAGCAGCACAGCGGAAGGAAGCTACTCCTGCTGGCCGGGCGAACTACTACTAACCCCGGCAAGCTAAGCTAGCCCGCTCCGCTGCTACCCGGCGGTTAGCCTGAGCATGCTAATGCTAAGGCTAGCAGGGGGTGATGGAGGAGGAGGAGTCTGATGCTGTTAGCAGACGGTCCTCCAAGCCTGTCTCTGCTGCCGAGGAATCCTTCCACCTCCATCAGCATCCATCCGTCCATCCATGTCAGGCCAGAGGTCCAGCTGAACCAGCAGCTCCAGCTATCACCTGAAAATCCCTCCCTGAAGCATGGAGTCAAGCTGCCTGCTCGACCTTTTATGTAACAACCTGCAGGGATTTGTGAAAATGTGCATGGATGAGAACCAAACCATCCATTTTACAATTTGATAATTTGTTCCAGGAGCTGAAGGGGAGGACTGCAGCAGAAATGGGAAGAAGGCAGCAGAGGCCATGTCGCTCAGTAAGGAGGGTAAGTCCCCAGCCAGCTTTCCTTCAGTCTGAGCTCACAGACCTTCAGCAACATCTGAGGAAGTGACTCGGTTCCCCTCAGACCACACTTCCCATCCATGATCTGTACTTTTTCTTTTTGCCTTGTGATCAGACGCTCTGATCCACCTCATGAAGTGGATCAACAGCCGTAGGGTTGAAGGGTAAGGCAGGATGTAATGTCAGAAGGCAGGAGGAGCAGAACCACAGGTGCAGACAGAGCCGTGAAGGATCGGCGTGTGACGGGAGAAACCAGCAGAATCTGAATCCCTGAGCGTTTTGTTTTGGAAGTACTGAATGTATTTGGAGAGCTGAGCCAGGTAGGGTCGCTTCATGATCCCCGCTGCTTGGACTGCACATGAGATGGAGCAGCTACTCTAAGACATACCAGAACCAATCAATTACCTGATCAGCATTCAGGTCGTCCCATCAGATGTATCTCATCTTCCACCATTTTCTGTATATAAACACGTAAACCAGTAGCCACAAGTTTGATGTCATGATTTCTGTAATTCATTCAAAACCAGCAGGTCAGACAGAGATAAATGGAAACCAGTTAGAGCTCATGGTTCAGACCACTGATATGTGCCCGTTGGTAGCACAGGGTCGAGTGAAGCCATCGGCCGCCATATTGGTACTCCCTAGTTTGACTGGTAGCAATGTATAAAATCAGTGCGCTACAGCATCGAACCACGATGATGTTCTCGTTTTCAGGGGAACTGAAAAATAAAGATAAATTCATCACTTTGAAACTTAAACAGTGGCTGTTTCGTAGAATCAGTAGATTAACTTTAACTGAGAATAAAAAATAGGCCCATCACATGGCATAGTCATTATGAAGTCTATAAATCATGTAATATAAAATATTATACAAATCCATCACAAAATAAAGAATGTGTTAATGAAATAGAATAATCCAGATGAGCCAAAAGTGCTACAATGATAATGAACATGGAATATACATGGATTTATTACACACATATAATTATATATATATATATATAAATGTATATATTAGGCTCAAATGAGTTGCTTTTTTTCTGTCAAGAAAAAAAAATTATATATATATATACTAGGGATGGGACGATTTATGAAAACCGCCTTGGGAGGTGTCCTTTGAGTGGCCATCTGTGGGAGTGGGTTTTGAACTCACAACCTCAGTATTCAAAGCACTATGCTCTAACCACCAGGCCACCACTCCCCAAACCAAAGCTAAACAATTTAAGGTTTAAAATGTACAGAAGTGTTGATTAAAAGACAAGAAGCTGTGATCTGGACTAGATGTAGAGCTTTCAGTCCTTTAGTTGGTTCTACAGCCAGTGGTGCCACCAGGGGGCGGCCAAGGGTGCCTCCCCCCCCCATGGAACAATCCTGGAGGCGGCCCTGTCTGCAGCTGAGAGAATAAACGATGGCCTTCTCTAAATCAGAGCTCAATTAAGAAGAATTTTGAATGTGATGATTTAAAAACGCTGAATTTTCTCATTGCTTTAAGACTTCTGAGGAAACATGGCCTCCAAGTTTCTGCTGGAGAGCAATGATCACCAAACCACAAGCATTCGGTGTTCTGTTGGTTTGTTTTCACCTCACTACTGTTTAACGGCACTAATTAATGCAACACATCCTCAGAAAAAAAAATACCGCCATGAACACGGGAGCTTAAAGCTATAATCAGAGCTGGACCATTTGGCAAAAAAACTTTTTAAATTGCAGTATTTTCAACCAAGTTTATAAATAGCATTTTATTGCCTTTGCACTAAGCAGAACCCGGTATGTTTCACTCAAAGGTTTCAGATTTTTCAGGACCTTGAAAGCTTGCTTATCCAGAGGTTACAGTACTTTCTCCTTTTCCATGAAAAAGTTCGTCCTTCTGGCACCTTGCATGTAGCTGTGCGCTAGCTGCAAAAGGCTCTGCCCTTCTTTGTGGCGACAAACCAACTTTAAATGTATAACGGACACTTTAAAGGCTACAGTGAGACGTTTAGTGCCTTAATCCTGGTGAATGAATGGGACCAAGTTGCGCTTTGAAAATTGTTTTGCTAAATGAAGTTGATGCGATAAATATCCCAGCCCTCCCTATGATCCAATAAGAGAGAGAAAATGAAGGGATTTCTAACGCAGTATTTCTGCACCTTTTCCTCTTATGGCAGACATGTCTATCTTCGGCCTTTACCCCGGCCACGACGACTTCTACTTGGTGGTGTGCAGCCATTGTGGCCAAGTGGTGAAGCCTCAGGCCTTTGAGAAGCACTGCGAGCGGAGACACGGTCCTCTGGCCAAGCTCTACGGAAAGCTCCGCTCTCCCACGCCGGCCCCCCAGCTCCAGAGACCCTACCACGCCCACTCCCCGTCACACGGGATCAACGCCCCTTCTGCTTCGTCGTGGGAGGGGCGGGGGCCGAACGTCGTGCCGCCCAGGGCCGCCCCGCCCTCACCTTCCACCCCGCCCCAGTACAGATACTCCAAGAACTCCAAGGATGGAGTCCGGTAAGAGATGGGAGCAGAGTTCATGACTCAGAGCTGTTAGCTGGCTAAGATAGCATCACATGTAGCCACGCGCTCAGCCTGGCCTCTTATTTCTAAAGGTTATTACGCATCTAAGATGGAGGATTAGGAAACATCTGAATGTGCAAAAAAAATACAAATCTCAATAAGTTTTTTTTTTTTTTTTTACTGATTTTTTTCCTTGAATTTAGGAGGTAAGTGAGACACTTAGCCAATGAAACAAGGATTTACATTTAAAATAAGTTAAATTAATAACAGTCGCATTGTCTTCTTTCAAGTGCATATTAAAGGAATAGTACACCCAAAACATGATTAGCCTTCATTTTCTACTCACCCCCATGCTGAACAACACTCTGGAGTACTTTTTTGATATCTCAAATGCATCTGGAGATCTGGGAGGCTTCTTGCTGTCTGCTGACATTCAAATAATGGAGGTCTATGGCGCCCCAGGCAGAAAGGTCCATAAAAGTCCACAAAAAACGTGTCAATATTCCTCCATACTGCTCGTCCAATGTATTCCAAGTGTCCTGAGTGGGTAGCGTCCAGAATTTACTCGAAACAAAGTCATTTAGAAGGTTTTTAGAGCATAAACAGTAGTGTATAGGATTTCCTAAAAGCGCGTTCACGAGTCTACGGAAGCCGGCAGACCAAACCAGATGAAAGTGCGCATTCAGCGTCTGCTCTGCCGATAATGCAAACGTAGAAGAAGAAATGTGCCGTTTACCTGTGCAAAGAAAGAGACAACGAAAGAAAAATGTCTGAGGACTTCAGTGTTGAGGAATAGCATGAGTTCTTTGCCGAGCTGAATGCGCACTTTCATCTGGTTTGGTCTGCCGCGGTTTCCGTAGACTCGTGAACGCGCTTTTAGGAAATCCTATAAACTACTGTTTATGCTCTAAAAACATTCTAAATGACTTCGTTTCGAGTAAATTCTGGACGCTACCCACTCAGGACACTTGGAATACATTGGACGAGCAGTATGGAGGAATATTGACACGTTTTTTGTGGACTTTTATGGACCTTTCTGCCTCGGGCGCCATAGACCTCCATTATTTGAATGTCAGCAGACAGCAAGAAGCCTCCCAGATCTCCAGATGCATTTGAGATATCAAAAAAGTACTCCAGAGTGTTGTTCAGCATGGGGGTGAGTAGAAAATGAAGGCTAATCATGTTTTGGGTGTACTATTCCTTTAAGTGCATATAAATTGTAATTATTTTGAACTAATATTGCGATTTTACTGCAATATTTCTTTGCACCAAGCAAAAACCATGCCGATGTTTTACTCCAGGATTTCAGTTTTTCTGTGACCTTGAAATTCTGCTTGTTCAGGATTTAGAGCTGCAGGTCTTTACTGTAACATCTGGATGATAAAGTTCTTTTTTCTACTATAATGCATAGATCTATGTACTAGCTGCAGCTCTCTGTGCAACAGCATCCCCACTTTCATCGTATTACCGCCACCTAAGAGGGAAATCTAGTGTCTTAGTCTTGTTAAATGTATTGTGAGTAAAATGTTACATTTAGAGCCTCTGCGATCCAAAAATTTTTTTTTCAAATTGCGATAATTTTCCAAATGCAGTTAATTACCCAGCCCTAATTTCTAGGTTGCTTTTGCAGTGGAATTAGCTAATCTAGATGGAATATGACAATTTTTTGCCCAGACTAAATCTACATCTCACCAGAGATGGCAAAAGTACTCACTTTCCGTACTTGAGTAAAAGTAGAGATACTTGTGTTAAAAAATACTCTGGTAAAAGTGGAAGTACTGATTAAACTTCTTCACTCAAGTAAAAGTAACAAAGTACAGGCTTGTAAATTTACTTAAAGTATAAAAGTAAAAGTAGAAACCACTTTTTTCATGCCGTTGCCTACATTTTAAATGGATGTCTGCCAATAGGACTAGATCTCCGTTGTGTTCATTTTCAATCATCTCGTCGTCCATGCTACTATGCTAACGCCACCGCCACCAAGCTGCAATGATTTGCCGCCAATGAATACCGCCGAATCTGTCGATTCATCTTGTAGCGGTGCGCCAAATGCAACGTAGATTCCCATCCAATTAGATAGAATTTGGTATTGATGACGTGAAAAATAATAACGGTAACTCCATTGAAATGATTCAAAACTAAAGTAACGAGCCATTTTTTTAAAATGTAAGGAGTAGAAAGTACAGATATTTGTGTAAAAATGTAAGGAGTAGAAGTAAAAAGTCGCCATAAAAATAAGTAGTAAAGTAAAGTAAAAATATCAGAAAAATCTACTTGAGTACAGTAACGAAGTATTTGTACTTCGTTACTTCCCATCTCTGCATCTCACAGTGCTGCTCGTCTAGATTTGAGCTAGTTAGATGTTCTCCGTTCCAGCTGTTAAAGAAGACTTTTTAGCGTTGAAACAATCCTCTTTGAGTTTGTCCTCAGCTTAAAGCCAGGCCAACACTGTACGATTTTATCCATCGTTGCGTGCAGCTACAGCTCACAGCGTACGATGAAAGCGCGGGGTTTAAAAGTTCGCAGCTCACCATGACGCTCCTTTCTCCTGACCTTACCATTCCTGATGGGGAGGTGGTCGTTAGAGGCTGATCAAGGCAGAAAGTCGGCTAGCTTGGAAAATTCTTGCATGACTGGAAAATCAGCCCGAAAAGGGCGAAGAATCGTACAGTGTACGGCCGGCTTAAACCTGCTGGTAGATCAGGTGTGTGAAGGTGGCATTGTTTTTTTTCATGCGGCGTCTCTGTCCTCAGCGTGCTAACATTAGCCTGCCATGCTATCGCCATGACTGCAGCCAGTCCGACAATCTCAGCAGGATTATACATTTGAAACTCCACCACGTTTAGAAAATGATTGGGTGAAATTCTCCATGGGTCTGAGCGCTAAACGTGCTAATGCTACCATGCTGGATGGAGCTATAATCAGTCCAGCCTCTGAACATGCCTCCACTGTGGAATTATCATATTCATCTTCCTCACACTCACTAATTGTTTTCCTGTTGGCTGCGCTATAAACCATAAAATATCTGATCAGCTAACTGATTAAACACAGGGACGGTTTATCTTTGGAGGGATGGACAGCCGGCGTGGAGCAATGGCCGCCTATATGCTTTGATATATCAGGATCTTTTTTTGGGATGCCTAGCCTGCTAGTAGATATCATGCAGTATTTATAAACCCGGCAGGTCCAGGGCCGCCGTCCTGCAACAATCATCTGTCTATGGAAGTCAGCTGTGCTGAAGGAAGGGGAACCTCTAAACCCTGCTGGACGGACGGCTCTGAGCTGCTCTGCATCATCATGGGTTCCCCTTCAGCCCCTCTGGTCGCCATGACTCTGTCTCTGAGCGAGTCTCACCAAGCTGATGATGCTGTTTTTCCTCCTTCGTCACCCAGACATTCCCCACTAGAGAAGTCGTTCCACAGCAGCCACAAAGAGCCAGCAGTGTTCAAGCAGCCGCCGCTTCTGGAGCCTCCGGTCCTGTCTCCGCCTCCGTCGCTTCGGGATCCGCCGTGGCCACATGGAGCGCCCTCTGCTGGCAGGCCTCCATCCAGCGACAAGCAGCCCACGCAGAGGAAGGACTCTGCTCAGCTGTCTGCAGCCATGGGCCACCGGGTCCCCCGGCCGTACAACAAGGTGGCCTCCAGTAAGTTCAGCAGCAGAGGGGATGATGGGTAAAAAAAAAAAAGATGGCGTCCTGTTATGTCAGCTTGGTCTGAGTCGGGATAAGTTAGTCTGATTTCAGACACGTTTGATCTGTTGCCATGGTGATATGTTTGGAGCAGATGGCATCCACTTGCTGAGAGGGAGGAGTATGTTGGCATGGAAACAACGGTTGCTAAGCATTTGGTGTTGCTGATGTTGAGTGTTTTGAAGGAAGCAATGAGAAGCTAAAGAATCAGAAGCTTTTGATCCGTTTAGTTTAAGAACAACAATTAACCCAGAAAGGAAACTTTCACAAACATTTAATAAAAAAAAAAAAGTTTTTAAAGTAACTTAGCTATTTTCTCAGATTTATTTAAATTCATATTTCAAATGTGTTTGAATTATATATATTTTTTTAGAGATTGTATATTTTCATCTTATTTCAGTTTTTCAAGTTGCGTTCTTTTAAACTCACAATTTCTTTTTTCCTTCTGGTGCTCATCGACCAATCAGAACGTCCCACCGACCAACAGGGTTGTTTCTTTGCTCCCAGAAGTGAGGAGATTGTGATCTGGAAAGTTCCTTTTGAAATGTGTCATTTTTAAAACAGCCTGAAAACAAAAATATCTATATACATCATAAAATATGGCTCTTTTCTTGGACCCATCCGTCGAATGCGGTCGATTTTTAAGGTTTGATTTGGAGCATCACATCCCCCAGTTTCCCATGATTCATTGCAGGTCAAGCTTGGACAACAATGGAGGTGAATGGTGGAAAAAAGTGTTATTAAAATTAATATATCACATCTTTTTATGACCCAAAATCCAGAGTTTTCAGGTCAGAATGCAGCTTTGTTAAACTGGGTCCAGATTTCACTGCACTAAAGAGCTCCCTCATTTTCCTGATACCTGAGGATGTCCTAACAGAGACACCGTAGCAGAACTGCTCCTTGGTTTTTAACACACCACATCATGTGTATGGTTTTTTTACTTTGCTAGTTTTCTAGTTCCAGTCTCATGGGCATTTTCAGTGTAATTATTTTAAACCCTGATTAAACCTTGTATCTGCGTTCATTCCACCGAGGACAGCTGAGCAAACCACTTCAGGGGACGGTTTACTTCTGTCTCAGAGGTCTGGATGTTTTAGTCAGTGTTGTGCCTGAACGCGTTCATTGAACGAAAGTTCATGAACTCGTTCATATTTTGGGCGAACGTGAACTGAACGTACTGCATTATTGCCTGATGAACGTTATTGTGAACTCGTTCATTCTGGTGTCTGTGAACGGCACGCTCTCTCAGTTCAACTCCGTTCAATAGGTTGCCAGATTTCTATAAAGCCCTCCAGGCGAAACCCCGGCTAAATCACACCGTAAACAGGCCTTAATATGTAGCGGGAAAAACACCCAATCTGGCAACACCAGCTACCAGCGTCGTAGCCTACAGCCGCGTGCGTCATCAAAACAAAATGCAGCGTGGAAGCCACAGCAGCATGGAGGCGACTTAAAACAGTTTTATGACCAGGTGGTCGGTGAGGATGATGGCAACAAGTTTGCCCGCCGGCTTTCAGTAAAAAAATCCGCACTTCAGTAACCTTAAATTCCTACCTCAGCCTGGTCCCTCAGTTTGTGTTAGTAAAATGTTCTTGAGCGGAGGTCTTCAACAGGGGGTCTGAGACCCCTAGGGGGTCCATGGAGGTACTGCATGAGGGTCTGCATGGTTAGTTGATATTTTTATATTCCCCCCCTGCAATTTTTTTCCCCATTAATTGAAATGTCTTTAAATACTCATTAACATGAAATCAACACACTGTAGTAAACAGATAAATGGAGGCAGAAGATGTCTTTCAGTCATCAATGCTCACATTCAGAGACACACAGGAGCTCTTTCAAGCTGGGCACCGTTTCCTTCACAACACCTGTCCCATCAACCAGGAATCAGAATCAGAAAAACTTTAATAATCCCAGAGAGAAATTAATTTCTTTACATTACTCCATCTGTAATAGAGTGACTATAGGACACAATTTCATACAATATATATAGTTAGGGGGTCCCCGCTCCATCTCGCCATCAGTTTGGGGGTCCTTGGTCTGGAAAACATAGAAGACCCCTGTTCTTGAGGGTTTTACTATCCATGTAACTTGTTTGTTAAACCTGCCTGGTATAATTTTCCAGGATTCCAGGATTCCTTTTTAGTATGTATTGAAATGGAATTTCAAATGGAAAAAATTATAAAAAAAAAAAAAAAAAAACATTTGCACCTTAAAGACTACTTTCCTATTTTTCTTTTAATAATTCCTCATAAAAAAGACCATTCAAGCAGCACATTTTTCCTGATGTTTTTGAGAATATACTGTAGGGGTGAAAGCTGCAGCTGCTACTAGTGTGAAGTGAATGGACAGCAACAAAGCGTTAAAGCAACAATGGGGAAATGCTGTCCCCTCAATGCTAATGTAAACCCTGGTTGGATAAGGATTCAAAGCTGGATATGAAGATGAAATCTGACGCACAGTTTCAGAGTTACAACTGATAAAATAATTGCTGTCTGTGGTTCTACAGTAGGCTATGGTGTAATTGAGCAATATATGAAAAAAAAAAAAGAAAAAAAAGAACTATGAACTAGTTCGTTTTTTGGAATTGTGAACTATGAACTGAACTAGTTCATTTTAAAATGTGTGAACTGAACTTTGAACTAGTTCACGTAGAAAGAGAACTTTCCCAACACTGGTTTTAGTGTATTTCTCAGGTTTCTTGGTCGACCCGCTGAGTAAACAGCATTTAACAGGATTGGTTGTTTTTATTTGAAGCTGCTTGGCTTCTCTCTGCATGTTGAGTTTATTTGGGTTTTACTGAGACAGTCTCTGTTTCCTCAGAGAGGGAGTGTGACCTGGACAAACACTGCGGCGTCCTGGACCCTGACAGGAAGAAGGTCTGCACTCGCCTCCTCACCTGCAACGTAAGTAGCTACATCCCCTCTGCCCGCCGGGATCCGCATCCGCCCGCTGGAACATCTTAGCCGTTCAGATCCAGCTGCTCTGTTCTTGGTTTCAAAAGCTGGAAAACAAATGGCTTCATGACACCGAAGAACTCTGCAGAATCTGGTCTTTTATTAGTTTTACAGAAAGTGGCAATGAAGAAAACATCAACGCCTGGTAGAGCTGAACATCAGATAAAACCGCTTCAACCAGTGGGGTTAAAGAGCCACGCTAAAACTCCAGCAATAGATGACGGACGGACGGCTTAGGGAGAAAGTTCTGGTTCAGTTTTAAGCAGGGCCAGGTTCTAGAACCAAACATGGACGTCCATCTGGGCAAGGAGAGTGGAAGAGCTGCCAGGATCCGCCACTCGGGTGGAGGGATCGGTGGGCAGGAAACCATCGGAAGCTCGTCTAAAGACGTGCAGGACGACACGGCGAGCAGGAGGCGTAACTGTTGGGGCCAACATGGCGTCCAACACAAAGCATTCTCTGCCTTACTGTAATAAACGGCGTAATCTCTGCGCTGCTGGATGATAAAGTGGACTGGAAATATCCCACAATGCACCTTGGAAATGAGTGATCATCCATGGTCACTAGACAAGCAGACATATCCCAGAATGCTTTGTGAGAGCTCTCCTCTCAAAGTATCATGGGATTTGTAACGACAAAAAACAAAGATGGCGCAGGTAGGCGGAGTTGATTGACCAACCGGTAGTGAAAAGTAGTGATCATCGGTCCGAACGGTCGGTTAACTGAGTTCACTATAAAGTTCACTATGTAGTCCCCGCTCTATATAGTGATTTAGGGGTTAGGGCGGACGGTCAGACTCAGCCACTGTGTTTTAGGAGCTTGGCGGTCCTGGAATCTTTGCCGCCGTCAGTCTCGCTCTGAAACTTTTCAGTAAACAGAGTTGTGTCCTTCTCCTCAGATCCACTCCATCCACCAGCGCAGGAAGGTGCTGGGACGCAGCAAGAACTTCGACCTGCTGGTTGCAGAACTTAAGATGAGGGTGAGGGAGAAGGCCCTGGATGGAGGCTTCTCTACCGGAGGGTCCCCCAGTCCGGAGGCCCCGAGGGAGCAGGCCGGCGTTCCCCACTGCAGGAGACCCCTGGCCAGCCTTCCTGCTTTCAGGTGTGACATCACTGCGCCTGCAGTCATGTAGAAGGCTGTGTTGGCTAATCAGGAACCAACTGGCCCTCAGGTCAGGCTAGCAGCACCAGGAGCTAAGCTCAGTGGGGTTTGGTTCCCGCTCCAGAACTGCCAGGGAGTCAGAGTGGCTTAGAACTAGAGCCTGGAGGTTCTTAGAACCATCAGAACCTGGAGGTTCTTTGAACCATTAGAACCTGGAGGTTCTTAGAACCATCAGAACCTGGAGGCTCTTAGAACCACCAGAACCTGGAGGTTCTTAGAACCACCAGAACCCGGAGGTTCTTTGAACCACCAGAACCCGGAGGTTCTTTGAACCACCAGAACCCGGAGGCTCTTAGAACCACCAGAACCCGGAGGTTCTTTGAACCATCAGAACCTGGAGGTTCTTTGAACCATCAGAACCTGGAGGCTCTTTGAACCATCAGAACCCGGAGGATCTTAGAACCACCAGAACCTGGAGGTTCTTTGAACCATCAGAACCTGGAGGTTCTTTGAACCATCAGAACCTGGAGGTTCTTTGAACCATCAGAACCTGGAGGCTCTTTGAACCATCAGAACCCGGAGGCTCTTAGAACCACCAGAACCCGGAGGTTCTTAGAACCACCAGAACCTGGAGGTTCTTAGAACCACCAGAACCTGGAGGTTCTTTGAACCATTAGAACCTGGAGGTTCTTAGAACCATCAGAACCTGGAGGCTCTTAGAACCACCAGAACCTGGAGGTTCTTAGAACCACCAGAACCTGGAGGTTCTTTGAACCACCAGAACCTGGAGGTTCTTTGAACCATCAGAACCTGGAGGCTCTTAGAACCACCAGAACCTGGAGGCTCTTAGAACCACCAGAACCTGGAGGCTCTTAGAACCACCAGAACCTGGAGGTTCTTAGAACCACCAGAACCTGGAGGTTCTTAGAACCACCAGAACCTGGAGGTTCTTAGAACCACCAGAACCTGGAGGTTCTTAGAACCACCAGAACCTGGAGGTTCTTTGAACCATTAGAACCTGGAGGTTCTTAGAACCATCAGAACCTGGAGGCTCTTAGAACCACCAGAACCTGGAGGTTCTTAGAACCACCAGAACCTGGAGGTTCTTTGAACCATCAGAACCTGGAGGCTCTTTGAACCATCAGAACCTGTAGGTTCTTTGAACCACCAGAACCCGGAGGTTCTTTGAACCACCAGAACCCGGAGGCTCTTAGAACCACCAGAACCCGGAGGCTCTTAGAACCACCAGAACCTGGAGGTTCTTTGAACCATCAGAACCTGGAGGCTCTTAGAACCATCAGAACCTGGAGGCTCTTAGAACCATCAGAACCTGGAGGCTCTTAGAACCATCAAAACCTGGAGGCTCTTAGAACCATCAGAACCTGGAGGCTCTTAGAACCATCAGAACCTGGAGGTTCTTTGAACCACCAGAACCTGGAGGCTCTTAGAACCACCAGAACCTGGAGGCTCTTAGAACCACCAGAACCTGGAGGCTCTTAGAACCATCAGAACCTGGAGGCTCTTAGAACCATCAGAACCTGGAGGCTCTTAGAACCATCAGAACCTGGAGGCTCTTAGAACCACCAGAACCTGGAGGCTCTTAGAACCACCAGAACCTGGAGGCTCTTAGAACCACCAGAACCTGGAGGCTCTTAGAACCACCAGAACCAGTACATTAAGGTTCTTTAAGTCATCAGAACCTCATGGTTGTTGATTCTGAACTTCCGGGTTCTTTGAATAATTAAAACTTCATTGAACTCTATTGATCTCACTTTGGAGAAATCCTCTCTCTGCATTTAACCCCTCCCCTTGGGGAGCAGTGGGCTGCCATTGTGCGGCACCCGGGGAGCAGTGTGGGGGTTAAGGGTCTTGCTCAGGGACCCAGAGTGGGGATCAAGCCGTGTACTTGGAACTTTCTCAGATAAGCGCACTGCTTTGCCCACTAGGCCATGAAGGTTCTTTGAACCACCTGTAGGTTTGATTAAAAGAGGAAATAAAGCAGCAGCTTCCTCTAAAGCGAATGAACTCTGTTTGGCAGTCGCTCCATGGCCATGTCGGAGTGTGCCCCAGAGGAGGAGAAGCAGTGGCAGGATGAGGCTGGGGTCCAAGGGCCTTCACCTCTGCTCCATGGTCACATCTCCAGCGACGACAGTGAGACGGAAGGAGCTGAGGAACCGGCAGACTTCCCATCATCCATTGCACATCCCAGACCTGCAGAGGTAAAACTTCTCTAACAACATCTTTGGTTCTTATAGAGAGAGCAGAAAAAAAGGTTTTTATCTATGAAGTGCATTAAATGTCATCCTAGTCTGATTCTAGATCCAGTTTACATTGAAATCCTGCGGTTTGACTTGTTAGGAGTCGTGTCGATTCATCGTTTAACTTAACTCGATGGGAGTCGATGTGTCGACTCATCGTTTAACTCGTTGGGAGTCGATGTGTCGACTCATCGTTTAACTCGTTGGGAGTCGATGTGTCGACTCATCGTTTAACTTGTTGGGATTCGATGTGTCGACTCGTCGTTTAACTTGTTGGGAGTCGACGTGTCGACTCATCGTTTAACTTGTTGGGAGTCGATGTGTCAACTCATCGTTTAACTCTTTAGGATTCGATGTGTCGACTCATCGTTTAACTTGTTTTGGATTCGATGTGTCCGCTCATCGTTTAACTTGTTGGGATTCGATGTGTCGACTCATCGTTTAACCCTTTAGGATTCGATGTGTCGACTCATCGTTTAACTTGTTGGGATTCGATGTGTCGACTCATCGTTTAAGTTGTTGGGAGTCGACGTGTCGACTCATCGTTTAACTCTTTAGGATTCGATGTGTCGACTCATCGTTTAACCCTTTAGGATTCGATGTGTCGACTCATCGTTTAACTTGTTGGGATTCGATGTGTCGACTCATCGTTTAACTTGTTGGGAGTCGACGTGTCGACTCATCGTTTAACCCTTTAGGATTTGATGTGTCGACTCATCGTTTAACTTGTTGGGAGTCGATGTGTCAACTCATCGTTTAACTCTTTAGGATTCGATGTGTCGACTCATCGTTTAACTTGTTGGGATTCGATGTGTCGACTCATCGTTTAACTTGTTGAGAGTCGACGTGTCGACTCATCGTTTAACTCTTTAGGATTCGATGTGTCGACTCATCGTTTAACTTGTTGGGAGTCGACGTGTCGACTCATCGTTTAACCCTTTAGGATTCGATGTGTCGACTCATCGTTTAACTTGTTGGGAGTCGATGTGTCAACTCATCGTTTAACTCTTTAGGATTCGATGTGTCGACTCATCGTTTAACTTGTTGGGATTCGATGTGTCGACTCATCGTTTAACTTGTTGGGAGTCGACGTGTCGACTCATCGTTTAACCCTTTAGGATTCGATGTGTCGACTCATCGTTTAACTTGTTGGGATTCGATGTGTCGACTCATCGTTTAACTTGTTGGGAGTCGACGTGTCGACTCATCGTTTAACTCTTTAGGATTCGATGTGTCGACTCATCGTTTAACTCGTTGGGAGTCGATGTGTCGACTCGTCGTTTAACTTGTTGGGAGTCGACGTGTCGACTCATCGTTTAACTTGTTGGGAGTCGACGTGTCGACTCATCGTTTAACCCTTTAGGATTCGATGTGTCGACTCATCGTTTAACTTGTTGGGATTCGATGTGTCGACTCATCGTTTAACTTGTTGGGAGTCGACGTGTCGACTCATCGTTTAACCCTTTAGGATTCGATGTGTCGACTCATCGTTTAACTTGTTGGGATTCGATGTGTCGACTCATCGTTTAACTTGTTGGGAGTCGACGTGTCGACTCATCGTTTAACTCTTTAGGATTCGATGTGTCGACTCATCGTTTAACTCGTTGGGAGTCGATGTGTCGACTCATCGTTTAACTTGTTGGGAGTCGACGTGTCGACTCATCGTTTAACTCTTTAGGATTCGATGTGTCGACTCATCGTTTAACTCGTTGGGAGTCGATGTGTCGACTCATCGTTTAACTTGTTGGGATTCGATGTGTCGACTCGTCGTTTAACTTGTTGGGAGTCGACGTGTCGACTCATCGTTTAACTTGTTGGGATTCGATGTGTCGACTCATCGTTTAACTTGTTGGGATTCGATGTGTCGACTCATCGTTTAACCTGTTGGGAGTCGACGTGTCGACTCATCGTTTAACTCTTTAGGATTCGATGTGTCGACTCATCGTTTAACTTGTTGGGATTCGATGTGTCGACTCATCGTTTAACTTGTTGGGAGTCGACGTGTCGACTCATCGTTTAACTCTTTAGGATTCGATGTGTCGACTCATCGTTTAACTCGTTGGGAGTCGATGTGTCGACTCGTCGTTTAACTTGTTGGGATTCGATGTGTCGACTCGTCGTTTAACTCTTTAGGATTCGATGTGTCGACTCATCGTTTAACTTGTTGGGATTCGATGTGTCGACTCGTCGTTTAACTTGTTAGGAGTCGATGTGTCGACTCGTCGTTTAACTTGTTGGGATTCGATGTGTCGACTCGTCGTTTAACTTGTTGGCATTCGATGTGTCGACTCATCGTTTAACTTGTTGGGACATGTTGGACTGGATGTTGTTGTTTGTTGTGTGATAACGGTTCCTGTGTCTGTAGGTGTGCTCGTTCGGCAGCCGTTCTCTGGGTCACGGCATTTACACGTTCGACAGGAGGCTCCACCACGCCAGGTGGGCTCTCAGCAGCATGCTGGAGCAGCATATCAGCGCCCACCTCTGGAAGTAAGCCTCCGGATCGTTAATCATTCTTTCTGTTATTCCTGTTAATCTCCACACCTGCTTTGTTCTACTTTTCATCTCTGAATATTTTTACAGGTTCGTTTAGATTTGAAACAGATTTAGTTTTCCTTTGTTTCTCAGTGGATCCTTTTTTCTGACTCTTCCAGAAAAATACCTCAAGCCACAGAGCTGCTGTCACCGACTTCCTTGGCCAAGTCCATCAGCTCTTCCTCTCCTGTCTCCATAGCAACCTCCTCCACCTTCCATTCTAAGGTCCGTGCAGGAAGCCATATAAGCTCTTCTCTTAAAAACGCCTCATCGTCTCCGAGCCGTGGACCGGGCAGACTGCCGGCAGCCGTGCAGTCGGAGAACTCTGGCGCCGGCTTTGCTGGTCCCCATCCCACGTCCGGGGGCCGGCCCGGCGTGGTCCGTCAGGGGGGAGGGGCCAGACACAAGAATCCTGTGGGGCGTCCCAGCAAACAGATGCTGAAGCTGCGCGAGGAGGCCGCTGCGGCCGCCGCCTTCCGCAAACGAAAAGCTCCGTCCCAGGAAGGAGAGCACTCGGGCCCCGAGAGGAACTGCATCGTCCTGCAGGACCGGGGCCCCCCACCTTCTACCGTCTCCTCCTCATCATCTTCCTCCTCTTCCAAAGCCCCCCCCTCCTCTCTGCTCCCTCATGGTCAGACCAATGGAACCCTTTCCCCTGGAAAGCCCCGCCCTCAGCCTCCCGCCTCAGACTCCCCCGCTGCCAAGGCAGTATGGACGTACAAACGGACCCACCCCCCTCTGAGCCACTCCTCTCCTCCAGACCCCTCCTCTGCTAGCAACTCCCACAGTCGGACCGGCGTGGGCGACTCGGGAACGCACGGGCCGGGGAGTGGGAGGACATTTCTAGAACATCAGGGACTGAAGAAACGAAAGGTGGGGGCTGTAGAGGAGCACCCCCCCTCGTCCAAACTCTCATCGCAGCGCCTTCCTTCCTCCTCCTCTAGCTCCGCCCCCTCCTCCTCGCCATGCTCCGGTTTCTACCCCTGGAAGGACAGTAAGAGCGGCGGCCTGGAGGGGGACATGGAGAAGAAGCTGGGCATACAGAAGGTGGGTTTGATCCTGGTTCTTTCTCTGAGCAGCGTCGTTAGCGCTCGTTAGCGCCGTGATGTCCCTCTGAGTCACTCATCGCTGTCGGGTAGTGTAGCCTATGGCGACAGAGCGCCGCTGTGACAGCAAATCCCATAATGCTTTGTGAGGAGAGCTCTCCATGCAGAGCATGCTTTTTCTCTTTTTCAGAGAAACGCGGTGAGAAAGGTGAGCTTCAGCGACTGGCTGAAACCGTAGCTCACCACATAAAGGAAAAAGATCGCTAACGGGACGAGCGCGTAGGACGGCCTTACGTAAACAGATCACCAACATGATTGACAGTTTGGAGGACCAATCATTTAGATGATCCACCTGGACATAAAAGATCCTCCTCTATAAATGGTTATTTTGAAATCTCAGACAATTTTTGTCATGGTTCATTTAACAAGACCAAGAGACACTTTATTTTTTTGCTGCAGCATTTCATTCATGTGGCCATTATATGTTTATAGTAATAGCTAGCAAGCAGAAGTTAGCACTTTCTCAAACAAAGGTTCCAATAATGTTCTCCAACAATAGACTTTAGACAAGCAAGCTTTCAAGGTCATTAAAAACCTAAACCCACAGCCAGACGTCACAACCTCTGGATCGGCGCAGTATTCATTGGTTAAGCCCCCGTCTCACCGTGCCGATTTAGCCAGCATATGCCGGACGTCCCAGAATCCCCTCAAACTGACCTGCATAAAAAGATTTCTTTGATCGCGGTATTAACCTAGCTGCTGCCCACCCGCCAAAAAAAAAAGAATAAAGAAAAAGAAAGTTTTTGGTGTCAGCAGATTGAGCGTCATGTCTGCTAGGAAGTGTGTTGGTGGTGGGCGTGAACGCAGGGAGGATCCATCACTCACCTTCTGGCTCACCCTATGATGGGGATGAAGTCTGGAGGAGAACTGACGGTTTCCTCCTGTGAACCCCCTTTATACCAAAACGCTGCCAATACGCCATTATACAGTAGCTGGAAGTTAGAAACACGTTCAGCGCTCGTCTAGAACATGGCAGATACGCTGATATGTTGGAGAGAAGTTCTGGATAAGTTACGCAGAGGTTTAGGATAAACTAGACGCCACGACTGATGAGGAACCGACACTGAACGTACGTCAACCATCAGATAACTGACCTGGAACTGACGGCCCACTGATGAGCATACGGCGTACTCTCTGTATGTCGGCGTTCTTACCAGATTTTCGGTATGTCAGGCATATGCTGGTCTAAATCAGCGAGGTGTGACGGGAGCTTTATAGTAATAGTTAGATTAGAAGACATAAATGTCACTGAAAAAAACACGAGAACAGAGGAGTCTGCTCTGATGCCTGTAACGACCCGATCCGTTCCAGAAGCTCCATCCATCCTGTGGGAGCAGAATAAGAAGATCTGGATCGCTGAAAAACAACGTAATCAACGTACTCTCCGTACTGAAAATACTTATTTATATACTTAAAACATTACAGAATGCTAAACTACATTGTATAGAAAGTATTGAAGACTTTTCTGGAAGTAATGGATACGTTTTCCATTCTCTGCATTATATTGTGTGATGTCATCACGCTCAGAGCAGTCACAGTAACCTTCCAAATGCTATTTAAACGTATTGCTTTTTTTCGTTTTTAGAATATGCAATATTTATGGAGCCCCTCTGATGACATGGTCAAAAAAAATGTTTAATTGTGGCCATGAAGTAGTATTTCTCGGCCACGCAATAAGTATAACGTGTGCACGAAATACTACTTCGTGGCCACGCAATAACTTTAACATGCGCACGAAATACTTATTAATAATATCAATAAATCCGCCCCTGTTTTCAGGCTTATGTTAACTGTAATGACTTATCTTGGACAGGCTGCTATGTAAACGGGCCTTTAGTCCTTCGTTTAGCTATGCTGCGGTTGTTTACACTACGCCTTTTCCACCTAAAATGGCGTCTTAGCAACAAATGTCACGTGACTGGCGGAGACCGATTGGGTAAGCAAATCGAGCGCGCCTTAGACCTTAGAGAAGGCGCGCTCGATTTGCTTACCCAGTTGTCCAGGAATGATATTAATATTATTAATAAGTATTTCGTGCGCACGATAAACTTATTGCGTGGCCACCAAATAGTATTTCGTGCGCACGTTAAACTTATTGCGTGGCCACGAAATAGTATTTCGTGTGCACGTTAAACTTATTGCGTGGCCACCAATTAGTATTTAGTGCGCACGTTAAACTTATTGCGTGGCCACGAAATTGTATTTCGTGCGCACGTTAAACTTATTGCGTGGCAACCAAATAGCATTTCATGCGCACGTTAAACTTATTGCGTGGCCACGAAGTAGTATTTCATGCGCACGTTAAACTTATTGCGTGGCTACCAAATAGTATTTTGTGCGCACGTTAAACTTATTGCGTGGCCACGAAATAGTATTTCGTGCGCACGTTAAACTTATTGCGTGGCCACGAAATAGTATTTCGTGCGCACGTTAAACTTATTGCGTGGCCACGAAATAGTATTTTGTGCGCACGTTAAACTTATTGCGTGGCCACGAAATAGTATTTCGTGCGCACGTTAAACTTATTGTTTTTTTTTTCTTTGGGGGGTTTGGCATGTCTGTTTTCTCGGGGGGCAGGCGGGCCTGCTGGTTGGGGGTCCTGCTGGCGGCGCGCCGCTGGTGTGTGGGGGTCCGGGCGGCTCCGGCGGGGGTAGTGTTGGGGGGCCGGTCTGGGCGGGCTGGCTGCGCTGGCTGGGTATTCGGGTGGGTTTTCCCTCCTGGAGGCATGGCGGGGCTGCTCTGTTCCCACTGATCGCGGCGGGTGGGGCTGCGGGGCGGGTGTGGGCCTGGGGTGGCTATGACCGGCGCGTGGTGGGGGGCCGGGGCGGCGGAGCTGCTCTGGCCGCGTGTCGGGGCCTGGTGCGGGCTGCGGGGGGGGGTGGCGGACGTGGCTGGGCTGCTTTGGCTTCGTCCGGTGGGGGGGCGGCGCGGTTCGCTCCGCTCTGGCTTTGTGCTGCCCCTCGGGCTGCTGGGGGGGGTGGTTGCGCCGGCTGCGGTCTGCTCCTCTTGCGGTTTTGCGCCGGGCGGCTTTTCTGCTCTCGGGCTGATTCTGTGCGCGGTGTGTTTCGTTGCGCGCTGTTGGCATCGGTCTTGGTGGGGTGGGGCTGCGCTTTTGGCCGGGGGGGCGTTTTGGGGGGGGTCCCGCGGCGCTCGTGGCCGGTTCGCGGCGGATGCGCATGGGCCCCGGCCGGGGGCGGGGCCGTCTTAGTGTTTTCCTGGGTGGTGCGGTCGCGGTGGGTGTTGCGGCCGGTCGCCGGGGCTTGGTGCGGGGGGGCGGGGCGTGTTTCGGTGCTCTGTGGGGCTGGGGCGTTTCGGTCGGCGCCGTGGGGGGGCTGGTGTTCGGCGCCCGGCCCTACTTCGGGGTGGCCGGCTGCCGGCGGGGTCCGCGGACTCGTCCCCGCGGCTCCCCGGGGCGCCGGCATGGCGGTGGCTGGGGGGCTTCCTCGTGGCTGTCTCTCCTCCTGCCTTGGTGGGGTCTGATTTCCGGGGCTGGCCCCGCCTTGGTGCCTTCGCTTCTGGGGTCCCCTTGGGCGCCTGGGGCTTTGGGTCTCCCGGCGCTGGACTCAGTGCTCTGGGGGGTGTGCCTCTCCGGCTCTCCACAACCACTATTGAGCATTTTTTTCTATGGTTAAAACTTTACATGCACAAGTTCACCCTCACTAACAACTACAGGTGCTAGGCTTCAGGTACTTAGAGATTCACTTCCAAACAGAAACCCCACATTCATATCTTCAGGTAACACAGAGTACATGTCAGACTTAATAATATTACTTTAGTGATAGTTTCAAGGTGTTTGCTTTATTGTATATCTCGTACCATGTTTTTTGGTTGTGCTGTTCTTTTTTCTTTTTTTTTTTTTTTTTCTCCATCTCATTACAGGTGTTGAAGCAGACTGAAAATGTTTTGTCATTGTCTCCTTCCTATCTCCTCTTTCTTTCATCTTTTGTCCTGTTTTTTTCTTTTTCTTTTTCCTTCTTCTTCTTCTGTTTTTCTGCTCTACTTACATTGCAGTGTCCATATGAACTGTAAAACTCCCTGCATAATTATAATAAAGCAATTTATATACATGAAACAAGTGGAGCGGTATGGCAATTGCGATACCGCTCCACTTGTGAAAGTAAAATCTGTTGGGCTCCTTTTGGCATCAAGACAATTATTCTTATTGCCACCTTGCCAGACAGGACACTGTAAAAAAAAAAAAAAAAAAAAAAAAAAACTTATTGTGTGGCCACGAAATAGTATTTCGTGGCCACGTTAAACTTATTGCGTGGCCACGAAATAGTATTTTGTGCGCACGTTAAACTTATTGCGTGGCCACGAAATAGTATTTTGTGCGCACGTTAAACTTATTGCGTGGCCACGAAATAGTATTTTGTGCGCACGTTAAACTTATTGCGTGGCCACGAAATAGTATTTCGTGCGCACGTTAAACTTATTGTGTGGCCACGAAATAGTATTTCGTGGCCACGCAATAAGTTTAACGTGCGCACGAAATAGTATTTCGTGCGCACGTTAAACTTATTGCGTGGCCACGAAATAGTATTTTGTGCGCACGTTAAACTTATTGCGTGGCCACGAAATAGTATTTTGTGCGCACGTTAAACTTATTGCGTGGCCACGAAATAGTATTTTGTGCGCACGTTAAACTTATTGCGTGGCCACGAAATAGTATTTCATGCGCATGTTAAACTTATTTCGGCCACAATTAAACATTTTTTTTGACCATGTCATCAGAGGGGCTCCGTAAATATTTACGCAAATGCGAAAATATTCAAAAGGAACCCCCCACTGGAAAAAAGATTTAAAAAAAACTAAGTATTGCCTACCTGGAAGTAATTCTGTGCAGAATGTGCAGGACGGATCACGGTCCCAGGACAGATGGCGTTGTGACAATGCATGCTGTGTAAAGAGCTGAGGATGATGACGTTTTTCGAGCACGAGTACGCACAAGTACACAGATTTAGAAACGGCCTAAACTTATCATTTTGGTTTTAGGTTTAGGTTTTAATTCTTATTTTATTTGAAAACAGAAAATAAAACAAACTAGATGAACGTGTTCGCAGATTCGAACTGCAAGTCTGAAAATGAAACCCAACATGAATGTTAGAATTGAGGCTTTCCATTGCGGATAGGTGCCTTGCCCAGAGGCACGTCGACATGATGGAGGTGGAATGGAGCCTCCAGCTTTCAGATCCAATGGCGCTAACCTTTGGTTAGGAAGCGTTTGCTCTGCGATCCAATGGGAAGCCATCTTTCAAAGTTCCTCCTGGTTCTAGAAAATCAGGATGATGATGATGATGATTAGTTGAAGGCTCCTCTTTCTTCCTCACTGAATTGAAACCATTTTCTTTTTGTCTTGCAGCCAAAACTGCACCATTAAGTGTGCTTGCCTTACAAGCCACTACGGGGGAGCCAGCTCCACTCAGTCTGGGACTGAGCCAGCGGGACTCTGGGTGTGTGTGTGTGTGCTGAGCGTGTGTGTGTGCGTGCGTGCTGAGCGTCCGCTCCGGTGTAAATGGACCAGGTATGTGTGCTGTGCCGTATGGAGCTGTATGAATGAGCAGAGGAGGGTGGGCTGAAACATAGAGTATGGATTAGAAATACCTCAAGACCATCTGGTTATGCTGCTAAATTGAATATGTTGGTTTATTAAAAATGTAATTTTCACTTGGTTTCTGTGTCTGCGGCTCTTATTCCTGCTGGTAGCGGTCCTCCTGCCGAACTGTGCGGCTCTCTGCTTCCTCTTTGACCACCGATGACGTCTCCCGTTCATTGTCCAGCTTTTCCAGTCCCGGTGTTCCTGCGATCTGAGAGGACTAGCCAACGTCCTCCATGATTTTTTTACATGATTTATGCTTTTAAAACAGGATTTTGGTTTAACATAGTTTGTCTTTAGGGATTTCAACAGATTATAATTTAATCTTTGAAATAAACGTCTGCAGATATTTCTGATCAGTTTAGTGATCATTCACTGTTTCTTCTCCATGGCAACAGTTTGTTTAGCTCCATTAGAGATTGAACTAACAGATTCTGCAGAGTGGGAGAATAGAGATATGATGAAAAAGGGGTCCCTATGTCCTCCAGCAGTCTAAGCCTATAGCAGCAGAACTATAGAAGCCACTCTAACTAGAAGCTTTATCAAAAAGGAAAGTTTTAAGCCTAGCCTTAAAAGTAGACAGGGTGTCTGCCTCACGGACTAAAACTGGTAGTTGGTTCCACAGGAGAGGAGCCTGAGAACTAAAAGATCTGCCTCCCATTCTACTTTTAGAAATTCTAGGAACCACTAGTAAACCTGCAGATTGAGAGCGAAGTGCTCTGTTAGGAACATAAGGAACAATCAGATCTCTGATATCAGAGGGAGCTTGGCCATTTAAGGCTTTATATGTGAGAAGGAGGATTTTAAATTCTATTCTGGATTTAACAGGAAGCCAATGAAGAGAAGCCAGGATAGGAGAGATATGATCTCTCTTTTTCATTTTCATCAGAACTCTGGCTGCAGCATTTTGGATCAGCTGAAGGCTTTTAACTACAGTTTGTGGACTTCCTGATAGTAAAGAATTACAATAGTCCAGCCTTGAAGTAACAAATGGGATTTAAATGACAGGTCCTGATTGAAAATAACTTTTACTATATTATCTGAGATCACTAACTCAGAGGTTCCCAAACCTTTAAGCTGCCTTATGACCCAAAGTATTGGCTGAGTAAAAACTTTTAATTAAAATATTTAACCACAGTTGTACTAATATTACATCCAACAACCAAAGTAGTTGGTTTTATAGATTTTGTGACACTTATATGTTCTTTTTTGTTTTATTTCTGTACCCCTATATTGGTTAAACTAATCAACTTTGGGACTCGATGCTCTAATAAAAGTGCACTCATTTATCTGTTTAATTATATGATTGGCCTACTTTAGGTTAGATTACAGGATGTTAGACGCTGAGCTGTGACCTCAGGCTGGGGTCACTCCTCTAACCTGAATGATCGGATGTTCAGACCTGAGGATCAAATGTCTGACAGCCTCACGTCTGACCTACAGTAGGAGGATTATGTTGTGTGAATTGGAACGTTATTCACAGATCTACAGAGCAAGAAGCCTACAGTTTGATTTATTTTCTGTAAAAGATCATAAAATAAAGCAGCGGAGCCACATGGCAGATGTTTTGGGTACTGTGGAAGTTGTTCCATATGGGATGGGAGGTGAAAAACTCGAACTCAGTTTTTCTTCCCAGCCACAAAGGAGATAAGATTTGTCTTTAGCATTTGCTTTTATAAACAATATAGAAATAAATAAAAATAGATTTGAGGGCGGTGTCCAGATGAAGAAAATTAATGAAGCTCAAATGTATCCTTTCTACAATTTCATTTTCAAATATTTTTCTTTTTAAAGCCTAGTCTCTCATGATGATGCAGGTCTAGCAGAATGTGCTTATAGTAAATATCCAGTGGTTTAAGAACCAGAATGTCAATTATACCCAGTCCTTCTTTTCACTGTAGACAAGCCATGATCTGCTTATCTGTTCTCCATTTTTCATTTGGATGAAATAATAGCTGCATGAATCATGACAGCAGACAAGATAGAGGAGAGCAGGAGGCGGGGTTACCAATCTACTCGCTCTGGAGAGCAGAGTTCGCTGCTTTTAGATGTTGTCTCCAAAGTCTCCAGCAGCAGAAAAAAGTCTCTAGATTTGGCGCTAGGAGCTTTTTAGAAATCAAAGTGCTAGAGGGGTCTGAAAAGTGGCTAAATACAGGTGCTGGTCATAAAATTAGAATATCATGAAAAAGTAGATTGATTTCAGTAATTCCATTTAAAAAGTGAAACTTGTATATTATATTCATACATTACATACAAACTCATATATTTCAGATGTTTATTTTGTTTAATTTTGATGATTACAAATGACAACAAATGAAAATCTCAAATTCATCATATCAGAAAATTAGAATATTGTGAAAAGGTTCAAAATTGATGGCCCCTGGTGCCACACTCTAATCAGCTAATTAACTCAAACCACCTGCAAAAGCCTTTAAATGGTCTTTCAGTCTAGTTCTATAGGCTACACAATCATGGGGAAGACTGCTGACTTGACAGTTGTCCAAAAGACGACCATCGACACCTTGCACAAGGAGGGCAAGACACAAAAGTTCATCGCTAAAGAGGCTGGCTGTTCACAGAGCTCAGTGTCCAAGCACATTAATAGAGAGGCGAAGGGAAGGAAAAGATGTGGTCGAAAAAAGTGTACAAGCAAGAGAGATAACCGCACCCTGGAGAGGATTGTGAAACAAAACCCATTCAAAAATGTGGGGGAGATTCACAAAGAGTGGACTGCAGCTGGAGTGAGTGCTTCAAGAACCACCACACACAGACGTATGAAAGACATGGGTTTCTGCTGTCGCATTCCTTGTGTCAAGCCACTCTTGAACCACAGACAGCGTCAGAAGCGTCTTGCCTGGGCTAAAGAGAAACAGGACTGGACTGCTGGTGAGTGGTCCAAAGTCATGTTCTCTGATGAAAGTAAATTTTGCATTTCCTTTGGAAATCAAGGTCCCAGAGTCTGGAGGAAAAGAAGAGAGGCACTTCATCCACGTTGCTTGAAGTCCAGTGTAAAGTTTCCACAGTCAGTGATGGTTTGGGGTGCCATGTCATCTGCTGGTGTTGGTCCATTGTGTTTTCTGAGGTCCAGGGTCAACGCAGCCACATACCAGGAAGTTTTAGAGCACTTCATGCTTCCTGCAGCTGACCAACTTTTTGGAGATGCAGATTTCATTTTCCAACAGGACTTGGCACCTGCACACAGTGCCAAAGCTACCAGTACCTGGTTGAAGGACCATGGTATCCCTGTTCTTAATTGGCCAGCAAACTCTCCTGACCTTAACCCCATAGAAAATCTATGGGGTATTGTGAAGAAGAAGATGCAATACACCAGACCCAACAATTCAGAAGAGCTAAAAGCCACTATTAGAGCAACCTGGGCTATCATAACACCTGAGCAGTGCCACAGACTGATCGACTCCATGCCACGCCGCATTGCTGCAGTAATACAGGCCAAAGGAGGCCCAACTAAATACTGAGTGCTGTACATGCTCATACTTTTCATGTTCATACTTTTCAGTTGGCCAACATTTCTATAAATCCTTTGTTTTTATTGGTCTTCAGTAATATTCTAATTTTCTGATATGATGAATTTGAGATTTTCATTTGTTGTCATTTGTAATCATCAAAATTAAACAAAATAAACATCTGAAATATATGAGTTTGTATGTAATGTATGAATATAATATACAAGTTTCACTTTTTAAATGGAATTACTGAAATCAATCTACTTTTTCATGATATTCTAATTTTATGACCAGCACCTGTATAGCGACTACACTGCTCTTTGCATGGTTTGTTTTCAAATGGTTTGCTGCTGTCTGTTTGGACCTTTCTGAACATGTGCAGCAAATGGACTGATCCAATATGGTGGACACTGAAGGGGGGGGCTGAGACACACTTAATATTATCAGCGTTCTGATGGCATTTCAGCCATTTTTATCAAAAACATAATTAATGTGCAGAAATAAGGAATAGCTGGAAACAGAGTTTTATGGGGCCCCCAGGAACTTGTGGCCCTAGGCATCTGCCTAGTATTGACTAATGGTAAATCTGCCCCTATAGAATCTATATTATGTGGTTCTACACATCAACACGTCAGGTGATTTCTGAAAGTTACAGATTTTTTAAAATGATATAGAAATGTTCTGATATTATAGCATTAAATTAGTATTTTTAAAAGTGAGTACTTTAATACTTTAATACTGAGTGGATGTTTGACTGAGTACTTTTACTGTAGTACTGCTGTTGAGTACTTGGTCCACATCTGGATGCAAAAACTGGGCTTCCTGTGACGTAACCCTGCTTTCTCCATGGCTCTGCTTTGGGCCAGCTGGTCACTCCTGGTTGCCATGGAGAATTAAAGTCACAGTGCGGATTATTATTCCTCGCAGCCTTTGGCTCCGAGTTTAATGAAAGGCGCAGATATTCTGGACGGACTGGTTTCTGTGCTTCCTGGATTATACCGGAAGTAGCAGCGCGTGGCGATTGTGATCGAGGCTCGCGTCCGCTTCAGAGGCGCATGGACGCCCACAGCTCAGCCTCCATCCTGCAGGGCTGACGGAGCAGCAGCAGCAGCAGCATGATGCCGTCTGAGGTGGAGTACAGCCCGGTGGGAGAGGGGCTGGGCATGCGGGACTTCTGGCTCTATGCGTGGCTCCGCAGAGCGGCTCTGATCTTGGCTCATCTCAGCGGCCTGGGCCTCAGCCTCAGCATCTCGGTTCTGTCCAGACCAGGAACCAGTGAGTGGCTTCAACTGGGATCCACTGGTTCCCAGAGGAGGGGGGGTTACTGGTTCCATTCAGTCAGTCTCTATGGAGAAACTTCTTTCATTAGCTGAAATATCTATGCTTAATGAACCAGAAAAATAAGGAGTTCACTCTGTCATTTATTCATTTAGAAAAATCAAAGTCCCAAATTAAATATTTATTATTTTAACTGAATGTTTATTCTTCCAAACTTCACTTAGACACATTTTATTTATTACAGCTTTCATAATATTTCCATTCATTTCTTAAGTGATCAAAACCAAACTTTCCCTATAAAGGCTTAAAGTGCAGTGATGACCAAAACGCATTGATAAGGAAGTTCAGAGCTTTAATATAAATGGTGCAAATATGGTGGGTTGCAGCCTCCACACCACACTAAACCACCAACTAAGTACTTTGTCTGGTAAATAACTATTTAGTTTGGAGCTAAATATGTTGGGCTACTCTATAAAGCTTAAAGCTATTTCTGACATTTTGAATTGAAAAAGCTTCCTGGATGGGAAGCGAAACGTCTTCAGACGTGGAAACAAAGTCCAGTGGATTGCTTTTAACTGAAGAAATTTATGTTCAAAATTTCTCGCCGTATTTCAACATGTTTCAGCGTACTCATAACTTATACCAAACAAACCCATAACTTATCCAATGTATTGCAATTCAACTCAAACTTTATTTATAAAGGACATTTAAAACAACCAGGGTTAACCAAAGTGCTGTACAGATATCACAGTTGCAGGAAATACGGTAAAAACTTACAAGCTAAAACAATGCAATAAAATAGAATGGAAATAAAATAGAATAAGTAAAGATTTTAATAAAAATGTAAATAATTTTTTTTTGTGTGCCAGATGTCAAGTTAGACAAAGCCAGGGAGAAGAAGTGTGTTTTTAGGGAGGATTTAAAAACCTCAACTTGTGCCAGCAGTTCTGCAGGCGTTTTTGCCAGACTTTGCGTATATCCGGCCTACGCTGGCCTGAATGGCTGAGGTGTGACAGGAGCTTGAAGAGTTTTTCTGTCTAACTGCAGAGAAGAAATGTTGCATCTTTCTCAGTTTCTAGTTCATGTCTGCTGAACTTTTAGGATGTTTCTCTGTTTTGCAGGTCTTTTTTCTTGGCATCCAGTGAGCATGTCTGTCGCAGTAAGTGTCCATTTCTTCTTCTACAGACACTTCTCCAGTCTGTAGGCTTCATAGTTAGCATGGCTATCACTGCCCCTACATGGTTAGCATGGCTAGCACTGCCCCTACATAGTAAGCCTGGCTATCGCTGCTCCTACAGAGTTAGCATGGCTAGCACTGTCCTTACATAGTTAGCATGGCTAGCACTGCCGCTACATAGTAAGCTGGCTAGCACTGCCCCTACAGAGTTAGCATGGCTAGCACTGCCCCTACATAGTTAGCATGGCTAGTGCTGCCCCTATTGAGTTAGCATGGCTATCACTGCCCATACATGGTTAGCATGGCTAGCACTGCCCCTACATAGTAAGCCTGGCTATCGCTGCTCCTACAGAGTTAGCATGGCTAGCACTGTCCTTACATAGTTAGCATGGCTAGCACTGCCCCTACATAGTTAGCATGGCTAGCACTGCCGCTACATAGTAAGCATGGCTAGCACTGCCCCTACAGAGTTAGCATGGCTAGCACTGCCCCTACATAGTTAGCATGGCTAGTGCTGCCCCTACATAGTTAGCATGGCTAGCACTGCCCCTACAGAGTTAGCATGGCTAGCACTGCCCCTACATAGTTAGCATGGCTAGTGCTGCTCCTATTGAGTTAGCATGGCTATCACTGCCCATACATGGTTAGCATGGCTAGCACTGCCCCTACATGGTTAGCATGGCTATCGCTGCCATGGCTATTGCTGCCCCAACATGGTTAGCATGGCTATTGCTGCCCCAACATGGTTAGCATGGCTATTGCTGCCCCTACATGGTTAGCATGGCTATTGCTGCCCCTACATGATTAGCATGGCTATCGCTGCCCCTACATAGTTAGCATGGCTAGCGCTGCCCCAACATGGTTAGCATGGCTATCGCTGCCCCTACATGGTTAGCATGGCTATCGCTGCCCCTACATGGTTAGCATGGCTATCGCTGCCCCAACATGGTTAGCATGGCTATCGCTGCCCCTACATGGTTAGCATGGCTATCGCTGCCCCTACATGGTTAGCATGGCTATCGCTGCCCCAACATGGTTAGCATGGCTATCGCTGCCCCTACATGGTTAGCATGGCTATTATACTCAACTCCAGTACAGCTTGCTTACAAAAGCAGCAATCTCATCTTGAAAAAGCAATTTAATTATCTGCTGATTGAGTGTATTTTGTGTTTTTAAGAATTACTTTTTGTAAAGTCCCTAAAAGGAAGGAAATGAGTCCCGGTAACGGCTGATATACTAATTATACCTGCTGCCTCTAGCAGCAGGTATAATTAGTCTCTTTCCACTGGAAAGACCAGGTTAACGCTTCCTCCTGCTTACTGAGGCAGCAAGTCCACGCCTGCAGAAAGTTATTTTTTTTTTATTTATATTAAATTTGAGGTATTTAAAAATGTTATTTTGACAATCAATGTTTAACTGTCAGAAAATCTGGTTATTCCGCTTCCGGATCTTGAATTGATCATGTGTTCAGGATGGTCCCATTTATTCACTCATACCTGGTTAATAGTGAAAGTTCTCCATTAATGATGTCATAGCGGGCTTAGGTGATTGGATGATGATCCAGTGGGGTTTAAATAGCTTCGGTAGATGAGCAGCAGTGACTCAGCAGTGACTCAGCAGTCAGTCCCCATCTAGAGTCTTTGTGTCTCTGTCATCTTTCCATTGTAAATATTTGATGCTGGAAGAGGAGGAGAAAGCTAACAGCTTCAGCTACTGTTTCACCTATTTCACGAGGCTTTCTGAAACCTGAGCAGATGACTTCAGTCAGGGATCATTAGTTCACCATGACGACACCGGGTCGCTACAAACACACAGCTGGTTCCTGGTTTGGCATAGTACTGGGGACCAGTTGTACCAAAGTACTTTGCTTTACGTTTAAATCGAGTGTAAACTAGGTTAGGGTTCAGGTTTGGTCAGGTATGCGCTGTTCCCGGTTGGGTTTATGGTTATTGTCAGGGTTGAAAATGAACTCCGTAGCATCTCCGTTTAAATGTGCAGCACCACCTAGAGCCAAAAGTGGCATATGCCAGTTGAGGACCGACTTCAGCCGGTTTGACCATTTTTTTTCAAATATTATTTCAACTCTGAATGTATGAAAATTATAGTTCCATGGATCATACACCACACATTTTACAGCAGGGGGCAGTATAACCTGTTGTTTGCAACCAGAGACGAAGAAGGAGTGTAAAGACGTTGGCTAGGCTAATGGTTAGCATATGACTGACAATATGCTGCTGTTTTTAGTCACATTATGAAAGCAAACGCAACAAGATTTGGTGGTATAAATTGTTTACTTTTTTTATCAACACATTTACAAATACACACAAATATTACTTTTTCATGAAGGCATAAATATATTGGCCCTGTCCGAATTCATGTTCTGTGTCCTTAGAAGGCAATATTCGAAGGACGATGACGTCATAGCGCGGCGCCGAGGTCTGGGTGGATTCCAAGAGTCCTCGTTATGCGGCCCTAAAATGCGTCATTCTTTTAGCCCGATTTGAAGGATGGGTCCGATGTATCCTCGCTATCCTTGGTTTACCCAGGATTCATTGCGAGACCAAGCAAGCCGTGATCAGAGGAAAGGTTACTTGGTGACGAACAGTGGTGAAAATTGGAAGTTCGGTTTAATATAATCCAGTCTGTGAATAGTTCCGTCTGAAATGAATGAAATTAGTTGTTTTAATGGTTATTTAGTCAGATATGTGGCGGTAATGTTTGATTTATCTAAAGGTTTTTATCTGTTACTGTTACCTGTTTGAATTCACAGCCAAAACTCTTCCGGTCTCCTTATTTTCACGGACTTGAAAGGATCCAGTCCAGGTAGACCGCGTCCTTGGAAGGATGCAGCCCAGGATTTCGAACAGAGCCAATGTCTATAAAACCAGATTCGGATATTTAGCGCCCTTGCAGGACCTTTGATGATACTGGCATATGTCCGGTTCCCACTGGCATATACCACTTTTGGCTCTGGCTGTCTCTCTGGATGTGAACAGACATCCCGCCGCTCTATCAGGAGCAGCTCAGCCCAGAACATTCTGAAGACATCGTCCCAGAACCACGATCCTCACCCTGATCTGAGCCCCATGTTCGGACCGAGATGTCTGCGTCACTCAGAAGCAGAGCTCAGAAGATTCTGCCTCCTGTGGTCATCATTAGGAAACATTTAGTCACCTAAAGTTTGATTTGAAACATTTCAATCATGCAGGTCAGGCTCAGAGCCACTATCTGCTGTGCTTCTGTTGACTTCAGAATAAAAGCATGAAAAAAACAAACTGAATTCAAAGTTAGTTGTTGGATAGTTTATTGTAGCGGCTGTAATCAGCATTTCTTTGTGGTTTATTTCATTATCAGCTGATGTGTGATGGATTAACTTTTTTAGCTCGTTAAATTCTGCTGCTTTTTTCTATAATTTCACAAAAACTCTGAATTTGATCCCATTTCTCTCCTCCATCTAAGTAGCTGGCACTCGTACTGGACTGATTAGACTTAGACTGACTAGACTAGATGTAGAAATGAGAGTTTCTGCTTCAGATTAAACATGGCCGCCCCCTCTCTCCTCTCTGCAGTACTGCTTGTGTATGACTGAAGGGATCCTGCTCTTCTCCGCTGAGGGAACCATCTTCTGCCTGAAGTCCCGGAAGAGTAAAGTCCGTTTCCACTGGTTGTGTCAGGCGCTGGCCCTGGTAGCCGCCGCCGTCGGCCTGGGCTTCATAGTGGCCAGTAAGAACGTCTCTGAGCTGCCCCACCTGGTGTCGTGGCACAGCCTGCTGGGGTCCTGCACGCTGGCTGCCTCCCTGCTTCAAGCAGCCTGCGGCGTCTGCCTCATCTTCCACAAGCAGCTGCGGCTCTCCGCCTCCCTGGCCAGACTCAAGCTGTACCACGCCACCTGCGGCCTGCTGGTCTACCTGCTGGCCACCGTGACGGTCATGTTGGCCATGTTCTCAGACTGGTTCCAGGCCACGGTGAGGGGGGGAGTGTGGTGGGTTCTGGTCATGCTGCCGCTCATCCCTGCTCTGGTGGCGATGAACCAGATCACCAACGCCTACCTGCCTCGCAAGAAGCTGAGCAGCTAGCCTCGGCCTGGTCAACATTCACTGTCCATCAGACGACTCAACTACCTGAAGAGTTTTTAATTTAAACGTAAAATTTTGTTTCTAAAGCTTTGATGAGAACAGTTTCTTACTTCTTTCCGTCCTGTTTTACCAAGTCCACACAGACGCCAACTAGGGGTGAACGGGGCAAATGCAGTACGGAGCATCAGATGGAGACCTGAATGTGTGCAGCAACTTAAATAGTGGAAGATGAAGCTAAAAGTATTTCCTCTCTATGAGGATCAGCTGCTGCAATAAAGATGCTGAGGATGACTTTAAACCTGTTAGGGGCATTCTTTAGATTAACTGGCCTATTTAATATAAAACAGGTGCTGTGCTGTGGGAAAAAAAAAAAAACGCTTTTGAATTCGATGCCTGGTAGTGGAACAAGAGATTGAAGTAAATAAATTAACAAACTGATGAGCAGCAGCTGCAGAGGATCCAAGAGAGGATTTCCTCCAGAATCAGAGCTGGTGGAGCGTCTTTTAATTTCCCTACTTTATAAAGCCCTGCTGCTTTATAAAGATCAGCTGCTTTATAAAGATCAGTTGTTTATAGAGATCAGCTGCTTTATAAAGATCAGTGTTTATAGAGATCAGCTGCTTTATAAAGATCAGTTGTTTATAAAGATCAGCTGCTTTATAAAGATCAGTTGTTTATAAAGATCAGCTGCTTTATAAAGATCAGTTGTTTATAGAGATCAGCTGCTTTATAAAGATCAGTTGTTTATAAAGATCAGCTGCTTTATAAAGATCAGTTGTTTATAGAGATCAGCTGCTTTATAAAGATCAGTGTTTATAGAGATCAGCTGCTTTATAAAGATCAGTTGTTTATAAAGATCAGCTGCTTTATAAAGATCAGTTGTTTATAAAGATCAGCTGCTTTATAAAGATCAGTTGTTTATAGAGATCAGCTGCTTTATAAAGATCAGTTGTTTATAAAGATCAGCTGCTTTATAAAGATCAGTTGTTTATAGAGATCAGCTGCTTTATAAAGATCAGCTGCTTTATAAAGATCAGCTGCTTTATAAAGATCAGTTGTTTATAAAGATCAGCTGCTTTATAAAGATCAGTTGTTTATAAAGATCAGCTGCTTTATAAAGATCAGTTGTTTATAAAGATCAGCTGCTTTATAAAGATCAGTTGTTTATAAAGATCAGCTGCTTTATAAAGATCAGTTGTTTATAAAGATCAGCTGCTTTATAAAGATCAGTTGTTTATAAAGATCAGCTGCTTTATAAAGATCAGTTGTTTATAAAGATCAGCTGCTTTATAAAGATCAGTTGTTTATAGAGATCAGCTGCTTTATTAAGATCAGTTGTTTATAAAGATCAGCTGCTTTATAAAGATCAGTTGTTTATAAAGATCAGCTGCTTTATAAAGATCAGTTGTTTATAAAGATCAGTTGTTTATAAAGATCAGTTGTTTATAAAGATCAGCTGCTTTATAAAGATCAGTTGTTTATAAAGATCAGCTGCTTTATTAAGATCAGTTGTTTATAAAGATCAGCTGCTTTATAAAGATCAGTTGTTTATAAAGATCAGCTGCTTTATAAAGATCAGTTGTTTATAGAGATCAGCTGCTTTATAAAGATCAGTTGTTTATAAAGATCAGCTGCTTTATAAAGATCAGTTGTTTATAAAGATCAGCTGCTTTATAAAGATCAGTTGTTTATAAAGATCAGTTGTTTATAGAGATCAGCTGCTTTATAAAGATCAGTTGTTTATAAAGATCAGTTGTTTATAAAGATCAGTTGTTTATAAAGATCAGCTGCTTTATAAAAATCAGTTGTTTAAAAAAATCAGCTGCTTTATAAAGATCAGTTGTATATAAAGATCAGCTGCTTTATAAAGATCAGTTGTATATAAAGATCAGCTGCTTTATAAAGATCAGTTGTTTATAGACATCAGCTGATATTTATAAAGCCCTGCTGCTTTATAAAGATCAGCTGCTTTATAGAGATCAGCTGGTTAGATTGAGCAGCCAGCTGAGCCCTGAATCAGACGAGTTAGTTTAGACCGCAGCCGTTTAAATCCGTTAGGAAGGATCCAAACTGGAATATATGCACTTGAATTTTAATGTGTGGTTTTCATTTCTGTACAGAAACCAGATTATTCCGTCTTAATGTACCTTCAGCTGCGGAACGCTGCTATAGAAATAAGGTGAACAGAATGTAGGGAATTTCTTAACGGCTCAGGGAACCTGATGCAAAGATCTACCAGATCAGTTAGAGGAATGTCTGGTTTCTGATTGGCTCAGGGTTCGTTAGTTTTCTTTGCTTGTTTATAATTGGATGTAAAGCTTTTTACTGCCTTTTCTGAGTGAAGGGTTCTGTGTGAAGTGGTTGATTTTTATCGTGTTTTATGTTTAAATCATGGGATTTGTTTGGGAGCAAAGGAAACTAATGGCAGAGCTGGAGTCACGTGACCAACGAGGAGGGAAAAATGATGTCAGAACGCTCAGTTAACTGAGTCCACTATATGGTGATGCAGGGGTCGGAGGTCAGGGCTGATGTTCGGACACCACCTCTGTTCCATTTGTCTTCCTCTAACCTCAGCTTTTTTTTATTCTTTTATTAAGATCTGAGACTTTTTTTAAATAGCAGAGCTCAGTGTGTCTGAGAAGGCAGGACTTTTCTTCCAGACTGACAATCATTGTTTTCTGCTTTCAGCTACTTTACTTCGCCAAAGAAATGTTAAATAACAGCAAATATGGGGAATAATATGTTGAGCGGTACCTACAGCCGCTGAGGTCATTTCTTCATGGTCAACATGTAGAAATGCTGCTGCCTTTACGTCCAGAGCAGCGGTCGGCAACCCAAACTGCTCAAAGAGCCATATTGGACCCAAAAAAAATAAAAAATCTGTCTGGAGCCGCAAAAATGTAAAAGTCTTATATAAGCCTCATATAGCAACACGGGCTTTAAGTGTTTTACCCCACTATAGAAAAGGACTATATGGGCTTAATATATAATAAGCATTCACAATTAAATGTTTATCCTGAAGCTAATGTCACATAGCAGCATGAGGTGAGGGACGAGCAGTGAACGCTCCGCTCCCATCGCGCAGCGCTTCACCGAGCGCAGCGCTTCACCGCCTTCACTGCGTGGTTTAAGTTTTCTTGCAATGATGAAATTATAGAAACACAATAAAGGAATCTTTCTATGGTGGACGTCTTTCTGTTGGGAGGAGTTTATTTGCTCTGTTCGAAAACCTAGGACGCATCCTTAGAAGACCGGATTCGAAGGCCGATGACCTCATAGCGCGGCGCCGAGGTCTGGTCGGATTCCAAGAGTCCTCGTTATGCGGCCTTAAAATGCGTCCTTCTTTTTGCCCGTTTTGAAGGACGGGTCTGATGTATCCTCGGTATTCTTGGATATCCCAGGATTCATTGCGAGACCAAGCAAGCCATGATCAGAGGAAAGGTTACTTGGCGCCGAACAGTGGTGAAAATTGGAAGTTCAGTTTAATATAATCCAGTCTGAGATTAATGAAAATAGTTGTTTTAATGGTTATAGAGTCAGATATGTGGCGGTAATGTTTGGTTTATCTAAAGGTTTTTATCTGTTACTGTGTAAATGGGTTTGGCTGGAATTTAAGGACAGATTCTAATATATCTGCAGGGTGGGGACTATAAATCTGATAGGATTTTTATCTTTTTATTGCTGTTTTGCACAATATGCTTAACTACGTATTTTTTGTTGTTGAATATTAGAGATTTTGCAGATATATTTTTTATAAATAAATTGTTTAGATTTACTTATATCTTTCTACCCCTTTTATAGAATAGAATAGAAAATCCCTTTATTTTCCCACAATGGGGAAATTTACAGCAGCAGAAAGATTATTGAAAATGGTCACACAAATGTGGACCTTAGAAAAATGTATAAGAATAACATAATAGGGAAGAGTTAAAATATAAACAATAAAATACTGTAAAGTGTTTTAACAATATAAAACTGGGGAATAAATAACCAATATGCAGCTATGGACATTTTTCCAGTAATGGATATTTGAAAATAGCAGCAACATCAGAGATGTGCAGAATGACAGCAGCAGGTTATTTAACTGACTAAGGTTTCTATCATTACATTTGATTTGATTTGTTCCTGCTCCCGGTGGTTGGAACCTTTATTCCACTCTGGATTCTTGTGAGTCTTTGTTCACTTCACAATAAAAAAGAAATAAATAAACAGTTTTGAAAACTTCTGTATTCATTCTTTTCCTGCTTTGTGTGTCAACGTTCACGGTTGCTAAGCAACAGAGCATACTGCGGTAAAACCCGCCGAAGGGTGGACCTGGTCGAATTTACAGCCAAAACTCTTCCGGTCTCCTTATTTTCAAGGATCCAGTCTAGGTAGACCGCGTCCTTGGAGGATGCAGCTCAGGTTTTCGAACAGAGCCATTGAGTCATGAGGAACCAAGCAGGAAGTGACATCAGAGCGGTGCTCTCTAACCCGGAAATCCCACATCCTCCATCACCATCGTTCCTTGGTCTGATTAATATTTTTAGGATTTGGGGAAAAAAATGGAAGAAAGTTCAGAGACCTGCATCAGAGCGCCACCTGTTGGATCTGTGGACGGTTTTCCATTCTTGCATAAATCTAGCAGCAGTAGTGGAGTTTGGAAATGGAATCCACTTCCTAAATCTATCTTTGTTCTCCTCTAATTTATCCTGCAATCGCACTTTTTCTCTCCCTCCCAGCTTGGTGGTGGGCTGCAGATTTAGCCTTTCCAAATTTTTCTTTTTATTTTTTGACAACCTCTCATTACAAAGCAAAAACGCAGACAATCGTTCAGCATAGATAATGAAAGCGAAGGATTCGGTCTCTTTGAATCCTCATTTCTTATCAACTATTTTCCTTTTTTCCCTTTGGGATTCATATTCTGAGACACGCCTGCAGCTGCGTTAGCCTGGCACCGCGCCGCGCCGGTTCCAAGTTATGACCACTGATCTCTATGGCTATGACGCCAATTATTGTTTAAATTTATTTATTAAACAAATGTTTACAGCATTGGAAAACATTCATTAATTTTTGTTTGCAACCTGCACACCATATTAAAACAAAAAAAATCGATTTTCATAAAATTTTTGAAAAAGCTCCAGGGAGCCACAAGGGGAGGCTAAAGCGCTGCAGGTTGCCGACCCCTGGGCTAGAAGAAGTCAGAGTTTCCGTCCTCGTTGAGGTTAAAACCTGTTTTTGTGCAGAAGGCTGCTGCAGACGAGCGTCTGGCTCCAGATGCTGCGCGTTGAGGCAAAGAAAAAACAAAAAAAACATGCAGTTATCAGAAAGAACGGGACATTTAGTGGCAGCGACCCACAGGTGGTCGGTCTCACCGCTCATCAGGTCGTTTCCATAGTTACCATTTTCCCTCCAGTTTTGTTTTTTTCCACACTGTAACGAAATTTTTATTTGCTGCTGACAGTGTTCCCTGATTGGTCCGTAGCCGACCAATGAGCCGCCTGGATTGATTGACAGTCGGCGTCATGAAGCGAATCCTTTCGTTAGGTTTTCAGAAGCGGCTCTTTATCGCTGCATATGAAGGTGACCGAGTTACCGAGCAGCTTGTCGATGTTCACCTCCACCACCTCCCCCGATGAGCTGCCCTCTCCTCCGCTGAGAGCTACAAGCACATGCTGTCCGGCCACCAGGGGGCTCTGCTCCTCAGCCGCCGCCCCTCCGTCCTCTTTGTCTCCTGCTGAAATCACCTGCTGGGACAGAACAGCTGGGTTGGTACAGGACAGCTGTCGGGTTCAGCGTTGCTCTGGTGATGGACGGTCATGCGAAGCCGGCGTTACCGTGTAGGTGGTGAAGGTCTGTCCCTGCGCCTCCTGCTCCACATGGCTGGACAGCAGATGCTCCTTTAGCTCCCGCTGGGAGGCGCAGACCAGAGAGCAGAGGGAGCAGCTGATTGGCTGGCTGCAGACGTGCTTCTGGGCTTCGTCTCCGCCGCCCAGCTCGGCCCTGCTGTCCGGGGCGCAGACGGCCGGCGCCTCTGAGGCTGAAGACAGACACAGTGTCAGTGAAGACTGCCGGTTGAGTACGAGAACAAATATAATCAGATTCCGTCTAAAAAACATGCTTCTGTTTGTCCTCAGTAATAATGTGAAGTATTATATGATTGTTTTATTGTGCAGAGCGGATGGGAGGCATGTCCCTGGCCCAAACATTCAAACACTGATCCTCCATTCTGACCGTAAACCGGGACGCTCAGAGAACGGCACTGTGACACAAAGGTTCCCACGTTCTGCACCGCAGGGAGAGCCTTCCTGAACGTTCCTGAGCAGGGAGGCGCTCCTCACCTGGGTGCTCCGCAGCCTGGTGTGTGGACAGACTGGCTGCATCAGGAAAGAACTTGAAGCAGAGCTCACACTGGACCAGGGTCTTGAGCTGCCGGGTTTGGCTGGCAAACACATCCGGATGGTTGGTTCTGTTGTGGTACCACAGCCCAGACAGCTGCTGTTAGGAGAGAAGGACGGAGGATTTAAACGTAGCAGTGACAGTGTGTGCTCTCCGTTAAACAGTTAAGGTCATGTTTGACCTTTGAAACAATAAAATCCTCCTTCTCACATATAAAGCCTTAAATGGCCAAGCTCCATCTGATATCAGAGATCTGATTGTTCCTTATGTTCCTAACAGAGCACTTCGCTCTCAATCTGCAGGTTTACTGGTGGTTCCTAGAATTTCTAAAAGTAGAATGGGAGGCAGATCTTTTAGTTCTCAGGCTCCTCTCCTGTGGAACCAACTACCAGTTTTAGTCCGTGAGGCAGACACCCTGTCTACTTTTAAGGCTAGGCTTAAAACTTTCCTTTTGGACAAAAAACCCTGAATTTGTCTGAAATGACAGCAAATCGTTTCCTGAGACATCACACCCGACACGTAATCCAGCAGGGGGCGGCGTAGCTCCGAATGAGATAAAGCCCAGCTCTGTTTTAGTCGGACTATTCAGCAATTCAGCAGAAATTTCATGGGTCTGACAGGAAGAAACGCAGTTACAAAGAAAAACACATCCGCTTTGGAGGAAAGTACAAAATAAAATGTGTTCATCTCAGAGAAAGAGTCCGGTTTTCCCTGTTTGGAATCACACTGAGTGCATGCAGACTCCCACATGATCAATGAAACATTTCTGCTGGTGAAGATTCTCAGTCATCCAGGTCAGAGTCATTCCAAACGAGTCCAAAATCAATCCACTGGACTTGGTTTCCAATTTGAAGATGTTTTTCTTCACATCTTTCATCCCATTTTTCAATCCAAAATGTCAGAAATAGTTCTGAGTTCCAGGTTTTATACAGCAGCCCAATAAAGCCTTGTTTTAGTTTGCATGTTTTCTAAACTAAAACAAGGATTTGTTGGTCTACTTTAAAAAGGAACTCAATACTATTCCTGACATTTGAATTCAAAAAGCTTCAGACAAGATAGAGGAGAGCAGGAGGCGGGGTTACCAATCTACTCGCTCTGGAGAGCAGAGTTCGCTGCTTTTAGATGTTGTCTCCAAAGTCTCCAGTAGCAGAAAAAAGTCTCTAGATTTGGCGCTAGGAGCTTTTTAGAAATCAAAGTGCTAGAGGGGTCTGAAAAGTGGCTAAATATAGCGACTAAAGCGCTAAGTTGGCAACACTGCTCTTTGCATGGTTTGTTTTCAAATGGTTTGCTGCTGTCTGTTTGGACCTTTCTGAACATGTGCAGCAAATGGACTGATCCAATATGGTGGACACTGAAGGGGGGGGGGGGGGGCTGAGACGTTCTATAAAAAAATCTAATAAATCAGAAAATAAAGATTAACAGGATGTAGAAAAACAAACAAACATCACTTTATGGGGATTTCAGTGTTTGTTTCCAGCTTTAATAACGTGGCTCATATCAAGGCGATCAGGTTAAAATAAGTTACCGACTAAATAGCAGCAGAGATTGAAATGAATAAAAAGGTGAAACTGCAGCGGGTCATGTGGAGCGTCCTACCTGATATGATTTGCTGCAGAGCTGGCAGCTGAAGGGCTTGCTTCCAGAGTGAGTAGCATTGTGTTTTTCCAGCAGCGCAGCGCTCTGGAAAACCTTGCTGCACGTGTTGCACTTATGGAACTCCTTTGGGTGGAACTCCTGGATGTGTTGCTGATGTTCCTCCAAGGTATGAAAGCTGAGGCAGCACTTCTTGCAGTCATGAGGTTCAGACATATCTGAGGGCAGAAGGATCAAGCACAGTCAGCAGCCCACACTGTGAATCTGTTCATTCCCTGCAGTTAGACCCAATCAAACCAAAACATTAAACCAGAATTATATTAAATCACTGAGGATATATTTGCTGATATATTTGGTCTGAGCCTGGTTCTGCTGGAGGTTTCTTCCTGTTCAAAGGGAGTTTTTCCTCTCCACTGTCGCTCCAAGCATGCTTAGTGTGAGGGATTGCTGAAGAGTCAATGGCCGTTTCTCAATTAAAAAGAACCTGACTACGGACTCGTGTCCTCGCCAAGTATGTTCTTGAGAAAAAGCCATTAGAGTCTGAACTCGGGGAGAACAGAAGCGTAGCGATGACATCACCACATTCTCAGCTGGTCTAGAGCTGCATTTCAACTCCTGTTATTAATCCTCAATTGTGTCTAGGTAATAATTAATTTTTACTTTTTTTTGTTTAGTGGGGGAATAATAATGAACACAGTCAGATAAAAATTTTGCTAATAAAACAAAAGAATTGCCACCAGATTAAATGTTAACCCTGGCTGTGGTTTAGTTTATATAAACGTATTTATAAATTATGCATTAAATCAGTAAACGGTCCATATAGTTCAGCTTAAAGTTTAAAGTCCTCGTCTGAAATGATCTTAAAACCTACTTTTATTGAACAGCAACAGAAAAGAGAACTTTAAACTTAATACTCTGAGCTCTGTGAGCGCTAACCTGGAAGCTGCTGCTGCAGCAGTGCATGCTGGGTAAAGAGGGAGGGGCCAGAACAACATCCTTAGAATATTGACACATAATCGATAAATACTCAGATAGCCAAAGGTTCCTTAAAGAACATTTTTTACTACATGAAACTAAAACTTTTCTGGATAGAGCTGACTGACAGACCAATTATTTTATTTTTTTATCTTAAATGCAAAATATTTATACGTTTCTTTACTATTTTGATTTAATTACTGCAAAGTGCAGTTAGCACATAGATCTATGCATTACAGAAGTAAGAACTTTTTCATGCAGATGTTACAGTAAAGACCAGCAGCGCTGGATCCTGGACAAGCAGGATTTCAAAGTCATGGAAAAACTGAAACCCTGAAGTGAAACACTGACATGGTATTGCTTATTGCAAAGGAAAATCGCAATAAAAACACAATTTTGGTTGAAAATAATCGCAATTTTGATTTTCCAAAATCGTTTAGTATTGATAGACAAAAAAAGTTTATCTTAGCAAAATGTTTACATATATATATTTTTTAAACCTTGGTATAATTCCCGCTCTAAGTGGGTCGCTCTGTATGTTTTAGAGTCTCTATACTCCAGTTAACGATTAATAAATTCCTAAATTAGTTGATTATTTCAATAATCGATCAATCCGATTGTTAGTTTTATCCTTTCCAGCTTTTATTAAATATCCTAGAAAACTTTTATTAGAGTTGCCATCCCTGTTAAAGAAAACAGTGTTATCTGAAAGGAGCTCTGAGCACAGAGATGCTAACTATGATAGCTTATCGTTAAAGCCGGTTAAAAGAAGACAGAGATGCTAACTATGATAGCTTATCGTTAAAGCCGGTTAAAAGAAGACAGAGATGCTAACTATGATAGCTTATCGTTAAAGCCAGTTAAAAGAAGACAGAGATGCTAACTATGATAGCTTATCGTTAAAGCCAGTTAAAAGAAGACAGAGATGCTAACTATGATAGCTTATCGTTAAAGCCAGTTAAAAGAAGACAGAGATGCTAACTATGGTAGCTTATCGTTAAAGCCAGTTAAAAGAAGACAGAGATGCTAACTATGATAGCTTATCGTTAAAGCCGGTTAAAAGAAGACAGAGATGCTAACTATGATAGCTTATCGTTAAAGCCAGTTAAAAGAAGACAGCGGTTGCTAACTATGATAGCTTATCGTTAAAGCCAGTTAAAAGAAGACAGAGATGCTAACTATGATAGCTTATCGTTAAAGCCGGTTAAAAGAAGACAGAGATGCTAACTATGATAGCTTATCGTTAAAGCCGGTTAAAAGAAGACAGAGATGCTAACTATGATAGCTTATCGTTAAAGCCAGTTAAAAGAAGACATAGATGCTAACTATGATAGCTTATCGTTAAAGCCGGTTAAAAGAAGACAGCGGTTGCTAACTATGATAGCTTATCGTTAAAGCCAGTTAAAAGAAGACAGAGATGCTAACTATGATAGCTTATCGTTAAAGCCGGTTAAAAGAAGACAGAGATGCTAACTATGATAGCTTATCGTTAAAGCCGGTTAAAAGAAGACAGAGATGCTAACTATGATAGCTTATCGTTAAAGCCAGTTAAAAGAAGACAGCGGTTGCTAACTATGATAGCTTATCGTTAAAGCCAGTTAAAAGAAGACAGAGATGCTAACTATGATAGCTTATCGTTAAAGCCGGTTAAAAGAAGACAGAGATGCTAACTATGATAGCTTATCGTTAAAGCCGGTTAAAAGAAGACAGAGATGCTAACTATGATAGCTTATCGTTAAAGCCGGTTAAAAGAAGACAGAGATGCTAACTATGATAGCTTATCGTTAAAGCCAGTTTAAAGAAGGAAAATGAAAGGCTGCAGTAACTCATAGGGTTTGGCTTTTTCCAGCTGCCAAAATACTATCAGAACGCAACGCTGCCAGTTCTGTTAGCTCTACGCCTGCCGAAGACACAGACGTCCATCCCCGTGAACACTGGGACGCAACTCAATGGGAAAGGAAAGGATTCTGGTTTCAACCGTTGCGTATATTAGCTGCGACACATGAATCAAGATGCTATGACCGAAAACATTTGATTGACAGATGACCGTTGATATATGATTGGATGAATTTAGGTGTTCAGGCTGAAGTAGAACTAACTGGCCTGCAGAAGATAACGGAAAAAACACAGATTTTAAGACAGGATTTTTTTTAAATGGAAATTTTCTAAATTTTGGGACAATATGTTCTGATAAAGAGAACATTTATATACATGTTTAAGCCAGAGTGATTTGACATTTAAATATGATTTCCCTACGACTTTATTTCTAGATAGTTCTTGCAGTGCATGATCCTCGCTGATAATCATGGGTCTGCGAGTCAAAACAAAATCAGATTTTATTCCAGAACAAACTCTAACAAACCAAGAACCACTAAATGAACAGATTCATATTTCTTAGGTTTGTTTAACTCAGACAGTTGGTTCAAAAAGCCTGGAGGAAGCTGCAGGTTGAAGCCTGCGGCGGTTTCTTACTGTGGGACGTCTGCAGATGCACCGTCAGTCCGCTGGCCTGGCTGTAGCCCTTCCCACATTCCCGACACACATAAGGCCGGTCGCCGGTGTGTGTCCGAACATGGCGCGTTAGCTCAATGGACTGGGCGAAGACAGCCTTACAGTATTGACACACATACATCTTTCCTAAAAAGAAAAAGAGAAGCAGAACGGACCGTCAACCTCCCCACCTGCCATCCAAAGGAGGCTGAAAGCCTCACAGCCAGACGGCCGTACCCTCAGAATGTTTCCTCTTGGTGTGGTAAGCCAGTCCGGCTGCCACGCTGAAGCTCATGTCACAGTGCTGACAGTGGTAGGGTTTCTCTCCAGTGTGCAGCCGCATGTGGTTCTTCAGGGAGGAATTGGCTCCGAACGTGGCGCCGCATTCCTCGCAGGAGAACGGTTTCACCTCTAGATGCTCCGCTTGTTTGTGGTAAACCAGACCTGAAATGTTGGTTAGAAGCAGCTTTGAATGATTGGGGTCTTTTTCTAGAAATACACGTGTTCATCAAAAGCTGAACGGAATCCTTTGTTGCAGAGCAAAAAGCCGGCATCTTACTTGGCCAATACATACTGGTGGAAAAATGGACTTAAAGGGATAGTTCGGGATTTTTGACATGAATCTGTATGGCATCCCCATCACCAGTGTCATGCAATCACACTGACTTACCCCTGGCAGCATCCTGTGAGCAGAGTTCTCGTCCAGCTTTAGTCAAGCCGAAAGTAGTCCGGCAGGTTTGCTAGACCCAGCGAAATAAAACGTTTCTCTTCCCAAAACATTATGTGTTCAAAAGAGTGATATTTTTGCATCCCAAAAACGTTGTAGTGGAAAAAGTCACACGTCGTTATCACTTGGTCCTATTTTCTCTCTGTTCGTATCAGTGCGCGCCGTCATTCAGACAGCTAGGGCCTACTAACCCATCTGGCTGTTGTTGAGCTCGCTGTCTGAATGACGGCGTGCACTGATACGAACAGAGAGAAAATAGGACCAAGTGATAACGACGTGTGACTTTTTCCACTACAATGTTTTTGGGATGCAAAAATATCGCTCTTTTGAACACATAATGTTTTGGGAAGAGAAACGTTTTATTTCGCTGGGTCTAGCAAACCTGCCGGACTACTTTCGGCTTGACCAAAACTGGACGAGAACTCTGCTCACAGGACGCTGCCAGGGGTAAGTCAGTGTGATTGCATGACACTGGTGATGGGGATGCCATACAGATTCATGTCAAAAATACCGAACTATCACTTTAAGGTAGAAACTAGCAGCCCAGGCGTGACACATAATGTTGCTCATATGGTCAGAAACTAGGCTTGTCGCGATCCGATCCACGTATCGGATCAGGACACCGATATTGGCAAAAAAATGCGTATCGGCAAAGCATGTAAAATGCCGATCCAGTTTTAAAAAAAAAATCCGGTCCGTATTTTCCAGTTTCGCCGATTGAAACGATCCATTCCACTATTTTGCGCCAGTGTTTCCCTGTTTTGCATTTTTATTAAAACTTACAGTAATACTTGCACCTTTAACTGTTTACGGTTTTACTGTTCACTGTGCAATTTCAGATTGCTATTCATAATTTTGTCCAGTTTGTGTTTATCTCTTAATAAACAGGTAAGTTTGTTGTTACCAATCATTGTGTTTTATTCAATCTCACCTAATTTAGCTGGCTAGATGTTATCAAGAGTACTAAAACCCTTTTCAACATGAGTCTTACAACTAAGGCTAAATACTTTAACTTAAACTTAAATACATGCTCGGATAGGCTGATATCGGCCAGTATCGGTATCGGATCGGAAGTCCAAAAACAATATCGGTATCGGATCAGAAGTGCAAAAACCTGGATCGGGACATCTCTATCAGAAACATAAAATAATGTTGAAACAATAAAGCCTGGACCTGTTTCTACGGCAGGTTCAGCTCAGTGACAGAGTCTCCTCCTCGCTATTTAATGAGCATTTCTGTGGAAAGTTTGGGGCATTTCATTTAGCGTTTATCATCTTCAGCCTCCAACTAACGGCTGTTTATAATGCAGAGAACACCAATTCTTCGCTCAGTTAATGCTGTTAAGGTCGTCTTTTGTTTTTTCAAGGTTTATACAAATAATTTTGACATCAAAATCCCCGATATGTGCTGTTAATGTTTGGGATCTGGATTGAGGATGTTAAAAATACACTTAAATTTCTACTTATTGAGCTGATAGATTCGTGCAGGTTGCAGAAATAAAAAACACACATTCAAATTCAATATTCCAGTTTGGAATATATGCAGATTGAAGCAGCTGTGGTTTAAGCTAACTGGTCTGAAACGGCTCTCAGCTGGCCGCTCCGATCTAACCCGCTGTTCCAGCAACACCTTTAGAAAGCAGCTGGCTTTATAAAGTAGGGAAATGAAAAGAAGCTCCATCATTCTTTGTTATTACCGGATCAGCAGCATTTCCTACTTTATATGTCTATTTTTTTAAAAAGTGACACACAATATAACTAAGTTAAAAATAGGGATGCACAATATAATCGGCCCCCTATCGGTATCGGCCTTAAAACTGAATATCGGACATCGGCCACCCCACCGATATTTAACCCGATATTTGATCAGCTTCTGAGTTTCTAAAGTCTAAAAATAAAAAAATACTACTTCTTCTTCTTCCTCAAAAACTTCTTTTTTACAGACTTAAAAACTTCTAAAGATGAGGGAAAAAATATTGATCCATTAAAATATCCCAATATCTTCATATGCTGATATATTGCCATTTAAAAACACCATATCAATCTCTTTTACTAATGAAATATTGCTATATGTCATCGTTATGCTACGAAATCCCCCGAAAATTCACCAAATGTTGCCATATTTTTATATGTTGATATATTGACGCGGTATCGATCTATTTTACTAACAAAATCTCACAAGAATTTGCAAAATATCACGAGAGTTTGTAACAGAACGATGAAATTTCACCAGATTTTGAAAGTAAAATAGATCGATACCGCGTTTTTAAAAATCAATTTGATATCAGCGTATGAAAATATATTTGAGTATATTATTTTTCAAAGTGTCAGAAATGGATAACAAAACTGCTATTTTCAATGACTACTTATTTTTGTCCAGCTTTAACATCGGTATCGATATCGGTTATCGGCTACATGAGTTTTAAAATATCGGCATATCGGATATCGGCCAAAATCCCAATATAGTGCATCTCTAGTTAAAAATAATAATACAATCACAGTGTAAACATCAGGTCTTGCTTCATCTTCTGCATCAGAATGCCAGCCGCTTTCTGAACAAGTTTCCTCCAAATAGCCAGAATTCATCTTCAACGTCTGAATCCAGACTCTTATAAAGAGGCTTGGTGATAAAAAGCATTCAGGCCAACATTATTTCCTACTCTGTTAGCCTCATTTTAAAATAGTAGAAATGTTCTGTAAAATTCTAATAGTTAATTTGGACCCAGGATGCATGTGTTACTGCTGCTCTGGAGATGATCAGACAATGACCTCTGACCCCTGCTTGGAAAGGTCAGAGCCTCTAGTTTCCGATGATGAAGAGTCCGACATGTCGGGTGGAATTCTAAATCTTTTGTTTACAGGTATTTGTGTAAAACTCTGTGTTTCAGCCACATCTGCAAATAGAGATGGAATGTTCCGGGTCACAGCGGTTCTCACCTGATGGGTGGGCGAAGCTGCGCCCACAGATGTCACACGCCACCCTCTTCTTGACGCGCGGCGTGCTGCGGTGGACCTCGGCGCGGTGTCGCTGCAGAGCTCGCTGACTGGGCAGCTTCTTGGCGCACTGAGGACACTGGACCTCGCACTCCTGGGACATGGAGCAGCGCTTGACGTGGGCTAGCATCCGGCATTTAAAGTTGAACGCCTTCTTGCACCATCGGCAGGGGAAGCGCTTGGAGGCGGAGAGGTCTGCTTCAGCATTAGCTGCCTCCTCCTCCTCCTCATTGGCCTCCGCTCCCTCTGACTTTATTTCCCTCATGGAGTCGTCTGGCTGTTCACGGACGGCTGCTCACACCCAGAGGAAGGTCAGACGTAGAAAACCACAGATAACAGGAAACAGATCCCAGTGAATCTCTCTACCTTCGCCTTGCAGCGTTTGACCGTCCAGATCTTCCAGCAGGGAGGCCAGCGGGGGAGGGAAGGTCAACAGAGCTTTCCTCTGGATGTTCTGGAGCAGCCGAAGGAGCGACTCCTCACTGATCCTTCCGGTACTCAGTTTGCCCATCAGCTTCTCCAACGCAGCGCCTGGTTCCACGTCCTCATAGCACTCGCTTACAGCCTGAACCAAACAGATGTAATCAGGTTTATCCATCATGGAGACAGCCAGGCACCTTCCCACCATCCTGGTAATACTTCACACCTGTGCTACCTGTCTGTCCCGTTCATCCAGACCGCTCTGTGCCGCCTGCCTCAGCAGCTCCAGGACAGACGGAGTGCTGCTGAGGAGCTCCACCAGTTGAGAGGACGACTGCAGCAGCTGAGCCGCGGCTCCCCCGGACTCCTCTGAGGCAGAGGTGCTGCCGTCTTCCGCTGCTCTCCCTGGACTTCCTGCCTTTTCCAGTCCTGTAAATGATTAAGAAAGAAAGAATCCCATGTTTTCATCAGAAACACAGCTTATCACAAGCTTCCCTGGATGAAATATTTACTTAGATCTATATTTCTACTACTAGTGGTTCCTAGAGTTTCTAAAAGTAGAATGGGACGCAGATCTTTTAGTTATCAGGCTCCTCTCCTGTGGAACCAACTACCAGTTTTACCCTGTCTACTTTTAAGGCTAGGCTTAAAACTTTCCTGTGTTTCCAAACTGACTGTTTCCCGTCAGATTAACACATTTTATTCTGGATTTTCCCTCAAAGCGGATATTTTTTTTCTTTGTAATGGCGTCTCTCTTCCTGACAGACCCATGAAATTGCTGCTGAATTGCTGCGCAGTCTGACTAAAATAGACCTGGGCTCTATCTCAGTCGGAGCTACGCTGCCCCCTGCTGGAAATCGTCCACATTGACTTTCAGTCAGCGCTAAACGCCACCACCTCTGAGGCACAATATTCTAGATCAGATGCCAAACTGGATTTGGTGCGTTCTGAGCTTAACAGGCAGTGGAGCGGTTTCAGAAAATTTATGAGTGATTTAGGATTCAATTATTTTAGGATCCATGAAGTGTTGTGGTCACTTTGTTTTGTTCTTATGGAGCGCTGCGTTTTGCTGCCTATGATGAAAAGCAAATATTAATGTGATTAGAAGGAGGAAACTGACCCGAGGTGTCAGAGAGATCCTCACTTGGCTCCTCTGCCTCCTGTTTGTAGTCATGGTAACGTTTCTCCTCCAGCTCAGCCGTCGTCTCCATCTGCTCCGAAGCCGAGTCCTCCTTCGTCGGGGAGGCCGACCCTGCAGGGCTCTCCTGGCTGCTCGTCTGCATGGATTGCTCCAGCTGAGGAGCTTTCTGACCCACCAGTGCGCTGACGACCTTTTTAAAGCCCACGGCTACATCTAACATTTGCAGGCTGTCGGCGGCGGCGACGATGCGGCTGGCGTTGTGTTTCCCAAGAGGTAACTTGCCGGTATAGAGCATCTCTAAGAGCGAGCCAAACTCCTGGGAGGAAACCACGTCGGTGTCGATGGAGATGGTGTCAGAGCCGATCAGCAGCGACCTGAGCGAAGGGAACAGCGTTTAAAACATCTCCGTTTCACTCAGCACTTTTATTCGACTTGAATCAATTGTATCAGTTGAAAGCAGAGCTTATCGTAGAAATATGAGGTCAACTCTACCTGAAGAGCATGCTGGAGGCGGCCAGTATGACTTTGTGAGCCGGGTAGGGACTGTCTCCCACCCGGATGGTGCAGTCACAGAACAGACCCTCCTTCCTCAGGGTCCACAGCTGCTGCATCAGCTGCCTGCTGAAGTCCGGGAGCTCCATCATCCTGATGGCGGCTCTGCAGACAAAAACCAGCTTCAACTCTGACTTTTCACTCACATTTTAATCTGTAACAGTCTGCTCACACAGCGGGTCCAAATAACCGTAAAAAGCTACAAATATTCTCATTTCAAACTTTTTCACAGCTTATATCCATCACTGTAAAAATGCCCATAGCTGTATGTTGGTTATTTATTCTACAGGTGCACAGTCTAGAATCATTACAGCACTTTACAGGAAAGGATTTTATTGTTTATCTTTTAACTCTTCAATTAAATGTAAATTCAGTTTATTTCTATAGCTCCAATTCACATCATGTCATCTCAGGTCACTTTCCAGTTCACCAGATCATCCAGTCAGATTGATTCAAGGTTTTCTATCTAAGGAAACCAGCTGATTGCATCGACTCATTGACTCTTCAGTAATCCTGCAGCGACAGTGGAGAGGAAAAACTTCCTCTGAACAGGAAGAAACCTCCAGCAGAACCAGGCAGCCCTTCATATTATTTCATTCTTATACATTTTTCTGAAATATTTTTGCTGCTGTAACGACAGAATTTCCCTACTGTGGGACAATAAAATGATTTTTATTGTATTCTAAGAAAGCAGAGCTTCCAATGTTATTATAAACTTTATTTACAAAAGGACAGTGAACAGTTTCAATGTAATCTGAGACCATTTGACGCGCGGTTCCAGATTATAATCTGGTAAAAAAAAATCTAGTCCCTAAACAGATTACAAAAATTATATCAAAATACAAAAAGAGAGAAAAACAACCATGTTAAAAACGGCAGATTTGTTAGACTGGATTTAATCGCTGATATGGAGCAGGACACTAAGCATGGCTGTTAAATCTGTAATCCTGACATGAACTCAGCAGCCGGATAATCTGGATGGGAGATTATCTGCTTTAGCAGAGCGGCACTGAGGAGCATCTGAAGGATGAGTTTGTTTTTGCAGAGGGTTAAATGTTGCAGCAGAGCATCTAATGTGAGAGAAGCTAACTCGGCCAGCTTTAGCTTTAATGCTATCCTCTCTGCTTTTCCAAAGGAAACGCGCTGAAGGAGACCAGCTCCTCTTTACCTTTCATTCAAAGCTGCAGCTCTTTATTTAAACTTCTCTGCTGAACAATCCGGTGACGTGCACAATAAAGCTTAGCCGTTTCAAACATGGCGACCGGCGACCCGGAAACGGTTAACTGCTTCCGGTGGCCGGAAGTCCTACGTCATCGTTTCATTACCCCACAATGTACAGCCGTCAAACTAATTCATTCACATTTTATTTTATTTTTTTAAATGATGTAAACTTTTCTCTAAGAAACTTTAACAAACTGCCTTTAATTCACTTGATCAAAACTCCTGTTATATAATATATATTATACAGCTTGCTGATTTCACATCTGTTTGATAAAATAATAATAATAAATTAATTAGCAGTTTCTTGAAAAGTTCAGGATTATGATAGATTTACTTGGAAGAGATATTGCTGTTAGTTCAGATACAGTCAGCATTCTCAAAATGTGTTAAATGGCCTATTCTACCTAAAGTCAAAGAAACACTCCTTAAAGTTATACACAAAATGTATCCTATTATCAAATTAAAGAATAAAAAAAGGTTTGGTTATGAGGTTGTTTCTTTTGTAAAGATAACGGTGAAACCCTTGAGCAACTCGCAACAGATGAAAGATTGCATGTCTTTGAAAATGAATGATGTTCCCCATTTTCACTTAATAATGTCATTTTTACATTTCCCATGTTTCTGACACTATTAATATCATCCTGCTGCTGGGTAAATATTATATCCACTGTGCTAAATGGAGAAATGCTAAACCCTCCTGTCATTGCTTTATTAATGACTTTAAAACCTTTTTTCCATCTCTTAAAAAGGTTTAAAAAAAGACAAATATATTGACATAAATCTCATGCTATGTGTAATAATTTATACTTTTCTCTTGTTAATAATCTTCATTTGTTAATGTGTATTTTTGCCATCCTCAAAAGAACACGGCTGTTTCTAATATACGACAGCATATTAAAAGTAAAAACAAATGTATGGAATTTAAATAATTGAGTTCAAAGTTGCATTTTTACAAGTGAAAACAACCAAATTTACGTGATTGTAAACATACTGTACAAGAATAAATACTCAACTTTATAAGAATAAAACATGCATATTTAAGAGATTAAAAATATGCAAACTTATAAGGAAAAAAGTAGAAAATTTACAAGACCAAAACTTAAATTCATGAGTAAAAACATGCAAATTTCTGAGATTATACATGCTAATTTATTGTATCATTCATTTTTACTTTAAAAACTTCCATGAGGTGGTTTTACTGTCTCATTCCATCGCTTTCTGTAGGATACTTTAACTTTAAAGTGTATTATAATCTGGCATTGTTTCGCTAATGTTTAAAGCGTACAAATTTGCTTCTTTTTTACTCCTAAACCTGCATGTTTCTTTCGTATTAATTTTTCTCTATATTTTTATTTTTTAACTTCCTAAATTTGCTTGTTTATTGCTGTAAAAATCCCACTTTAAACTAAAAATATTTTTTGTCTTTGAATGGCCCTAATACACCATAATAGTAATTATTAATCAAATAAAGATTAACTCCACATTAAACAGGGTCAGAGATTTTTTCTGTTTGTCTTTCACAGAAGAACCATTATGATTTATTGGTTAAAATTTTGGATCAACCCTGTTTCCTTTTTATTGTGTCCCTAAATGTATTGTTAAATAAGTAATTTGATTAAAATCTCTTCTACTCCACTTAAACATAAAACAAATGGCTATTAAACAATTAGCTTTCATAAAAAAAATTAATACTGTTAAATACTGTAGATAACCTCTCACCACAATCATACAGATCCACAGTGACGTGCGGTGAGGTTCATAGCTGGTGAGGCACTGACGTCATCAGAATCAGATTTGCAAATAGATGCATAGATTGACAGCAGTTTACAGGTTATGTTTCACTTCTGCATCCTTACACATACAAACTGTAGCTCACAAAACACACATTTCCTTAAAAAACAAAACAAAATAAATGTTATTACTGTCTTACCTTTACTTATAAATGAATAGAAGTCCTCCTTATCTTCCTTCAGTTTTAAAAGTCTCTCTGTCTCAATGGAGATCACTGCCAGGGAAGAAAGCCTTCCTTGATCCGTCCTGTTCCTGCCTTATGTTTTCAGTCTCTTGAGCACCCCCTGCCATGAGGCAAGAGAACTGCCTGCCTCACCTCGAACTTGTTCTCTGCCGTTTATAATCGCTCATTACACGAAACACGTTACACAAACACAGTTGGTGACAAAAAGCTCTGTACATTATATACATAAGCCAAATTATTAGAAATAAGTTCACATATTACATTTGTTTAAACCATTTTATTGACGCCGTACAGCAACATGCTCTCTCCGCTTTGCAGCCAGCGCAGAGCCAGGGGTTGCGCAATCCAAGGTGAGGCAGAGCTCGCTGCTGCCTCACCGGCATCGCTTCCAAGCATTTGAATGGGAAAATAAGAAAATTCAGCGATTTTGAACAAATAAAAATCGAAATTGGTGAAGCTACATGAAAAATGAATATTTTTTAGTACAAACCACCGGATGAATATAACAATTTAAATTACTTTATGATTATATATTTTCTTTCTTTCCATGATGGCTGGTGAGGCACTGCCTCACCTGCCTCCCCTGACCGCACGTCACTGCAGATCCATCCATCCTCTACTTCTGTCAGGGTCAATATGGGGAAATAGATTAATTTTATATCTAAAGGTTTTAGACCTTTTTTAAAAGATGGAACGGAGCATATTCGAAAATATTTTATGATGATCTGATTGTTCCTTATGTTCCTAACAGAGCACTTCGCTCTCAATCTGCAGGTTTACTAGTGGTTCCTGGAATTTCTAAAAGTAGAATGGGAGGCAGATCTTTTAGTTCTCAGGCTCCTCTCCTGTGGAACCAACTACCAGTTTTAGTCCGTGAGGCAGACACCCTGTCTACTTTTAAGGCTAGGCTTAAAACTTTCCTTTTTGATAAAGCTTCTAGTTAGAGTGGCTCAGGTTATCCTGAGCTATCTCTATAGTTCTGCTGCTATAGGCTTAGACTGCTGGAGGACATAGGGACCCCTTTTTCATCATTCTGCTTCATTCTATCTCTATTCTCCCACTCTGCAGAATCTGTCAGTTCAATCTCTAACGTTCTGCTCTCTCTGCTTTTTCTCATAGTAGCTTCATCTGGTCTGTTCCTGTTTGGCTGTGACTCCATCCTGGAGAGAAATATCAGCTGTGCTGCTGCCATCATAGCAATTTACGTTGCTTATTAAGAAATTACAGCAGCAATGGCCATTATTTAACTTTTAATTTAAGTGATTTTGCCTACTTTGTAGGCAAGTTGTTTTGCCCATAAAACAACTTGTTTATTTCAAAACAAGTTGTTTCAGATAGAGTATAAATTAGAATTAACTCTTTAACTACTCAGTTTTTTAGTGTTTCTACTTACATCCATCCATCCATCCACCTTCTTCGTCTTATTCGGGGTCGGTCGGTTGGGGTAACAGCTTCAGTAGGGAGGCCCAGAGGTCCATCTCTCAAGCCGTTTGATCCAGCTCGTCTGGGGGCATCCCAAGGCCCTCCCAGGCCACCCCAGAAATATCGTCCCTCCAGCGTGCCTGGGTCTCCCCCCTGGGCCTCCTCCCAGTGGGACATGCCTGGAACACCTCACCAGGGAGACGTCCAGGAGGCATCCTAACCAGATGCCTGAGCCACCTCAACTGGCTCCTCTCGATGTGGAGGAGCAGCGGCTCTACTCTGAGTCCTCCCTGGATGACTGAGCTCCTCCCCCTCTCTAAGGGAGAGCCCATATGCACTATGGAGAAAACTCATTTCAGCCGCTTGGATCTGGGATCTCGTTCTTTCGGTCATGACCCAAAGCTCATAACCATAGATGAGGGTAGGAACGTAGTTCGACCGGTAAATCGAGAGCTTTACTTTTTGGCTCAGCTCTCTCTTCACCACAACAGACCGGTACAGCGCACGCTTCACAGCAGACGCCGCACCAATCCGCCTGTCGATCTCCTGCTCCATCTTCCCCTCATTCGTGAACAAAAGCCCAAGATACTTAAACTCCTCCACTAGGGGCAGTACATCCTCCCCAACCTGGAGAAGGCACTCTACCCTTTTCCGCCTCATGACCATGGTCTTGAATTTGGAGGCACTGATCCTCATCCCGGCCGTTTCACACTCGGCTGTGAACCGCTCCAGTGAGAGCTGTAGATCACGCCCTGATGAAGCCAACAGAAACACATCATCTGCAAATAACAGAGATGCAATCCTAAGGCCACCAAAACGGATCCCCTCAACACCTTGGCTGCGCCTAGAAAATCTGTCCATAAAAGTTCTGAACAGAATCGGTGACAAAGGGAAACCTTGGTGGAATCCAAGCCTCACCAGAAACGAGTCCGACTTACTGCCGGCAATGCGAACCAGACTCTGACACCGGTCATACAGAGACCTAACAGCCCCTATTAAAGGGCCTGGTACTCCATACTCCCGGAGGACCCCCAGAGGACCCCCGAGGGCCTTCTTCCAGATCCACAAAACACATGTAGGCTGGTTGGGCAAACTCCCAGGAACCCTCCAGAATCCTGCTGAGGGTGTAGAGCTGATCCAGTGTTCCACGGTCAGAACGAAAACCACACTGCTGCTCCTGAATCCGAGATTCGACTATCCGACGAACAAACATCAATACTATTATAGCGTCACCTTCTTAAAATAATCGCATAAGTCATTTTTCCAGGTTAGGGTTAGCTTGAGCAAAATAAATCAGCCTAAGTCACATCTCTTGACATAGGCAAAAATCATAAATGGGTTTTACCACATGATTAATTCAACTGAGGGTTCTGGCCATTTCACCATAGGTGGCCAGCAGGGGGAGGACATGAGTTATGCAAAAAAGTCAATTTGGCCAAAAAATGACTTAGGCGATTATTTTAAGAAGGTGACGATAGTATAATCATTTAATGGCAGCTGGTATTCTATGGGTAATGGAGTGGCCAGCGCAGTCACCAGATCTGAACCCCATTGAGCTGCTGTGGGAGCAGCTTGACCGTATGGAACGCAAGAAGTGCCCATCCAACCAATCCAACTGGTGGGAGCTGCTTCTAGAAGCGTGGGGGGGAATTTCTCCAGATTACCTCAACAAATTAACAGCTAGAATGCCAAAGGTCTGCAGATGGAGGATTATTTGATGAAAGCAAATTTGATGTAAAAAAAAATCTCATTCCAAATACAAATCATTATTTCTAACCTTGTCAATGTCTTGACTCTAATTTCTATTCATTTCACATGAATGGTGGTGAATAAGTGTGACTTGTTTGGGTGACCCAAAACTTTTGAACTGTAGTGTGTATGTATAGATATATATATATCTACTGGACACGTTTAGCGAAGCGTCTCCTCTCTGGCTGCTGCACTATACTTCGTTTTCCTGTGTGGGGAGGGCTTCTCCTGCCACAGGGCTGGTTTGAAGGTTGTTTCCGCATTTTCCTTGTAAAGAAAAGCCAGGAAATTTATAGGAAGAAGCACTTTAATGGTCCGCAGTATTGAGTAATTGGTTTGGTATCATTCTGAGTTCCAAATAAAAACCAAGCAGATGTTGTAGGAAACAGGAAACATATTCAAGGCTTCCACAGAGCTGAAAGAAGACAGCTGTTGAAAATAGCTTTATTGTTCATAAGAAAACAACTGTGAAAAGAACTGGACATGTAATCATATTTTTACTGTTTAAAGTAAAAAACAAAAAAAAAAATCAGCTTCTACAAAACTTTCAGTTTTTTTCCGACTGATAATGTGTTTGATACTGATTGGATATTGTGACGTCGGGCCGTTAAATGTTTGAACGTCTCAGAGCAGTAATAATCACTCGTGTTCTGATTTATGAATTCTGTAAATAGAACAATAAAGAACAAAAACCTCCAAATAATGGGAAGACGATGTCCGTCCTCACCACCGACCCAAAGAAAAGATCCGTTTCCCAGATGACTGTCAAACTGAACTAAAGTATAACGTTGGAGAACAGCAGGTCCCTTTCTATCGTCTGCCTCAAGTAGGAACACACACTTTTTCATGAACAAACTATGAAGTTCAAAATTTATCAAAAGACCAACTATCCTTAAGCAAAGGAAAACAGATTCTTTACAACATAGCCACATTTTCATTAAAGAAAACCTAGCTAAAACATAGAAAAAAAAACTAACTTAAAGCACTTATTTATATATTGACACTTCACATATTCAAGCATTTTCCTCCAATTTCCATGGAATTTAGTTATGGCTACAGCAGAGCGTTCCTCAGTGTCCAAGAAGGCCTGTACCTACAGAGGGACACAAATAAGAATGAGTCCACCTGAACAGGAAGTCAACATTTCAGGAACATTTCAAAGTGATTTTTATGAAAGATGGTGACTCCTTTCAGAATTTACTGTATTGGCTCCAATACGACTGAGACTACTTTTATTGTCATTTTGTACACAAAGGGCCGGATCTATCAAAGGTTTGCGTGTATAAAAACGTGAGCTATTTCACTGCGCACGCTAAAAAATGTACAAACTGATCTATCAATAGCATGCTAAAAGGATTTGGTCTTTAAAACGTGCTAAATAGCGCCTCTTATCCATTTAGTACTTTTTCTGCAATGAATATGCAATATGGGGCGTTTACACGCAAAAGTGCGTCTTGTGGGAGGAGAACATGTAAATATATTAATTTAGCACTCGCAAAGTGATTTATCAATCCTGAAAGCAATTTTGCTAACGGTATCTGACTCTATATTTAACACGTTTCAAAAGAAGGTGCAAATGGTCTGTATGCGTAATTGCGCACACATTGCAGCGGTTATTGTCGCAAGGAGACATCGAAATGAAGCAAGGAGACGCAGAGAACGCATTTTTTCACTCCGTGTGAATATTTTTGGGATGAACGAGGAAACGATCATCAAAACATATCGTTTATCCAGCATTGCCATTTTGGAGCTGCTGGGGGAACTCCGAAGGGATTTGGAGCCAGCCACAAGGAGGACCCACGCAATACCAGATATCACAAAACTCCTTGCAACATTGGACTTTTTTGCATCTGGGTCATTCCAGCGTACGGTTGCAGCGAGAGCTGGGATCTCCCAATCTGTTTTTCAGAAGTGCTGTCCGACATTCTAAATTTTTTATTTTTGGAGGGGGTGGGGGTGTCACTGTAAGATTTAAATTTCTTAATGCACTAGTTTGTACAAACTACAAACTACTTTGCCGCAAACCACAAAACGCGCAAAACCATCATTTAAATAGTTTTGCACCTGCCTCCAGTTACGCAATCACACTTGTTAAATTGCGAGCGCAAATTACTGCACGCAAAATTGGATCTTGATAAATCCGGCCCAGAGTGTATGCAAAACTAAAGTTTGTTTAGTACAGCTTTCAGCCAGTGAACGAGCAGCTGCTTAAGCCTGGTTTATGCTCAGCGCACCCACCCCAAAATTGTAGGTGACCGCAGACAGGGACGCAGATAGCATTGCTGGAAGGAGAGAAAGGAGGCCTCTGATTGGTCAGTTCTACATCCGCTCTACACTATGAGTATTTCCTGTTTGGCACCTAATGGCAGAAACTCTGGCTGTAGTGCCGTCCACAGCGCCCGGTACACCTCGGACTCTATCCCAGACACCGAGCAGGACGCTAGTTTGTAGCTCTGTGCGACGGTCTGTTGGTTTGCACCCAAAGCCAAAACCTGCAGCGCCACGGCCAGTCTTTGGGGAACACTCATGGGTGAACTGTGTGGCGTCCCGCGATGGATGAGGGGTTGTAGACGGCTAACAAGCTGGTCAAACCGACACACGGACACCCACAATCCTAGCTAGTTCCTGATTGGCCCTCTGGCATTGTGGAGTGGAATAACAGCGCTTAGTACAGCAGTTGTACAGTTTAGTACAGTTGGTCATAAATCAAAAATACCTGTGACAAGCTAAGTGCGGCACACTGCTGCGGGAGGATAACCAGCCCTTTAGGGCGGCAGTCACACCTTGCTGATTTATCCAGCATCAGCCTGACATCCCAGAATCTCCTAAAACGCTGGCATACGTAGAACTTTCTATGGATTATTTTGGGCGTATGCATTGAGTATTCATAATGAGTCCAGAAGTTCTGTCCAACGACAGCCTGACTTAAGCATGACGCACGGCAGCGTTACGAAGCATCAGCTAAAACTGCCCCCCTGCGATGCTCCCAGAGGTGCCCAATCGGCATAAAAAGAGGTCTTTGATTGCAGTATTAACCTAGCTGCTGTTAACTACCCACCAAAAAAAAAAGAATAAAGTAAAAAGAAACAACGTTTTTTGGCGTCTGCAGACTGAGCGTCATGTCTGCTAGGAAGTGTGTTGGTGGTGGGCGTGAACGCAGGGAGGATCCATCACCCACCTTCTGGCTCACCCTATGATGGGGATGAAGTCTGGAGGAGAACTGACGGTTTCCTCCTGTGAACCCCCTTTATACCAAAACGCTGCCAATACGCCATTATACAGTAGCTGGAAGTTAGAAACACCTTCAGATACGCTGATATGCGTTGGAGACAAGTTCTGGATAAGTTACGCAGAGGTTTAGGATAAACTAGACGCCACGACTGATGAGGAACCGACACTGAACGGATGTCAACCATCAGATAACTGACCTGGAACTGACGGCCCAGGGATGGCAGTTCCAGGTAGAAAAAGTACCCATAACTTATCCAATGTATGCCAGCGTTTTTGCCAGAATTTTCGTACGTCAGCTGGTCTAAATCGTCAAGGTGTGACATGAGTAGGGCCCTATAATTTCCGCGATCACGGAATCGCGGACGGAATCGCAGAATTGGCAAATAACGCGGAATCTAGTGTAAACGCGGAATTTCTACATTTGAAATGAAATTCTGTTTTTGTGTGAGAGAAGAACGTACGTCGGGGGGAAATGTACACCGGGGGACGCAAATCTGGGGGACACAACCCCTCCCGCTCCGTCATTTCCGCTCACCCTCCCTCATCAAAACATTGAGAAAATGGCGAAGCGGCTCTCAACAGCTCCGCTTTCGGCGAAAAAGTTGAGAAACACGACGCTAAGCCTCGAGTACAGAGCCGAGCAGTTCCCTCGTGATTTTTATGAGTCAGGTTTTGTCAACATTGCATTGATTGGAAGCGCAAAAATACACGCACTGACCAAAATCCATGTGAGGAACAAGGAGAAGTAGAGAGGTCCTATTTTATTTTTTTACTTGAAAGCTAAGGAGCACTTTTATTTATAACCATTGGTTCATAACCATTAATATTTTTTTAGTACTTAGAGTGCAGCGTTATGTTGCATCATGCAGTAAAAGTACTGAGTAAATCTGTTTATTTACCTCAATAAATTTAAGGTCATTCCTGTTTTATTTGTGTACATTTTAATCATTAACATTAAAAGCACATTCTTTTTACGACTGAAATAACAGTAAAGGGTAAAAAAACTGAAATCTCAAAAATTAAAACAGAAAAAAACGGAATTTGGGAAAAAATAAAACGGAAATTGAGAAAAAATAAAACGGATTTTATAGGGCCCTACATGAGCTTCAGCAGTGAAATTAAGATTTCCATTACATAAAGTGCAGCAGAATATAAGGTGGAGTTTTTTTTTTGTTAAAAACAATATGAAAAGGTGGGGCCGTCTTATAATTGGGCTCTAAATATTATACAGGCTGACAGTTGTCTGGGGTCAACAGCAGATGGCGCCTGTTTTTTTGTAGTGACCTCACTGTGGCTGGGGTCAACTTTCAATCACAAGAGAGAAGAAATGACAAGGATGCTACAACAGGAGAGTCACTGCCCAGAACGCAGCGAATCAAAAGTAAGATAAGTGTGCAGATATTTGAAGCTGAGTTATGAAACCAATTTTAAACAATTGAATATCTTTACAGTCAGAAATTAGGGATGGAACGGTTTATGAAAACCCTCCGAACCGTTCGGTTCGACTGTCTCGGTTCGGTTCGCGTGTGTTGCGTTCGGTTCATGCGCTGCTCCTTTTTCTCATAGGCGAAGCGTTTACACTCCAGAGCAGCAGATGGCGGTACTGCGACCAAAGCCAACCACCAGTAGTAAACAAGAAGAAGAAGAAGCGAAGCAGCGTAGCCGGGTGTAGCAGAAAAAAATCAGTTGTTGTGGAGAATTGTGTGGGTATGGCGAGTGGGAAAGAACAGGAGTTGGAAGACGCGCCAGCAGCACTTTATAGGTCTGCTGTATGGGACCACTTTGCATTTAGAGTGACCTACGATGACGGCGGAAAGAAAGCTGTGGATAAAAGTGCAACAGTGTGCAAGCATTGTGCAACACGTTTTGTTTATGCTAACAGGGTTTCCGTGGATAATTAAAAATAATTACAATCCATAATTTTATTGTTTTATTTTTTATTAATTTAATAAATTTTTATGGGATTTCGGTGTAACAATCAACATATACCGAACCAAACCGAAAACCGTGACCACGAAACGGTGAATCGAACCTAACCGTGGATTTTGTGAACTGTTCCACCCCTATCAGAAATGGTTCGTTCAAAAAGACTGTATGAAAAATGCAAACGGCAAAGGAAAAGCTGATCATGGTCTACAAAGCGGAGGAGTCGAGATGGCGGGGGGAAAGTCGGAGTGAGGCAGAGGACGTCTGTGAGGAAAAGCTTAATGCAGGTTTTTCCGTGAGAAAAATTCAGATTGCATTTGAGTGTTGCAGGATTTCAATTAAATGTGTCATTACTATGTTTTATTCTTTTACTTTTTAATTGCACAAATCTTTCAATGCAATATAATCTTAAATCATTTCTTAGCATTTCAATATACAAATTGTTTCTTAAACAAAATAAATTAAGAGTTTCCTGTCATTTTTTTTCTACAACCTCCTCTTTCCAGGAAAGAGGAACCTAGAATCATTGTCGTTCTATATTAATTCAATACGTTAAAACATCAAACAAACAAAAAAAACAGCTTACCTTTAAACCCCTCCTCAGGCATTCTCACTGTGAACAAATGAAACGATTGGATGAGAAAACAGCAAACATGTTTGTTTACACATTCTGTGTTTTAGCGCCGGCCATGATATCCATTATAAAGAAAACACAGCAGGAATGAGTCGAAGGGTTGTCCATCTCTGTTTGTCGCCGCTGTCACTACCCAACAGTGGGCCACTGTGACAACAAATCCCATGATGCTTTGCCAGGAGAGCTCTCCTGTTAACATTATGGTCTATAATGCGTAAACTAAAGAAAGAAACAACTAAAATGCAGATAAATATGGTTTAATCAGATTAACTTCTCTGAGCATGTCCCATGATGACGTCAGAGATGCTATTTAACGGAGAAAACTTGTAAAGCATCAAATTGTCTCAAAAAAGACATAAAACATTTTTAAAGTTGTGTATTTACATTCTTTAGAGATTTAAGGAAAGAAATAAGTACTTAGAGAACCAGGATTACATTATTTATGGTGACCTGGATGAATATCTGCTTGAACATGAGCAGATGGTACGCATGGTGCTTACGGTACGGATCATTTAGTGATTAGGGCGGACATTACGACGCAGCTATGGGGACGGCTACAGGATAACAAGGCAACATCTTCAGTTGAGAAAATGTATTTAACAGAAGAGTTAAGAGGAAGAAAAGAAGACATGAATGTCTTCTGTTAAATACATGTCAAGTCTATGAGGCAGACACCCTGTCTACTTTTAAGGCTAGGCTTAAAACTTTCCTTTTTGATAAAGCTTCTAGTTAGAGTGGCTCAGGTTATCCTGAGCTATCTCTATAGTTCTGCTGCTATAGGCTTAGACTGCTGGAGGACATAGGGACCCCTTTTTCATCATTCTGCTTCATTCTATCTCTATTCTCCCACTCTGCAGAATCTGTTAGTTCAATCTCTAACGTTCTGCTCTCTCTGCTTTTTCTCCCATCTCATCTGACATGGGAGCTGGCTCGGAGCTCGTCTGCCTGGCTGTGTGTTTCCTGGACGGGGCCGCCTGTGGAGCTGGTTGACAGTTGTATCTATGCTTCTTTTTCTATGTCTGCTTCTGTCTCCTTGAACCCCAGTGGGCCTCAGCAGATGGCCGCTCACACTGAGCCTGGTTCTGCTGGAGGTTTCTTCCTGTTCAAAGGGAGTTTTTCCTCTCCACTGTCGCTACAAGCATGCTTAGTGTGAGGGATTGCTGAAGAGTCAATGAGTCGATGCAATCAGCTGGTTTTCCTTAGATAGAAAACTTTGAATCAATCTGATTTGAGATGACATGTGTTGTGAATTGGCGCTATAGAAATACACTGAACTGAATGTGGCTCTGCAGCGCGTCATTATGAACAACCATCATGTTAGTGATCACCGTGTTGGTGAAAGAGTGCAACACGCCAAGGAGCATTTTTTCAGGCCGCCTTCATTGTCATAAGTCATTTTTAATGTTTGTTTTTTTTTTTACTACTGCATCATGGGTACTCTAGCACAGACAGACATTTTAATACCAACTGAGGCCTTAGTTTTATATTGAATGAATTTTTAATACTTTTGAAGGATCTGCAGGAACCCTGTTCTCCTCCTTATGTGATTCCTGTAATGCGTGTCGGAACAGTTATACAAAATTAATTATTTTGCTAATGCTGCTGTGAGCGACGTGTACTTCACCCGTCTGTTTGTTCTCATTTAAAATCAAAGACAAAGTTAAGTCTGTTTTGATTCTGTCAATTCTGTGACCTTCCCCCACTATGATAAACAGCAGCACTTACCCTGATAGGCGTCATCCATTGCAGCGTAGTCTGTAACTGGTTCATCAGCCTTAAAGAAAAAAGAAAACCTGATGAATAAACAACAACCTGCAGATGTTCCAGGCATGCAGTCACGAAGCAAAGCTAACCTTCAAACAGATGATGCATTCTGGGATAACGCCCAGGCTGCCTAATGTGGCCGAATCATCTGTCAGACCTTTTCCGTCTATCGAGAGGTTCTGGTCGAAAGGAGCCACGGAGAAAGCGTGCATGATCTATGGTGACATGAACGGCAGAGTTAAAAATGGAGAAGAGACAATCATCCAGCAAGAGGTTCAGTAAGGAGAAGCCCTCACTTGGATCTTCAGCTCTTTTAGTGTCTGATTTGCAGAAACGATGAGTGCTTTCTCTCCTCTGAGTTTCCTGTGGCGAGTGCTCCTTCTGATTCCTCCTGGTTTGATCGCGTTGATCACAGAGGGAGCAGCGACTGAAGCTGCACTGCTGTCATTCATCTTCATACGCTTTGCACCATCCTGTGACTAACGAAGAGGTGGAGATAATAAAGTCAGCATGTTAGTTGGCCTGTTAGAAATCATCACCCAATAGAGAATGATTAGGTTCATTAGCCTGTTACTGCGGCAGCGCCTCTGTTTTACTGTGACTTTAAGCCCGGCTGGCCCCGTACAGCGCTTAGCTAACACCCGCTCATGTTTTTCTATTTACAGAAATGGCCAAAAACAAAGTCACATGGAGTTTCATCCACACACCTTTCAAATGGGGCTTTAAAATTGCTTTAAAAACATGTTTTTTTTCCCACAAATACTTTTTGTTTTATAGCTGGGTAAACAAAGAAAATGAGATTTAAAATTGCACCTGAAATGTGTGACTGCGTCCCGACTTTTCGTCCCGCCCCCTAATGGCCGCCATCGTTGGAAACTAGAGGCTCGGACCTTTCTGAGGAGGGGTCGGAGGTCATTGTGTGACCATTTCAGGTGATGTAATCGGCATGCGTTACATAAGCTTGATCTGTTATTTTCTATTTCTATTATTTTCTATTTAGTTTGGTTATTATTGTGTGTTTAATGGTAAATTTCAATGAAACAACGGCTAAATCTGAGCAGCAAAGGCTTTGCTTTATGCAGAAGGTCTCCAATAATGGAAATCAGTGTATCAGTATATGACCAGATTCCCTTTTATGAGTGGAAAAATGCATTTCTGCACAGCGCTAAAATCCCATTTCCTCATAGCTCACTGCCCACTAAAACCTTTTATGGAACAAACATGTTTCAACTAATTCAGTCCAAATTTGTTTGACTTATTGTCAAGATGCGGATCTATAAAGTCATCCAGAGTTTCTAATGTGCTTTCATGGTGTTTTGCAGTGTTTATTTTTCATATTTTCTTTTTTAAATCACCTATAAATCAGACATGGTGACATTTAAAATAGCGGTTCCACCTGAAAAATATTCCTCAATGCCTTTCTGGCATACAAAATACAAATAGACTTTTAAATTCTATTATACAAACAATTAATAGGTAGGGAGCTGTACTTGCTTTAATTCACATACATCATTTCAGGTGGAAGTTGCTCCTAAGACCCTCTGGGAGCTTAAGGGTTAATTAACAGTAATGATGAAGTAAAACTGCAGCAATGTTACCTGACTGAAGTCTGGATCTTTCTCTCCATCCATCTTTGGAAGCTCCTCCCTCTCCTCTTCTGCTTCAGAGCTGCAGGCATTCAGCTCCGGGGCGCTGTCTTTTCCCGCCTACGCAGAGGAGATAGAGAAAAAACATCTTACAGAGATCTTTGTTTCCTTTGAAAACAAAGAGATGAAGTTTTATACTTTCTGTGCTTCGTACCATTTTGTCTTCGATGACTTTGCGGATGTAGACGGTTGCCTGGGTGTACTCTCTAAGGTCCCTCTGCTGCTGAAACAGGAAGCTCTCTCTGCACTCCCAGCACAGCTCTAATGATGAACACAGTTCAAGAAAATGTCATATGTCTTAAGAAAGATTAAACTGACATGTTCTGGTTCAGATTCTCAGTCATCCAGGTCACAGTCATTCCAAAAATGTTAAAATCAATCCACTGGACTTTGTTTCCAAGTTTAAAGACGTTTCTCTTCCCATCCAGGAAGATTTTTCTATTCAAAATGTTTGAATTCAATTCATTTTGAATTCAATTCAATTTAACTTCTCTCATGTTTGTTTTTAATAAATGTAAAGATAAAAGTTATTTGAAATTGGCCATATGTGTAGCATAGACAATTTTGCCAGTTGAGGACAGAATATAAGTGCATTACTTTGAAATTATGTCACAATTCATTTAAAATGACACCTGTTATTTACTTTATTAAAATGAGTTAGATCATCACTGCATTTCCTTAAAAAGAAAAACAAATCCAGCTGTAACAGAGAAAAGCTGTTTTTAGTGTAAAACGTACCAGGCTCGGTGGTGTACTGCGCCGTAGAGCCGTCTGCGGCGTTCTGACTCACACAGTGGATCGCTATGGGCTTGTCAACGATGAAGAGTCTGCTGATCACGTCCCATTCGTAAGGCCACAACAGAGCTATACTGTGCAGAACAGACAGCACCACTTCAGACCATTTCTAGGTGGAACTTTTAGGTTTATATTATTTATGTTTCCCAAACAGATGTGTTAAGTTTTCTGACAGACAGGGAACCTTCCAGTTCCTGACTGATTAGCAAACCGTTCGCCTGCATTAGCGCAGACTAACTTACAGAAAAACCTTCCTGTCATTTGTTTCTGTGTAAGCTCTGTACATCAGAGGAGAGCTCGTTACTGATTGGCTGAACCTAAACTATACTAGGGGTTAGGGATGCACGATATTGGGATTTTGGCCGATATCCGATATGTCGATATTTTAAACCTCATGTAGCCGATAACCGATATCGATACCGATGTTAAAGCTGGACAAAAATAAGTAGTCATTGAAAATAGCAGTTTTGTTATCCATTTCTGACACTTTGAAAAATAATATACTCAAATATATTTTCATATGCTGATATCAAATTGATTTTTAAAAACGCGGTATCGATCTATTTTACTTTCAAAATCTGGTGAAATTTCATCGTTCTGTTACAAACTCTCGTGATATTTTGCAAATTCTTGTGAGATTTTGTTAGTAAAATAGATCGATACCGCGTCAATATATCAAGATATAAAATTATGGCAACATTTCGTGAATTTTCGGGGGATTTCGTAGCATAACGATGACATATAGCAATATTTCATTAGTAAAAGAGATTGATATGGTGTTTTTAAATGGCAATATATCAGCATATGAAGATATTGGGATATTTTAATGGATCAATATTTTTTCCCTCGTCTTTAGAAGTTTTTAAGTTTGTAAAAAAGAAGTTTTTGAGGAAGAAGAAGAAGTAGTATTTTTTTTATTTTTTTTTTAGACTTTAGAAAGGTGGGGTGGCCGATGTCCGATATTCAGTTTTAAGGCTGATACCGATAGGGGGCTGATTATATCCTGCATCCCTACTAGGGGTGAGTATTGGCATGGGTGTTGCCATACTTGGGTCACGATACGATTTTATCACTTTATTGCAATATCACCATATGCTGCAATATTTTTTCCTGCCATCAGAATTAAATTTATAGTTAAGAAGTCAACCTCTGGGGCAGAGTGGTTAGGTCTTAGTCCTCAACACGGCCGACCCGGGTTCGAATCCAACCTATGGTGATTTGCCGCATGTCTCTCATTCACCCTTTCCTGTCAGCCTACTGTCAAAAAAACGACCCACTAGTGCTGTAAAAACTAAATAAATAAACAAACAAAAAGCAACCTCTGTATATGTCCATCAGAAAATATTGATTATTGGTTCAGTTATTTTGGTATCCACGCTGTTTGGGTTTGAGTCAGTCCAGGTCTTCCAGAGGACCTGCCAGAGTGGCGGTACAAAGGCTGCCCATTTTCCCTCAGTTTTAGGTACAAATGTTTTGCTTTAAAAAAAAAAATCAACACTAGGAGCTAAATGATCAATATATCAGGCAGCCAAAAATCACTTTTTTTCCACACATCTGAACTATTCTAGGGCTAAAACAACTAATAGGATTAATCGATTATTAAAATAATCATCTGATAATTTATTTATCGATTAACAGTTAAATGGAGACTTCTTTTATACAAACAGCCATTCAACTTTTAAACTCTATGTAGCGTGGCTGCTATTTATAAAAAAAAAGATAACTAATCTATTTAATATCTTTCTGTATTTCTTATTATTACTAATTTGGTTCTCACATTTTGATCCCTGTCACATCATTTTTCTTTTTTAATCACCTTATTTTTTATGTTATTAGAAGTTTATTTTTATTTGCATTTTTTTTTGTTTGTGTGTCTCCTGTACTGCTCAAAGGAACTGGCCCTGGCCGGAGTAATTAAAGGTACACTATGCAACCGGTGTTGATTTTCCAGCGAGGCTCCCCCCAGAGGGCGAAAGTAAAAGTGCACTGTCGTAAATATGCTCAGCTGTTCTCCTGGTTTCTCCGTCAAGCCAGGCGCGGTTGTTTTGAGCTTAGCAAACAGGCGAACGCAACGAATGACTAACACAGTGAAAGTATGAACATGCACACAGAGAGAGAGAAACCATTCCAATGTTACTTACAATCGCATCAGCAGAAACGCGAGGTCCGCGTCAGCCTTGCAGCCTTATTTTTATTTTAGCTCTCGCCATATGGAAAAAGCTTGCCCGATGTTCATCCGTGTACGACTCCTCTCTCTGTCCGGAGCCCTTTTCCTCTTTCTTGCCTGCTCCGACATGGGCTTTCGCTGTTTTCACGCTGGTTCCGCCATGATAACTGCACAAAGATCGCCACTGTGCTAGCAACGAGCATGCTTTTAACTGGGGGGTATAGCAGTTCTCGCCGTAAAGCAAGACCGACTCTCGCGAGACTTCCGAGCCTGTGGGTGCGGGCCGAGGGCTCCTGCAATTGCAAGTGCGGTATTTCCCCCACAGACCACCAGGGCGGCCGAGAATACCTTTGTTCAACCTGAAATGAATCATTTAATCATCCAAAACGTTATGGAACACATTAATTAACTGAAAAATGTTGCATAGTGTGCCTTTAAGCGGCCTCAGTCTAAGGCGACGTTTACGCTGCAGGCTAACCTTGATGCTCAATTCAGATTTTTTTTTGCGTTGCCGTTCACATTTTAAAATATATACGACCTTTATGTGATCTCCTGTGTAAACTGCATTCATAGAGCTTAAGTGTCCTGCATGCGCAGTAGAGGACACAATGACATCACATGCCAGCGTGCTCTGTGTTTATGGAAGTAAACATGGATGGTAGTGCTGGAGCGCATCTAGCCATCTTTCCAAACCTTAAAAATCTTTTCAAGATGGTTAAACATAAATACTGCTCTCCGCATCATCGTCCATCATGGTTGCCGTTTTTGTTGCCGCTTCTGCGTAGCAAAAAGCAATAACCTTTGTCAGTTATTAATGGCGTTATGGTCGGATGAATGCGACCTGGCCGAAAAGATCAGATTCGTATCGGATTCAGGATAACATAGCAAAGTGGTCTGGATCGCATTTGAAAAAATCGGATCTGTCTTGTTCAGGCTGTCATGAAAAGAGCAGAACCAGGTGGCTTATGGGGAGAAAAAGAAACGGGATTTGGGTCACTTCAGGCTGCTGTGTGAATGTAGCCTTGGAGACTCTTTAGCTCAGTGTTTCCCAACCTTCTCTGACTCCTCTACCCCTTTGGACATTTCATCTTACCATAAGTTTCCATCTCAATCAAAAGTATTGATGATTGTCCAAAAGCGGAACGCACAATAACCAATTATAAAATAAAAAAGTCGATTATTTAATCTTAACCCCTTGAACCCTACGGACCCACCGGCGGGTCCAGCTGCTACGTGACCTCGTAATTTTACCAAACCCCCAGTATTGATGTAAAAAACATATTTGGCACAGTTTGGTGTCATTTATGGATAAATGTGCCAAAATGGCCTCTCCGCCTAAGAAATTTCTCACTAATACCATTCTAAAATAAATATGATTCATCTGATTGAGTCCAAATTTGGTATATTTTTACACAACATTTAGATTTGAAAGTCTGTACTACTTTTTTGTGCTATAAATAATATTTTGGTAGTGTTTTGCAATGTTTATTTCAAAGAAAATTTTGGCGAGGTTCAAAAAATGCAAGATATTTTGTATTTTGTCACTAATATTTCAGGCAGGGTCAAAGCTACAATGATGCTGACACCAGAAAACCATTCTATGACATCTTACCTTTACAGACGTACCAAAAGTTTCTTCTTAAATCTAATAGCTGTGAGGCTATAAGTGATTTACTTTTGTGTGTTTTTGTCAGGCAGAAATTTATTTATACCCCCTTAGGGTGTAAGAGGATAATTTATCTTTTTAAAAGGGATGCACGATATAATCGGCCCCCTATCGGTATCGGCCTTAAAACTGAATATCGGACATCGGCCACCCCACCGATATTTAACCCGATATTTGATCAGCTTCTGAGTTTCTAAAGTCTAAAAAAAAATTATAATAAAAATACGACTACTTCTTCCTCAAAAACTTCTTTTTTAAAGACTTAAAAACTTCTAAAGACGAGGGAAAAAATATTGATACATTACAATATCCCAATATCTTCATATGCTGATATATTGCCATTTAAAAACACCATATCAATCTCTTTTACTAATGAAATATTGCTATATGTCATCGTTATGCTACGAAATCCCCCAAAAATTCACCAAATGTTGCCATATTTTTATATGTTGATATATTGACGCGGTATCGATCTATTTTACTAACAAAATCTCACAAGAATTTGCAAAATATCATGAGAGGTTGTAACAGAACGATGAAATTTCACGAGATTTTGAAAGTAAAATAGATCGATACCGCGTTTTTAAAAATTAATTTGATATCAGCATATGAAAATATATTTGAGTATATTATTTTTCAAAGTGTCAGAAATGGATAACAAAACTGCTATTTTCAAAGACTACTTATTTTTGTCCAGCTTTAACATCGGTATCGATATCGGTTATCGGCTTCATGAGTTTTAAAATATCGGCATATCGGATATCGGCCGAAATCCCAATATCCTGCATCCCTAGTTTTTAACTTGAGCATTTAATTCTTTGGCATGTCATTCTTTCTAACTAAAATAAAATAATACAAGATAACAAGTTGCCCAGAAGCTAGTAAGGAATCCAAATAGATCATACTAGAAATCTGCCTTTATAAAACATTTAAACTTGAGGAATTAACTCCATTTCTTTTAAACTTTGTTTTGTTTTTTTATCATTGGTGACACCTGAGCTGCTTTGATCAGGTGTGGGAAATCCCAGGCTGTTCTCTACATCCATCCTGGTCCTCTGCTTGGTTTAGATGTGTTTCAAAGCTGAACTCAAACATAGAGGAAAAACTAACTTTTTGGCTGATAAAAGCTTAATTGTTAAATTGGGTCCTGATCAAGTAGAACAGACTCCAGCTCTATCTGATTTTATTACCTGAGAAATTAAATATTTTCATGTACTCATTGAAATGCACTCTTGGACCACTAGGGGTACGAGTACCCCCTGTTAGGAATCACTGCTCTAGCTGATAGAGCAGCAATTTTACCAACATTTTCAAAATATATATAAACATTTTGTATTTAAAATAAAAATACTCTGTCAATCTGCTCTATCCGGAAATCCTCAAGTGGAAAAATTTTAGTTCCAGCTGGTTTAATTTAGTCACAAATCTTTTTTAAGGAACCTTTGGTTATCCGATTATTAATGATTAATCAAAAAAGTAATCCAAAGATTAATCGATTTACAAAATAATCGTAAGCTGAAGCCGTAATTGAAACATTCGCTAGAAGAATAATCCCCCCCCCCCCCTCTCTCTATATATATATATATATATATATATATATATATATTTATATATATATTTAAATATACATAGATAAATGTTTTAAAACATTGGGAACTGACAGAATGGCTGGGATTGTCTCCATGAAAGCTTTAAATAATGACCGTATCCTGTTTTTTAAATGTGATGCTGCAGACAAATGTGAATAAATTACAGAAACATAATATCACACGGTTTGCTTCATGCCGTTTTCCAGAGAAGGGATCTGGCTGCAGACCTGGACCTGCTCTGTCAGGACCCAAAGTTTATTCCAGACGTTTTATTCGGAGCCTTCAGGAAAAGCACGTAGCACGTATGAGCTGCCGCATTTTACTAGTAGAAGAAGACAAATTTTTTTATGCGAGGTAAGTGCTCGTTTAAGTCTGCCTAGAAAGGCCAATAAATCCGTGTGTTATCGTCGTTTTTGGGTGATTTTCTTTTACTTATTAAAACATTATGTCTCTTACTTCGCCAAAAGTTTAACGCTGCACCTCGCTGTAAACTCAGCTTTTTAACAATAAAAAACACTTCCAAGAAAACAAAATATTTGAAAGTTTTGTCTCTACTGTTTTCTGCAGTGTTGTGGGGGAAAAAAATAAACAGAAGTTATTATCTATTGTGTTCATGTATCGAGGCATTCAGTGATTCACTGTTGGAAGACTGAGCTGATCCAGTTAAACTGGAAAGAGATTGTATATAAATCATTAAACACATGAAACAAACCCAGGAAATAAACAGGAACTTAAAATATTTCTGATATACTAGCTTTTAATTTACTTCGCCTTTACTTTGAAAGGCTTTGGATAAACTTCTGGTCCTGACAGAGCAGGTCTGCAGCTAGACTCTCCAAGCTTTCCAAGACACATAAGATCACTGAAATGAACGGAACTAAGCTATCTCTATAGTTCTGCTGCTATAGGCTTAGACTGCTGGAGGACATAGGGACCCCTTTTTCATCATTCTATCTCTATTCTCCCACTCTGCAGAATCTGTTAGTTCAATCTCTAACGTTCTGCTCTCTCTGCTTTTTCTCATAGTAGCTTCATCTGGTCTGTTCCTGTTTGGCTGTGACTCCATCCTGGAGAGAAATATCAGCTGCGCTGCTGCCATCAACACCTTTGTTTCTAGATGTTGGAGCTTGGCCTGTCTTCCAGTGCAGTCCTGTTTCTCTGACTGTGACTAACTGGATGTGCTCTCTTCATCCTCTGACATGGGAGCTGGCTCGGAGCTCGTCTGCCTGGCTGTGTGTTTCCTGGACGGGGCCGCCTGTGGAGCTGGTTGACAGTTGCCTTTTGTATCTATCCTTCTTTTTCTATGTCTGCTTCTGTCTCCTTGAACCCCAGTGGGCCTCAGCAGATGGCCGCTCACACTGAGCCTGGTTCTGCTGGAGGTTTCTTCCTGTTCAAAGAGAGTTTTTCCTCTCCACTGTCGCTACAAGCATGCTTAGTGTGAGGGATTGCTGAAGAGTCAATGAGTCGATGCAATCAGCTGGTTTTCCTTAGATAGAAAACTTTGACTGGATGATCTGGTGAACTGGAAAGTGACCTGAGATGACATGTTGTGAATTGGTGCTATAGAAATAAACTGAACTGAATTTAACTCACTGTTCGGCCTCTCCGTTGATCAGGGAGTCGTAGGTGAACATGAAGCCGCCATGCGGACAGAGAAGCAGCGAATTCCCCACATTAGACACTGGAGAGGATTTTGTGGGTCTCCTAAAATGTACAGATGAGGATGAAAACTAACATCTGGAAGAGTAAATGATCAACATCAGTAAGCAAAGAACAGGATGAAATCATCATGAGGTGAACCACCAACTCAAGCATTATGGCACTTTACATCGTGCAGCTGTGTTTAAACTTTCACATGGCCGTTTTTTTTCAAGGTGAGACAACAAACAATTTCCTCATTTGATGCCGAACCAAACATACCTGATAAATTTTCTCCACTCCTCCACAAAAAACAGAGGGACTATGTAAAGTCTATCTGTGCCCTGGAGGAACCAACCATAAAGGCATTAATGTTTCTGAAGTGAAAATCGAAGCCTTCAGGAGTGACAGTTGGATGTTTGTACCTGGGGCCACTTGGTGAGAGTTGGTCGGTTCTTTTCGTGGAAAAGGTTGAGGAGCTGATTCTTTTGATCCAGAGCCATCATCTTACTGACTGCCTCGTTGTCCTTCTCCTCCTGCTCCAACGTCTGAGGAAAAACGAGAAAAAGAAGCTTTACAATACAATTAAAGACTCCACAGGTTTTAAATGTTAAAATTACTAACAGAACTCAATTTATACTAGGGCTAAAACAATTAATCCGATTAATCGATTATTGAAATACTCAATTTGAAAAACAAATGCTAGTTGCAGCCCTAATTTAAACCTGAATCAAAAAGAGAGTTTAAAGGAATAGTTCCTAAAAGCGCCTTCACGAGTCTACGGAAACCGCGGCAGACCAAACCAGATGAAAGTGCGCATTCAGCGTCTGCTCTGCCAATAATGCAAGCGTAGAAGAAATGTGCTGTTTACCTGTGCAAAGAAAGAAACAACGAAAGAAAAATGTCTGAGGACTTCAGTGTTGAGGAAGAGCATGAGTTCTTTGCCGAGCTGAATGCGCACTTTCATCTGTTTTGGTCTGCCGCGGTTTCCGTAGACTCGTGAACGCGCTTTCAGGAAATCCTATACACTACTGTTTATGCTCTAAAAACATTCTAAATGACTTCGTTTCGAGTAAATTCTGGATGCTACCCACTCAGGACACTTGGAATACATTGGACGAGCAGTATGGAGGAATATTGACACGTTTTTTGTGGACTTTTATGGACCTTTCTGTCTCGGTCACCATAGACCTCCATTATTTGAATGTCAGCAGACAGCAAGAAGCCTCCCAGATCTCCAGATGCATTTGAGATATCAAAAAAGTACTCCAGAGTGTTGTTCAGCATGGGGGTGAGTAGAAAATGAAGGCTAATCATGTTTTGGGTGTACTATTCTTTTAAAGGTGTTTTGATAATCCCATCACAGATAAACTGTCTGAAATTCAAACAGGTAAATCCACTAGCAGACATATTTAAGCATATTTTTTCCATCGGATTTGTCCAGCTAAACATATATTTATAGTCCCACCTGTTGGGACACTGTCTATAACCTGCCGCCTTTCTCTACACTGTGGATATAAAGAGCACTGGAAAGCACGTTTTTACACAAACACGTCTTTGTGTTGAATTGACAACACTTTATGTATCAGACTTTTTAAAGAGGGGTTCCATGAGACATGAGTAGAAATCAGTAGATTACTGGAACAGTACATAGCCGAGGCAGAATAACGCTGCCTATCGTACTGAGAGACTTGATGGTGTGTGTATCGGAAGTAGAGGTGAGTATTGGCATGAGTGTTGCGATTCGATACATGTCGCGATACTTGGGTCACGATACGATATTATCACGATATTGCAGTATCACTATATATTGCCATATTTTCCCCAGCTATCAAAATCAAATGATGAGATAAAACAGCAAGTGCTTTATATTTACATCAGAAAATATTGATTAGGTATTATTATCCATGTTGTTTGGGGTTTTCTTCCACTGTGCCTCAAATACAGATTTGGTGCTGCATGCAAACTTAAAGGGCTCCACAGCGTTTTCTGCCAGAGTGGTGGTGCAGAGGTAGCCCATTTTCCCATCAATGTTTTATGTAACCATTTTTTTTTTTTGAAAATCGATACTAAGAAGTGAAAGATCGATATTATATTGGGCAGCCGAATATCACGATATATCGCCAAAACGATTATTTCCCACACCCCTAATCGGAAGACAGAGACCAACAAGACCTCCCTCATCCTTGGCCCTATCTCAATTTTTCGAAATAGTCGCAAAATTGAGCTTTCAATTTATATAACAGCACCTGGCTGTTTTTTATAAAGGTTACTTTATACTTTTATACTTTAAGTTGTTTTTGGAGAACATCCTTTTTCACTTTTACTTGAGTAAAGAGGTCAGGTTGATACTTCAACTTTTCCCAGAGTGTTTTTAAACTGCAGTGTCTTTACTTCTACTTAGGTAACTAATGTGTGAACTTCTAACACGACTGATTATCCGTCTGAAATCCGTCTCACCGGAGCTGCTCCATGTTAATCCAATGTAAACAGAGTTGTTTGTGCTTGTTAAATCAGAAGCGACTGGCGCTCTGTGTTGACGTCAGTTCAGTGCGTTCAACAGTGTCGCGTAATTTAGTTGGTCAACCCCGCTCTGTTGTTCCAACAGTATGCTGATCAGAGCCGAGGAGATTTTAGGGGTATTAATATATACTCTATATCAAATCTTCTTAAAGGAACCTTTTGTTATTCAGTTAATATAAAAATAACAAACAATTGACAGATTGATCGATTAGCTAAAAGATTGCTAATTGCAGCTCTAGTCCTGAGTAACCAGAACCTGAAGCTCAAAAAAAATGATATAAACTTGCTTTGCAATAAAATGCACTTCTTTGAAAAAAGAAAGTAAACTTAATTAAAATACTACAATCTGACATATTTCACACCCATCAACAGATTTAAGGTGTTTTTTGAAATTTAATTTCAGAGACATTTGGTTTATCACTGATAAAATTAAGTTATAATCCTGCTAAACAGATTTGATCTATCTCTGTAGTTATGCTGCTAAAGGCTTAGACTGCTGGAGGACATAGGGACCCCTTCTTCATCATATCTCTATTCTCCCACTCTGCACTACTTGTTAGTTCAATGTTTAATGCTATGTTCATTCTGCTTGATTCTACACCTTTGTTTCTAGATGTTGGAGCTTGGCCTGTTTTCCAGTGTAGTCCTGTTTCTCTGACTGTGACTAACTGGATGTGCTCTCTTCATCCTCTGACATGGGAGCTGGCTCGGAGCTCGTCTGCCTGGCTGTGTGTTTCCTGGACGGGGCCGCCTGTGGAGCTGGTTGACTGTTGCCTTTTAAATCTATGCTTCTTTTTCTATGTTTTCTATTCTGCATTAAGTGAAGCAGGGAGCTGCAATAAAAACAGGCTAAGATTAAAGAGGCGGGCTAATAAAGGACATCATAGGCTGTCATGGATGCCCTACCAGACAATGCCGACACGGCTCTTGAAGGTGGGTGAATTCTGGGGCTTTGGGGAAGTATTCCCTCAGCTTTGTCCAAACTTCAGTGGACACCAGCTTCCGTTCTGTCTCCAGAATACTCAGTCCTCCTGCAGCAGGAGCACAGGTGTCATGGACAGATCTAACACTTGTTTCATTATCTCAAATATTAAAATAAATCAATAAATCTAAAGATAGTTATAGAGAGTAGGAAAACACTGTTATTGTGGCCGGAACGCACCATGACCGCAAATAATGTCTTCATTGAACGTCTTCGTCTCGTCTTCAGTCCCTTCGGAGACGTCTGAGCTGAACTCTGCAGAGGACATAGAAAAGCAATGAAAATCAGAAATATCCTGGAATAAAATCAATTATCCTTGTTTTCTCCCTGATTATTTTGAATTAAACAGCGAAACAAAGCAAGAATATATTGTTTTCCTGAAACAAGAAGCCAGATATAAAACCCATTCTCTTTTCTCAACTATATTACCGTATTTTCACGACTATAAGGTGCATATAAACTCAAAATGTGCGGCGCGCCATATAGTGCGGTGCGCCCTATGTGTGTTGTTACAGCGGACGTTGTTGAGACCGCCATGAGAACGTTAAAGGGGGAAGTGTGGGCGTGGATTGTGTATAAAAGAACAGGTATGTGCTTTATGCAGAACTCCTCATCTCCTCATTGAGAAGATGATGAAAGAGTGGCTGAGGGAGGTGAATGAAAGGAGACCAGGTGGTTTTTTCCACGCATCACCATCGCTGTTAATCTGTGACTCCATGCGAGCCCATCTCACAGCCGATGTGAAAAACATGGTGAAACAAATGAACGCTGTGCTTATTGCGTGAGGTCTGACAAAGGGACTTCAACCGCTCGACATCGGTGTGAACCGGCCGTTCAAAGTAAGGCTGATTTCACACAGGACGCAGTGGGAGTTTACATGCAAAGGCAATGGTTGACGCGCGTCAAGGCGCAGCAAAATGTTCCGCAGCGCGTTTTGAGCAGCAGGCACAACGCGCCGCAAACACACTGCTGCTCGAGATGGAAAAATTAAAGTTTTCCTGCTCGACGCGCCGCATCAACCAATCAGAGAAGCTGATCTGGGAGCTGGCAGGGAGACAGACACATCGCTGATGACACAGAGTGCTGTGATCACTCCTCTGAAACAGTTTATCGACACCTAAATTAACTCAAAATACTGAAACTTGCCGTCAGAATATGTTCGCTTTTATTATCCTGGTGCCTGCAGTTTGGATTATTTAGATGAAAAACACCTACGAGCCGCCGCGGTGAACCGCGAGGAGGCGACCCGGCCAGAGGCTGCTGTTGAATTAAGTTTTCAGGTGTATTTTCTCACTTAAAAACATATTAAAACTACTTTATTCCCACTGATCACAGCAAATATAGCTGCAAGGCAGAGAAAGGATAGTGAAGCTTCGCCCAACGCGCGTCAGACACACTTTTGGCCCGCGCAGCCAGAGCAGCAAAGCTGCTTCAGCCGCGCGTCAGAACTAACTGGTACAATCTAAACTGCAGGCAGCAGGATAATAAAAGTGAACATATTCTGACGGCAGGTTTCAGCATTTTAAGTTAATTTATGCGTCAATAAACTGTTTCAGAGGAGTGATCACAGCGCTCTGTGTCGTCAGCTATGTGTCTGTCTCATGGCCAGCTCCCAGGTTTGATTAATACTTTGTAATAAATACATGAATAAAGCACAAACATACTCAGTTTTGTAGGGGTGTCAACAATAATCGATTCCGCGATGCATTGCAATGCGGGGCATGCACGATTCAGCATCGATGCGGCAACGTGCCATAATCGATTATGTCACTGTTTATTTTCTGGCCTCAAATGGACAAGTTGTGAAGTTTCAATTACTTCCGGGGGCATACCAACAACAATCAAGATGGCTGAGGCGGGGGGAGATGACAGCGATAGACGGGTAGGCCTAATTTAAAACGCACCCAAAGCTTGGAAAGCAGATATCTGGGCACATTTCGGATTTTACGAAGTCAATGGGATTTTGATGCATCGCAATGCATCGTAGAATCAAATTAAATCGCAACGTAACCTGGTGAATCGTAATCGAATCGAATCGTGAGGGCAGTGCCAATGCACACCCCTACAGTTTTGCTCCCACTCTATTTTTAAACATGCAGTAGAGGTATTTAAACGTAGTAGAGGATATTTACCGGTATATAAAACCCGCGCCCTATAGTCCGGTGCGCCTTATGTGTGTTTTAAATACAGTAATGGCACACATAAATGAGACTGCGCCTTATGGTCGTGAAAATACGGTATTAGACAGGTAAGTTAACACTTTGTTCTTAGTATACAGTCATAGATCTTTGTTATTATTTTCTGTTTATAAGAAGCAAAATGCGGGCAGTTAAAAGTCTAGCGCCCCTAGTGGCCATAAGGTACACAGTGTGCCTTTAAGGTGAGTCTGATCCTCATATTAGCATGAGACATGAGACCAACATGCAGGTCAGAGGAGACGTGTTATAAACCCTTCATCCCAGCAGGACCTCGGCACCCACCGCTGAGATCGACGCCAAAAAACTAAAAGTTATAAGTTATGAAATCTAGAGCTGGACGGTTTATAACAGTTCTGATTAATCCATCTTCAGTCTGTTTTCCATTTATTACATGAAACTAATTTTTATCAGCTGTGTGGGGGGGGGGGAATCAATCTCCTATTAATTTCTTTTTACATAAAAGGATTTCTTAGGGCTGAGTCGTTCATTCAGGCCTCAGAGCTAAAAGGCTTCTAAGGGAGAGGAGTTCTTTTATCCTATTAAGGAGTGTTTGGGATAAAAATAATAGCTCTCATAACAAACTGGACTTTTTCTCAAGGATTATTTCCCTACATTATGTGTGGAGACCTTCACAGCCTTTCTGTAGGGTTTTAATTAAGGAGAGATAAACACTGTCTGGATCAGAACAGAGCTAAATATCATGCTGCGAGGGAAGTTGATGTCTTGCTCTCTTTTTACTTGCAAAGTAAAATGAACCGAGTGAAATCCATCGATCTCTGTAGATTTAACCACAGCGGTTCCCTGATGTAAACTGACCTTAGCCCACTGCTAAGGACCTAATTATTTGATTCCGATGTTTAGAAGCAGAGGTGGACTTCGGCGATCGAGGACTGGAGTCTGACGCCTCGTATGTTTCATAGTAACGTCTATGTGCTCGTCTCATAGGCGTTGATGGGCATCCCCCTAGAGGTGTGGAGCTCTTCCGTTATGCTAGGTTGCAGCTTTTCTTAACTTGTAGTATTTTTCTTAGCATGTGTTTTGGTGGAGTCTAATGTTTGAATTTGCAGGACCTTTTAAACATGCTGTGAAACGATTTCCCCTCCACCGAGGGCTTCAGCTAACAGATATCTACAGAGGAATCAGATATCCCATTTACACTACGGAGACCGGTCCGAGCTCAGTAACTGGGATAACTTATTGTGTGTAAATGGAAAGCAAACTGAACTGAACCGAGCTAGACACAACCGGACAGAGCTAACTGCAGACCAGTTCCAGAGGTGGGCTCGGTTTTTCCCTGGCTCGGTTCTCTGATAACAAGAGCGCATGAGCAGAACGCGTCAGCTCCGTCTGGCTGCACATCCCGATTCACACTCCATTCCAGTAGTTGGCGGTAATGCCCCTCCGGAAACAGAAGAAGAAGAACAACTTCTTCAACTATAAACAATAATCGAAATCTTCTCCACGCAACATTTTAAATAATGGCATTTTAAACAATAACACCGAAAGACAGCGATAATAATCAAGCATAACTTTCTGAATGTAACGGGCGCCGCCATTTTGATTTGCTTGATTCCCTCCTTCTTCGTCTTCTTCTTCTTGTTTTTTATGGCGGTTGGCAAACAACTTTTGGTGCATTACCGCCACCAACTGCTTGATTTCCTCCTTTAATACTGGCAGTAATACCGCAGATCGTCACTAGGAGGTGAGGAGTCGAGTAAACGGTCATCAGAACAGAGCTCGGCCTGGTTAACTGATCCGAGCTCGGACCGCTCTCGGAATGGATCGGTTTTTCAAGGGTAGTGTAAATGGGGTAAGAGAGTATCAAAGGAGGTGAGGATTGGGATGTCCCGATCTCGAGATCGGATAATTTCCGGTGATCGGAGCTCTGCTACATTAGCTGACTTTTCGCACAAATCTTTACAGCAACTACAGTAAAGTAACTGCTAGTTGACAGTAGCTGTGAACGGAAACCTCTGTGGCGGTGCAAAACAAGCATGTCAGAAGTGAGGAAATATTTTACTCTCAAGAGGAAAGACTGTCCTAAAGCTACTTGCAATGTCTGCAACATGGCAATTTCAAGAGGAGTTAGCAGCAGAGCTACATCAAACACCACATGCTTTATTCGTTCATCTGAGGACAAAACATGACGATGTGTGTAAAGCGTTTCGTAAAGCTGCAGGTGGAACGGTTGTTAAAGCAAAGCCACAAACGCTGGACGTTATGAGGAGAGACAAATACTCCAAAGAAAATAAGAGCGCACAGAGAGGTCGGTCGTGTTTATTGCTCCTGACAACAGGCCCATCTCAGGAGAACGTGGGACTGACCAGTCTTCTGTAAGCTTTGAGCCCGCGCTACGCTCTGTCATAGAGACGCTACATTGCAGACGGCCATTTAAGATGAACAAGGGCATTTTAAATGTGCACTTTATCTTTTATTGACTTTATGGCATTCTATATTAAGCACTTATAAGCTAAAAGTGGATCTTGGATCGCACTTCCTTCTGATAACACTGTATCAAGTTAGTGTTTTTCTTTTTACTTTTGTCTAAAATTTTTAAAACCTTTAATTCTAAGTAAGATTTTAATTTCATTGGATTTACAATAATAAAAGCAATTATTGGTGGAATTCCTTATTGATGGAATATTAATCTTAAAAAGATTTGAGTTACTTGTTTGAATTTTATAAATTTAAATACTAAAGGCAGAATATCAGATTGGGACTCTACATTGGATCGGATTTGAGGTAAAAAGATTGGATCGGAGGCCTAAAATGCTGACTGGGACACCCCTAGCAGTCTGCTGAGGCTTACTGTTAGCGTGCGGTCCCTGGCCGTTGGTCCTGCCATTGCTGTGTTTGGTTTCATGCTCATCTTCTTCCAGCTGTTCCAAAGCCAGCTGCCTCCAGCCACGCAAAGATGCCTTTCCCACCCAGTAGCCTTCACCACTACAAGACACAAAACAAACACAGGATTTATGAAAACTACACTCTTAAAATGAAGGAGAGCACAGACCAGTCAAACAAATCCAACCAAATTAAAGTTAAAGGGGGCTTTTTACTTACTTGGATGTGCGCTTTACTAGATTAGAAATCCCTTTGTAGTCTTCATCGAGCTGTCTTTTTAGCCGCAGCACCCTGCACCGCTCGCTGACGCAGTCTCTACACAGAGAACAACCTGAAAAAAACAAACAATTTAACCGAAACAAAACTACAAACAAATATTCTACTTCAAACCCCTGAATCTTAGCCAGGTTTGGGATTATTTTCAGAGCATCCCTATCTTAAGTGAGTTATGCTGCGTTTAAAGCAGAAGCAGCTAGTTTACATGCAAAGTTAATGGTTGACGCGTAGCAAAAGGTCCAGCGGCGCGTCTGGGCAGCTGAAGCAGCGCCTCATGAGCTTCTGAGGATCTGACTCGCTTGTAGGGCTTCAGAAGCAGCAGCTGCTGCATTTGGAAAAATGTAACTTTATCTGCTGGACGCCACATCAACCAATCAGAGAAGCTGATCTGGGAGCTGGCAGGGAGACAGACACAGCACTGCTGATGCCTAAATTAACTTCAAATGTAGAAACCTGCCGGCAGAATATGTTCGCTTTTATCATCCTGGTTCCTGCAGTTTGGATTACGTACATTAAACCCGCCTTCCAGCTGCCGCGACCAGTAGTGGAAAACCGCGAGGGGTAAGCGGGCCAGAAGGCATCAGACCCACTTTTACCTCTGCGCAGCTAGAGCAGCAAACATGCTTTAGCCGAGGGTCAGAACTAAACTGGTACAAGCATGAAAACTGAAGGCCTGAACGTAGCATTACTGCTGTTAAAGCCTGCAAAGATGCAGAAAGGTTCATTTGAAGAGCGTTTGAAGAAGGTCCCTTCTGTAGCTGAGAGCAAACAATGTTTGGCTCACCGTCAAGTCTTGGTCCGCCACCGTAGCGTTCGTACAAGAGTTTGGCTGCTTGCAGAGAAACCCTCTTGATATCTGTCATCTTGTCTGGGTGCAGCTTTCCATGAGAACAAAGAAAAATGGAGTTGTCAATTTCCTTGGTGGCAGTGGAGTCATCGAGCCACTTCTTCAGCCACTCCAGGGGGATAAACTCAAATGGTTCTCCTACAGAAGAAAGGCACAGAAACATACAAAGCATTTAGATCATCAATCTGGGGCGGTTTACTCTAAACCAGGCATCCCCAAACTCGGTCCTCGAGGCCCGCTGTCCTGCAGGTTTTAAGGGTTTCCCTGCTTAGCACAGCTGATTATCATGAATGCAGTAGAGCAGAAGCCTGTTATTCAGCTTTCAATTAAAATCAGCTGTGCTGGATGCCTGCTCTAAACATTCATCTCAGTTCCCTGACTTCTGATATGTAACCCCATAAGGCAAACTAAGTCGCACTGAATCTAGTACTACCGTATTTTCACGTCTATAAGGCGCATATAAACGTCTTTTTTTCTCTCAAAATGTGCGGTGCGCCCTATGTGTTACTGCAGACGTTGTTGAGACCACCATGAGAACGTTAAAGGGGGAAGTGTGGGCGTGGATTGTGTATAAAAGAACAGGTATCCGCTTTATGCAGAACTCCTCATCTCCTCATTGAGGAGGTGATGAAAGAGTGGCTGAGGGAGGTGAATGTGAATGTAGACCAGGTGGTTTTTTCCACGCATCACCATCGCCGTTAATCTGTGACTCCATGCGTGCCCATCTCACAGCCGATGTGAAAAACATGGTGAAACAAATGAACGCTGTGCTTATTGCGTGAGGTCTGACAAAGGGACTTCAACCGCTCGACATCGGTGTGAACCGGCCGTTCAAAGTAAGGCTGCGTTCACACCGGACGCAGCAAGAGCAGCAAAATCGCGTCTGCTGCTTCCTTTTTGCTGCTTGTACCAGTTCGTTTTGACTTGTGCAAAGTGTGTCTGACGCGCGTTGGGCGGTAAATAATAACTCAGGTTAAGGCAGGAGAATGGGGGCGGCGGTTGAGGGGAGGGGGGCATTTATTTGTTATATTCATTTTGGTCACTTTTCTGGTCACTTTAGTTTATTCTTTGTCAGTATTTAATAACATAACTCAGGTCTCTTAAGTTATTTTTCTTTAAAACAATTCTGTTATGGTTAAATAAAGATTTAATTTAAAGTCTGTGCTTGTGTTCTTTATTAAAATTAAATCATTTAGCAATATTATAAAAAAATTCCAGGCAGAGCTGCACATAAAATATGGTTTCAAATCTTTTCAATAATTATCGATCAATATGCATTTTTATTTTTATCGATAAGCTTTTTTTCTATATCGCCCAGCCCTAGTTACGCCCACCTTATGTCACACTGACTTCCTGTTGTACTTCTAAAATTTTACCTTCAGACATGAACAAAGTCCCATTTTCTGGGTAGTAGAGTCATTAAGGAACATTTTACCGACCGTCTTTTGCAGGTAGAAGGTCGTAGAGCTCCTTCACCTCTTCATGCTTGGCCCTGCCCTTATCCACACTCTGCTTTCTCATGTTGGCCATCTCCATGCACCACTCTTCAAACTTATGGTTGTCTTGGTCGACCAACTTCTGAAGGAATGCTGATGAAAGGATCCACAGAAGGAAGATCAGAAAACAAAGATGGTTAAAAACTTGGCTGAGATCTTTGGAGAGACGTTCTACTCACCTGGGACCTCGACGTTAGTCCTGGAAGGTTCTGAGCTCTTCTCCTCCTGGACCTTGTATACCAGCATGTAAGCGTTTCTAGAGCAGTGGTAGCCTTTACTGCATTTGGGTTTTCTGGATTGGGTTTTTCCTGTTTCAGCTAAATTAGGAGAGATGAGGAAGCAAAAGGAAAACAGTTCACTCTAACAGGCCTCAACCGGATTCAACTGTTACCAAAAGTTTACATCCGGTCACCATGGGTGTTCATCTTCTCTTTCAGTGATTACCAACCTCTAGTAACCCTAGAGGCCAGCCATGGCATTGCACTGAAAACATGTAATATTTGACTTCCCAGATAAAGAATTTTAATAAAAAATGGCTGGAATCGGGTTTTGCTCTGTAAGGTCCAGAAAGATCAAAAGAAAATGTCCTAATCAACATTTAGATGATGACTAGAGTGGGTATGGCTGCACTGCTGCTCTGCGAATGAGTGGCTGAAACATCCCACTGCTGTGGACTGAGGAGAAGCTCAGGTGGTTCATTAACACCCAGCTGATTGATGAACACCAAGTGAAAATGATATAGAAAAGCTGAATATTATTTAGTTCATGTTTTTTTCCTGTTTTGTCAAGTTTACATGTGTTTATAGGGGACTTAAACAGAAGCGCTCTGGTTTTTTGTTAGAAAACAGATTTGTAGCTTAATTTGCTTTTATGTTTATTTCAGTACTTATTTACTTTCCAGGCAACATATTAATGTTGTTTTTATTCTAACTCAGGACTGGTTAAATGTTTATTAAAACATTAAAATGAACATAGCCTATTAAACCACGACATAACAAATTTTTTTAAAAACAAATATTAATATTAGGGATGCACGATATTGGGATTTTGGCCGATATCCGATATGCCGATACTTTAAAACTCATGTAGCCGATAACCGATATCGATACCGATGTTAAAGCTGGACAAAAATAAGTAGTCATTGAAAATAGCAGTTTTGTTATCCATTTCTGACACTTTGAAAAATAATATACTCAAATATATTTTCATATGCTGATATCAAATAGATTTTTAAAAACGCGGTATCGATCTATTTTACTTTCAAAATCTGGTGAAATTTCATCGTTCTGTTACAAACTCTCGTGATATTTTGCAAATTCTTGTGAGATTTTGTTAGTAAAATAGATCGATACCGCGTCAATATATCAACATATAAAAATATGGAAACATTTGGTGAATTTTCGGGGGATTTCGTAGCATAACGATGACATATAGCAATATTTCATTAGTAAAAGAGATTGATATGGTGTTTTTAAATGGCAATATATCAGCATATGAAGATATTGGGATATTTTAATGCATCAATATTTTTTCCCTCGTCTTTAGAAGTTTTTAAGTCTGTAAAAAAAAAGTTTTTGAGGAAGAAGAAGAAGAAGTAGTATTTTGTTTTTTTAGTCTTTAGAAACTCAGAAGCTGATCAAATATCGGGTTAAATATCGGTGGGGTGGCCGATGTCCGATATTCAGTTTTAAGGCCGATACCGATAGGGGGCCAATTATATCGTGCATCCCTAATTAATATCGATATTATTAATAAATATTATAATAATAAACTTATTAAAATGCATAAATGAAAGTGCATGCATTATAAACCGAAAAAATCCAGCATTACTGTGCTGCTCTGTGATCCTACCAGAAGGTCATGCACAGACCATGTTTTCAGGAGGACTTTCTCACTTCAACATAGATTCTAACTACTTTCTACCCGCAGATCACAGCTAATATAGCCGTCATTGTTCCAGGCACAAAAAGGATAGAGTAGCTCCGCCCACCGCGCATTAAACCCACTTTTCCACCACGCAGCGAAAGCAGCAAAGATGCTTCAGCCGCGCGTCAGAACTAAACTGGTACAAGCATCAAAAAATGAAGCTGCAGGTGCGTGTTAGCTGCTCCTGCTGCCTGAACTTAGCATAAGACATTTAGCATCTCTTTGTTAAATAGAAGAGCTCAGTCTGTCTTAGAAGGCAGGAATTTCCTTCCGGTTTGATAATGATTGTTTTCAACTTTCGGCTACTTTAGATCACAGATGAAATGTAAAATGATTGCAAATACAGGGAATGATATGTTGACAGTCAACAACAGATCTGATTCTGAAGAAACTGTTATAATACATTTTGTCCAAGCGGCGTTGCCATATAATGATGAATTAAGAAGGGGCGGGGCCCCGAGCAGATCTTGTACGTAAAATTAGAGTGATTTATAAAAACGCAGCCGCTCACCGATGTCCTCTTCAATTCCAAGCTGCAGCTTCTTTCCTTCCATTTTTTCGATCTCCTCATCGTTGAATTTGTACCAGTCGCCGGTAAGAGCGTCCTTGACGTGGGCGATGTAGTGTCCCGAGTAGGCGCTGATGCCTCGGTGGATCAGCACCGCACTCAGCTCATAGACAGAACTCTGGTCTGAGGAAACAGTCAAACATGAAACTTTTCATCCAGGATATCATAAAAAACATCTTCCTCAGGAAACACTTTAGCTAGCGTTGAAAGTACAGACATGAATTCAGTTTTTGACAGAATTCATCTATGAAAACATAAAACTGTCTGACCTATTCTGTTCAAGGGCAACATTTTTATTTATTTAATTTTATTTGTAATGAACTTTACATTGAAGGAAAATCTCAATGTGCTACAGGTAACATCATCATAAAAAGGTAAAAGCAAACAAAAACTAAACTTCATTGTAAAGTACATATGAATAAATAAGTCGATGGCATAATTATAAAAGGTTAACAGTCGTAAGTTCAGCGAAAAAGAATTGTCATAAATCCTTTTTTAATATTCTGTGTAGCCTGGTTGTATAGCAACAATGTTACACAAGGATCTTGGTCTGAGAAGCGGCGAACAAACAACGCGAGCTTCTTCAGAAGGTCTGAATCACTCCTGATGAACCGAGTGAGAAAGTAGCTTTAACCCCAACTAATGGAAACATCTTTACCCGGTATTAACAAGTTCAGTACCATTTTAAACTTTGGCTAAAAATATAAACATATTACTGCAACTAAGGACACAAAATGCAACACACCTTAAACAAAACTGAATTACTACTATATAAATACAATCTTATAATAAACGACATAGAGAAGCTAAGAGCTAGCTAAAACCACCTAACAACTTTCATGTGTGAGCTAATCATGTTTAACAACGCCATACTCGGTTAAACAGACCGAATATGGCGTCGTATGGAGTCAGGATTTCACAAAAGCTTGTTCAGGGTTCCTACAGCATTAGGCAAGTTAAATTTAAGACTTTTTAAGACTTTTTAATGCCACTTGAAATAAAAATTCAAGACCAAATTCACAAGAAACGCAAGAAAAACCTGCTTGCATCAACTTAACCCAAAGGTTTATTTTAACATAAACCACTGCACTAATGTTTCAAATGTTGAAAAGCTTCCCATACAGGAAGAAAGCTAAAAACACACAAATGACAGATATATTTGAACAATTATTTAACTGAATTCACAAACTTTGTTTTAGCAGGGAACAAAACAAATCAGTTTAAAGCCCCAACATAACCAGTGCTAAGTCTTTTTTGCAGCTATTTTTCTTTGTATGGTTTTCTTAGTATGTTTGATTTGGTGATAAGTGGAGGCGTTGCAGAGACAAGGGTGGAACTAAACTGAGAAATACCGGCTGTTTCTCTGTAACTCCATTTTGACGCTTTGTGTTTGACTCCACTGCCTTAATTCCCATCGTTCTGAGCTTGAATGACTTCTTGCATAAATCCACTGAGCCTCATGTATGTTCCCTGGTTTTAGCCATGGAGAAAACTCTTGGCTGGAGACAATTTTGGTTACATTTACACTTGCTCATATTTTCCAGACAAAAAGTTAATGGTGCATCTCCCAAATGACCCGGCCGCAACAACGCTTTTATTGGTTCCGCTATCGGGACGGAACCAGTAATGGCGAGCAGTTATTTTTTAATTTAAAAAAAAATTGTCAATTTTAACGTTTTATTTAGATTACAAAAATAAATCATAATAAAAATAATCGTGTTTATGATGTTTTAAAAATTAAGACTTACGAAAGACTGATTTAAGACCTTTTAATACCAATTAAGGCCTTAGTTTTATTTTGAAGAATTCAATGCCTTTTAAGACTTTTTAAGGACCCGCGGGAACCCTGTTGTTCCTTCTCTGAAGGCGTGTGCTTTGATTTCCACGCTCCTGCAGCCTCCCTCCTCCTCCTGTGGACCCGTTTTCTCTACGATCTTGTCAATTTTGTCACTTTCAAGGCATTACCCACCAGACAAAGCAACCCCACTGTGATTGGCTACTTTTGAATCCTGCATTCTGAGTTGTGACCCGTTGCCAAGGTGAGCAGCGTAAACCATCTTCCCGTTTCAAGCTATTGTTTGAGCTAGCAGAAACTTTCGGGCCTCTTTTGTAGACGTCCTATAACTCTCATTCAGACCATGTTATATCTAATATGGATGTAACTAACGATTACTTTACGAATCGATTAATCTGTTGATAATTCTTCAATGAATCGATTAATATTTGGATTGCATAAGGTTCCTTAAAAAAGATTTTTCAAGAAATTTAACCAGCTGACATAAACATTTCCACTTGAGGAGCTCTGGATGCTAAATGTTTAGATATTTTCTTTGCTCTGTCAGCTCCAGGAATGTTTCATTGTAATCGATTGATCACAATGAATCCAATTAATTGGTTCAGCCCTAATATCTAATGATGACTTTGATTACCAACTTCCAACTCTTAAAGAGAAGAGGGTTAGCCTGAAGTTGCTCTGCTAGTAGAAAGAAGATTACAGCCTCAAGAGGCGGGATTACCTGACAAGTAGCCAATCACAGGCAGGTTGACAAGTGACAAAAGATGACAAGAGTGAGCTGAAACACGTCCACACGCTAGGACTCATGCATGGAAATCAAACCACACACGTGCAGAGAAGGATCAAGCACTTGTGTGTGATATACTGGGGCCTGTTGTTCTCTACTTATACATGTAACATGCTAAACATGCGCATTAGGAAGAGTTAAAGAGTGTCCGTAGGAAATAGAGCTGTTCAAAAGAGGATTTATTACATGAGTTGACTTTTGGCAGAATCCTGACGCCATATTTGTCCTGGTGTTCTGTCAGAACAGCATAGCCATAGTCAACAATACCCGTTTGTCTCTAAAGTTTATCCCTTTAGTTTTGTACGAAAATGATAGACTACCGCAACAGGCATCAATCCCTTTAGTCATGTACAAAAAAAACAATCTAATTACTTACTTTTTACTGTTTCTTGAAGCGTATGACTAACTTAAATTGTTTTTCTGTACATGAATAGAGGGAAACACGCCCTTCGAGGTAGTTTAAAGGAATAGTACACCCAAAACATGATTAGCCTTCATTTTCTACTCACCCCCATGCTGAACAACACTCTGGAGTACTTTTTTGATATCTCAAATGCATCTGGAGATCTGGGAGGCTTCTTGCTGTCTGCTGACATTCAAATAATGGAGGTCTATGGCGCCCGAGGCAGAAAGGTCCATAAAAGTCCACAAAAAACGTGTCAATATTCCTCCATACTGCTCGTCCAATGTATTCCAAGTGTCCTGAGTGGGTAGCATCCAGAATTTACTCGAAACGAAGTCATTTAGAAGGTTTTTAGAGCATAAACAGTAGTGTATAGGATTTCCTAAAAGCGCGCGCCTGCGCGTTCATGACGCTACGGAAGCCGGCAGACCAAACCAGATGAAAGTGCGCATTCAGCGTCTGCTCTGCCGATAATGCAAGCGTAGAAGAAGAAATGTGCTGTTTACCTGTGCAAAGAAAGAAACAACGAAAGAAAAATGTCTGAGGACTTCAGTGTTGAGGAAGAGCATGAGTTCTTTGCCGAGCTGAATGCGCACTTTCATCTGGTTTGGTCTGCCGCGGTTTCCGTAGCGTCGTGAACGCGCTTTTAGGAAATCCTATACACTACTGTTTAGGCTCTAAAAACATTCTAAATGACTTCGTTTCGAGTAAATTCTGGACGCTACCCACTCAGGACACTTGGAATACATTGGACGAGCAGTATGGAGGAATATTGACACGTTTTTTGTGGACTTTTATGGACCGTTCTGCCTCGGGCGCCATAGACCTCCATTATTTGAATGTCAGCAGACAGCAAGAAGCCTCCCAGATCTCCAGATGCATTTGAGATATCAAAAAAGTACTCCAGAGTGTTGTTCAGCATGGGGGTGAGTAGAAAATGAAGGCTAATCATGTTTTGGGTGTACTATTCCTTTAAAGTGTATTTATAGTGTTAAATGTGTTTTTCGTACAAAACTAAAGGGCTAAACGGGGATAAACTAAAGGGAGAAATGGGACTAGCATACATGTATGCAAATCTAACATCTTGCTCATGCGTATTGAGTATAGGTATGCTGGGGTACGCTGATCTGGCAGAACGCCGGCTCAAGAAAAGTAAATCAGTACCTAGTTTTCTTTCCAAGAACGGTTCCATGTCCAGCTGCTCAGGAAAATTGATAAAAGTGTTGAGCTTCTTCTTTAGACCCGTTTGTCTGTGAATGACAGAAATAATGATCAGTTTCAGCTTTTTATTCATAATGGTTGTTCAGGTCATCCCTCCATCTTTAAATCAGACAGATTGATGGTTAGATGGAACTAAGGCCGTCAGACCACAGCCAACCGTGTGACCCGTTACTGACCTGTCAAAGACAAAGCGCATGAGCTGCAGGTTGAGGGTCGGAGGGAGGCTGTGAAGTCTGATTCTCCGGGTGGCGTTCTGTTTGCTCTGGCAGTTTTCACAGAAGTAGCGGTTCTCTCCATCCAGCTTCTCTTCCTACAAGGACACAAGTTTCAGCACAAGCTGTAAGCTGACACCACCACGCTACACGAAGAAGTAGAAAACACATCAACGCTTCATTCGGTTCAGTTCTTTTATGGCGTTTTCCACAAACTGTAACGTCTCTACACATTTACATTTGCCGACCCTCGCCAACGGGAGCCGCAGCCCTACACGTTTTCCACGCAGATTCATCCACGTAGTTATAAATTTTCCTAGGTGCTACGTGCAAAAATTCAGTCAGGGCTTGGAAGCCCAAAATGACGTAATTTGGCCGTGCAGACCTTGGAAGTGCACCGAGCATATACCAGGCAGAGGAGGTCTTTTACAGACTGATGAGGAGGAAAGCTAAACACTTTGTTTTGCTTACAAATATCCAGATTTTCTCACTGCCTTTGCCTCCCGATCCTCAAAGTTATCCTTTACATAACAGATCACTGTAGCGGTTTCTGCATCTTTAATAGTGGTGAAAATCCTTCTTTCTTAAAAGCTATAGTGGAGGACTTTCGCATATTTTTGACAAGACCTGCCCTCTCCACTTTAAAAAAAAATGCACTTGCACAACCCTGTGCGCGCTGCTGATAGGGAACGCCTGTTAAACCCGTGCGAGGGCGTGGAGGAGCCCGTTTCTCCTCGTGCACACTCTGTTTAAAAGTTGCATCGCTCATAAAAGCTTAATTTCCTAAAGAGGATTTTAAATTTTTCTAGTTAGGCCTTATGTAAACATAATCACCAGAATGATTGACGATTAGGATGACCACTCATGTTGATGATCCACCAGGAAAAAGAACATCCTCCACTATACCTTTAAATATGCCCATTAAAGGAAAAGTCCGCTCATATTCGGAATTCAAACTTCTGAAAGTTCTTTAAATCTGAAATGATTCCATCCTGTTCAATAAATGATCAGTGTTTTTAATTCAGATTAGGGCTGCAACTAACGATTATTTTAAAAATCGATGAATCGGCCTATTATTTTTTCGATGAATCGGACAAAAAATATTTTTTATATTTATCTCTTTATTCCAAAATAAACATTTTAGACAGAACAAACAAGCACACAAGTACAGGTTGCTCATTAACTGTACTGGTGCAATATGAAAAATAAATGTTTGTGTTAAAACTACGCAAACTTACATGAGAAATGTAGCTGTACATCCACAAAATATAGGCTACTTTGTTTCATAAAGTGCAAAAAAAGACATTTTTGTTTTTAAAGCCCCTAAGGGGTTCAAACAATAGGCCCCCCCATTTCAACAAATGAGTTTTTTTAGACTAGAAGAGTTCTGCCTTTTAAGACAGGAAAGTATAGCAGTTAAAGTTGCTACTTGAGAAAATACTGAACCATAGAGATAAAAATAGCCCTGTGATTCAAATTATAAATTGTATTTGGAATAAAAATGAGAGAACTAGGGGTGCTAAAAAACACATCCTCCAAAGACAGATATTTACATGGGAATGTGGCAGATAATTAATTGACATATTACTGATCTTGCTGGATTTTATTCTGCTTTACTTCCATAAATTGCAGGATCTTTACTTTATCTTTGCCAGAAGATTTAAACTTTAAAAGTCTTGCCCTCATAATTTGCAAGTTAATTTATTTATAAAGAAAATATAAACGCTGCTTAAGCTAATTCAAATGAAATAAAGTGTAAAATAAGTAGCCAACCTTATCACTGTCTGTAACCTACTAACAAGGTAAGGAAAGCATCAGATGAGCTACCTGAGAAACTAACGTTACGTTTCCCCACTTTAAAACCAAACAAACATGGTGGTTCCGTGCCATGTTAATTTGTTTTGACAAAAGTTGCATGTTACGACTTTTTTCGCCTTACAAAGCGCAGGCTATTTTAATTATTGTGATCAATTTGCGCCGTCAATCCCGGCGCATGCGCGCTTCATTTGTAGTCTGGACGCTGAGGGTAAACATCCTGCGGCTCTGACTGCAGCGCTGAGAGGGACTCCTGCGGGAGAACGGGGTTGGGATGGGGGAGGCGCCCCACGGCAGAGTAGGAACGATACATGCTTTCACGTAAGAGTCTCCAAAAGCCGCCAGTGACACCGTAAAAAGTCGCCAGATTTGTCGCTAGTCGCTTTTTTGAAAAATAGTCGCTGGAGGGGTCTGAAAAGTCGCTGACTTGGCAACACTGCACCTGCAGCGCTGACTCGCTGTGCCGTATTTTTTTTTCTTCCCCCGCTTCAGTCAAGTGGATGTGATGACGGCGGCGGCGGATGACGCATTAATCAAGCGACACAACTAATCGATGATGAAATTCGTTGCCAACGCTTTTAAAAGTCGATTTTTATCGATTTTATCGATTCGTTGTTGCAGCCCTAAATCAGATCAATTTTCATGTGAATGTGCTTTAATGGCTCTAATGAGTCAATCATGATTACAACGATAAGTGTACACCTCTGTAGGCTTTTGCGTGAAACTAATACGCAGAGAAAGTCACCTTCAGGAACTCTGTGATGCACTCAGTGAGGTTTTTGTGGCCCTGAATATTCAGCTCCAGCTCATAGAATCTGGACGGCAAAGTAGAGGATCTTCCACACTGATTACACCTGCAGAAAAAGACAAACAACGTCAAATAAACCAGAATAAACTGAGCCTGGTTCTGCTGGAGGTTTCTTCCTGTTCAAAGGGAGTTTTTCCTCTCCACTGTCGCTACAAGCATGCTTAGTGTGAGGGATTGCTGAAGAGTCAATGAGTCGATGCAATCAGCTGGTTTTCCTTAGATAGAAAACTTTGAATCAATCTGACTGGATGATCTGGTTGAACTGGAAAGTGACCTGAGATGACATGATGTGAATTGGAGCTATAGAAATAAACTGAATAGAATTTAATCTGTGTAGTGAATAAATAAAACCGATTTATTCACGTCAGACAAAATAAAAGAAAAGCATCACACCACAAGCCATAAAACAGTACAGTGTCTTTAAATTGACCTTTTTTTCCTTTATATAGTTGGACTTACATGGTAACGTAGGAGAACTGCCCACAGAACTGCTGCTGGATGAGATTTTGCAAGTTGGGATTCTTCTCCTTGGACAAAGTCTCCTCCAACAGAGACAGGAAAAGATTGGAGAACTCCTGGGCATCCTGGCGAAACAAATAAAAGACATTTAGTGATCAGACTTTGAAAGAAACCCCTCATTAATTATAAAAAGCCGAGCTGAAGTTTCCAGTCCGTGTCACGTGTGATTAGGGGATCCAAATGTAAAGAAAACAAACTATCATCCAGACAAACAGATCAGGTGAACTTTTCTCCATATTCCTGATCACTCAGTAGATGAAGGGAGTCATTGAAATAAATCAGGTGTAATTGAACAAGATCACCTTAAATAGATAACTACAACACAACTACTTAAAAAACTAATAGAATGAAATGAAAACTGTACGGCAAACATTACATGTGGAGAGCAAATCTTCATTTAAAGTGTTTCAGCTATAAAACTAGCCTTAATTAAAATTAGGATGATGACCACAGTTTGTATCTTTTTTTACTGAGAGGAGTCTGGCTGCAGATCTGCACCGTCAGGACCGGAACTTTATTCCGGAGCTTCAGGAACAGAGCTTAGCACGTATTTGCTGCTGGATTTTATTAGAAGATGACACTTTTTTTTTTCTGCGAGATGAGTGCTCACTTAAATCTGCCTTTTGCCCACTTTTCCCAACTTAAAGACCAAGAACACTTTTTAAACATTTTACAATAATTTTTGGGGGATTTTCTTTTACCTATTCCAACATTATCCCTCTCTTAAGCCGGGCGAACACTTCAGGATATTTTAAATCGTTGCACGCAGCTATAGCTCACACTGTACGACCAAACTGCAGGGTTTAACAGCTCACAAATTTTGTTCTTAGATTGTGCGACCCGACGATCTGATGCGATCCACCTGCTCACACTGTACGTTAGAGTCCTGCAACGGGTCGGGTACCCCAGGGTCCCCGACGGGTCACCCGTTAAAATGCTCTTTTGTGGGTGAAAAATACATAAATAAAAATAAACGGGTCGGGCGGATATTTTTTTAGTGCGGGCGGGTAGTTGGTGATTTTTTTTTTTATGCGTGTGTGTTGTTATGGACATCAGAAATGTTCTATTAATCAGGCCACAGTCAGTGCATACACGTCTGCTGCAGTGTTAATGGCGCTGTTCTGCAGCGCAGCGTACTATAGCCTATTACTTGATGTGTTAACGGGTCGGGTTGCGGGTTAAATATCAATGGGTCGGGTCGGGTTCGGATTTGAATTGAAGATATCCGCGGGTGACGGGTCGGGTTCGTTAGTCATCCTAACGGGTTCGGGCGGGTGCGGGTTGGTAAAACTCGACCCGTGCAGGACTCTGACAGTTTAAATCTGCTGTTCAACAATTAAAACACTACTAATAAAATAAGATAAAACAGATATTTTAAAGTTTGTTTTGTTCTTTACTGTTTTCTCTGATGTTGTGGGAAAAAACAGAACTTATTCATCTATTTTGGTCAAATATCCCGGTATTCAGTGTGAGAACACAAAGCTAAGTTAATTTGAAATCACATAGCCTCCATTGGCAAATCTATATGGTCCAACAGCAAATGGAAGAACAACACAAAGTTACTAAAAGAATAGAGAATATAATACTGGCAAACACTCATTAGAGACGTCTTTATAAAAGAAATTTGTTTTATTTTGTTATTTTGACATTTTCTTGGGTTTTTTTTAACGTTATCCAGTTGAACTAGAAGAGATTATATCTATATAGATATGTATATAAATATACACGTATATATATATATATATATATATATATATATATATATATATATATATATATATATATATATATATATATATATATATAGTTATATATAGTTATATATCTATATAAATCATTAAACAAACATATTTCTATAATGAAGACCCTGGAAATAAACTGGGGAACTTAAAATATTTTTGGTATACTAGCTTTTATTTTTATCTTACTTTTAATTTGAAAGGGTTTAAATAAACTTCTGGTCCTGACAGAGCAGGTCTGCAGGGGGTTTACCTGCTGCTGTCCTGTATCCAGACCCAGTGCTTTCACCAGGCCTGACGGGTCAATGTACTTTCTGTTGCTATTTTGCAGGAGGGCAAATAGGTACTGCAAGTGCTCACATATGGACTGTGGTTCATAATCTGAAAGACAAACAGTCAAATTATACATTTGACACGGATGCAAATCGAGTTATCACACTTTATATCTGGCTAAAATCAGTTAATGGTCAATTATTTTTATTTATATAAGTAAGATGTTTTAGAGAACATGTAGCTTTGGAATTTACCAGAATCAACATTGTGTTCCTGTGCCCGGGAATTCTGACACTGATAGAGGCTACTACGAAGCTCCAGGTTATGGAACCACACTTGCAGGAATGTGTTGACATAACAAGTTGCACCAAGGTTGGTCAGGCCAACAAAAATGTTCTGGAAGGGAGCAAAGAGATAAACTAGTACAGAACAGAGTCCTAAAATAAGTCCAGGGAGATTTAATTGACTTAATATTAACAAATGGTATGCAATTTACAAAGTACCTTTTCTCTGCGTTCAGAATTTGGATCATCAATATTATGGAAAGTGTTTTCATCAATCTCTCCAAGCCACACCTGTTCCCCAATCCCAACCAGACAGTTGGGATTCCCTTTGCAATTCCTCCTATGAAGAAAAAAAAAAACATATATATATATACATTTTTTTTCTTTTTATCAGTGTCACTTTTGCTATGTTTCTCTAATATTAGCGAAAACATACATTTTGATAACAATGAAATTCGATTCTTTTCAAGAATCAATACTATTAATATCAGCAAACTGTGATTAAACTTTAAAAGTTTGTGGCTAAGTTCAAAAAATAGCAACATACATAACAGATTGTGGAGGAAAAAGAGCCAACAGTGACAAAAAAACTAAAAGAATAATAATTTACTGATCAAGCAGAGCGGAATTTATCATCAGAAGAGGAAAACGCAACAGGAGCACGTTGAACAATAATATAAAGCTGTAAAGGTTTATAAACCTGCGACATAACCATCCATAAACTTGCATAAGCAAAACAAAAGAATATTATACATGTTTAAAGTGTTTGACATCTCTATAAAGCTCTACAGAAGGATTTCTGAGCAAGTTAAAAATACACCAGGAACCAAAACTTGTGGATGTGGAATAAAGCACTGCTTTTTGTGCACACACACACACATATATAGTGAATATATACATAGTATATATATATATATATATACATAGTATATATATATATATATATATATATATATATATATATATATATAGTATATAAAAGAGACAATTTGATAGTTTAACTTCACAAAATGAAATTAAATCCTTCACAATCTTATATGTTATAAAAGATCCATACTGTACCTGCAGATTCCCCTCTTGCAGGCCGGGATGTTGATTCGATATGCTAGCTCTATATGCTCCTGCTTTATGTCTTCTGGTTTGACAGTTTCCACCCACAGCCACGCGGCTTTATCCAGTTTAACGCGGGGAGCCATTTTATTTCTACACACAACAGAGAAGAAAGCAAACAAATAAAATCATTCAAGGCAACCAGACGGCTCCCTGGACATGCTAACATCATCAGAAGCTAACTGTTAGCATACAACTCAATTACAATCATCCTGTTGTCAGTGCTACTTATGTTTAGCCAACTAAAGTGGGTCCATTTAGAGTGTCACGACAAAACTGAACTTACACAATCGAGCATCCATATCATCTAAACAGATATAATAAAATAAGACAGCTACCAACAAATATTAGTTAGAAGCGTCTGCGCTAAAGACTGAACTCGTGAAGTTAGCCTGTTAGCTTAATGTAGCTAGCTGCTTGTGCTAGCACAGACACACTCTGACGCTAATATAAACAATCTATTCTGTTAAATATAAGTATTATCTAACCTCTCATGCGTGTAGCTGCTTCACCATTGTATGCGTGTTAGGTTATAACATTTTATTAGCGGTTTATTTTAGATTTAGCGCCTTTGCGTCAGTTTATAAATAAATAATTCCTCCGCTTAAAATCCACGCTACGTAAACTAGTGACGCAGGTGACGTAGTTACAGAAAGGGACGTACCCGCAAACACATTTTCTCTTTTAAAAATTTAGATTTGGTTTGATCTAAATGATACTTTTACTGGATCGACTGCGGGCAAAACCAACCAACTATAAAAAAAAAAAAAAAAAAAAAAAAAACTTTTTTATTTTTTAATACTTGAGCTGATATTTGTATTCCTATACTGGGGCTGCAGGGGGCGCTGTTTCACAAGTAAAAATAAATGGTTCCTAAACTTGTGCAAAAAACAAGACATTGGATTGACACATAAGTAACTATTTTGTTTATGTAGTTTGATTTTTCTTTATAATATGTTTGATCAATCTGACTGACTTTTAAAGTTCACAGTGAGCTCAAGTTTTAAGTGTGGTAAGCATCAGGCTCTACTGGCCACACTAGAATCACTAAAGTATCCCAAATCCCAGATAAGAAGGTGATAGGATGCAGTGCAGCGGCAACTAGAGGACTTTTAACAACACTTACGTCAATTATTGACGTAAAATCAAGTTTCAGCTGAAAATAATTAAATGAGGAGTTTGTTATATTGTAAATTTCCATCATCTGACACAGTACACAACATTTTGTTAAAACCCAACAGCTGTAAATACATCTGTGAACTGCAAGTTACAATCTGTTTGCACTCTATGGAAGGAAAGAAGGAAGGAAAAAAGCAACAAAGGAAGGAAGAAAGAAAATATTTTGGTTTTTAACAACACTTTATTTACACAATTCAAACAATAAAATCAATTATTGGTGTAAAAAGTCAGTTAAAAATCACTATTAAGTTAAAAACAGGTGTGGCGACATTATGGGAAATTTTTTTCAAACCAAATAGATTTCTCAAGAACGCCACCCTGGGAATTTCACCCAGGGAATGGTACCCTCTTTTTAAGGCGCACAGGCTCAGTTATGCAGGGATTGAGACATCTGAGCCAGTTTCAAGAATGATAGATAGATAGATAGATAGATAGATAGATAGATAGATAGATAGATAGATAGATAGATAGATAGATAGATAGATAGATAGATAGATAGATAGATAGATAGATAGATAGATAGATAGATAGATAGATAGATAGATAGATAGATAGATAGATAGATAGATAGATAGATAGATAGATAGATAGATAGATAGATAGATGTTGCAGTATCTATAACAACCCAAACACACAGGGTTTTAGAATTAGACATCCCCAGTTATTAATTTCATTCACTCACCAGATCTGAATACCCTGTTAAAAAACTTCACACCCATGAGTAGAGGTGATGCAGCCTGATGATATTTACACCGTCAGATACCTTTCCCCCCATGTTAACAAGAGGGGAACGCTATCTGACGGAGTTTAGAAGCCCATCTGATGTCATTGACGTTGAGTTGCAATAAATGCTAAACTCTCTGCAGGTTCTTGTCTTTGTCGTCCGCTCTATTCAGCTGGCTTTGAAACATACGGCGAGAAGGTGGGGGCCGGGTGGTGAGGGTTACGGGGCGAGAAAGGCAAAAGTAATGCAATAGTTACTTTTACTAGTAACTAGTTACTTTTATTGTGGAGTAACTCAGTTACTTTTTGGGAGAAGTAACTAGTAACTATAACTAACTACTTTTCCAAAGTAACGTGCCCAACACTGCTCGTCATTTTTTTGCCCCCTTCTTGTGAGGATTCTTGGTTCTCATTTTTAGGTGGATTTCTGTTTTTTTAATTTTTGCTTCTGTTACCCCTTTTGTTATTAAATCTTCTGAAAACAACCAAAACCATCAAAAACCATAATGACTAAATGCGACTAAAACCAATATGGGTTTCATCCTGAAGACTAAGACTAAACCTAAGATGTCTGTCAGAAAAAAACAGTGATCTTTATGTTTAAAAAAGGAGGCTGTTGGGAGCTGGAAGAAGTACCACCTTTCTCCAGCAGAGTCCTCCGTGGATCCTCCTGAGCTGAGCTTCCTGCACAGCTGCAGCCCATTCCATCATCAGAGGATCCACAGTACTTAAGCTGTCTTCAGACCTTGCCTCAACGCCGCAGTGTTGATCCTGTTGGTTAGCACCTAAGCCTAGCATCTCTGTGAACCTTTGTTGACTTTTGAATCCGGACAGGATTCTAACCTTTGTCTCTGTCTTCCAGGAAACCAGTCTTTCTCCTGTGAAGCTCAGGAAGAGCTTAACCTGTCGAGCCTGCCCTCTGAGCCAAACCTGAAGCCTCTCTCTGAACTTCCATGCAGCTCTGGACCAAGAGCTGGAAACTCAAAGCCAAGTTCTGCTCATTCTTAAGAAGTAAGACGCTGAAGCAGCTTACGGACTCTGCTGATCAAATCCTCTCCAGATCCAACAGTTTCCCTCTCAAGGCTTTAATCAAGAACCCTCAAGGTACAAACCTGAAACTGTCAAGAATCAAACTCCTATGCGCTACGCTAACTGAACTGTCTCTCACGCAGACTCCGGTGAACCAGTCTCCCAGGCCTGACCCTGAACCAGTCATTATCTCAGTGCTTATGACAATAAACTCTGTTAAACCTTTTACTCCAGTTTCCGTCTCAGTGGTGTTCTGCATAATTGGGTCACACCAGTGAACCCATCATGACAGAGGCAGGAAAAGCAGAACACAGCGTTAGCCTCGCTGCATGCAGTTAGCCTAGCCTTGTAGCTAAACCAGGTCCTGGAAAAAGACAGAGTGAAACGTCTCCATCTGTCTTTAGACTGCTGATTAATTTTGATGTTTGGCTGATCCGGTCCAAAGGGTTTCATTTCCAGTTCTCTTCAAGCTTAGCTGCAGCCAGAGCTCTCCTATACTTCTGTATTGCAGACGACCTACTGCGCATGGACAACTTTTAATGAGACTCTATGGGGGAACATTTTTGCTTCAAATTATATATTACCATATTTCAAAAATGTTTTATTTTTATAATTTTATTTTATTTATTTTTTTGTCTTAATGAAGGTGATTGGGCTTGTGGGGCGGCGCCCTAGCGCCCTCTATTGGCCAGCTGCCACTGGACCAGTGTTAATTTAGTTTTTCGTTTCGTTTTTCTTTCGTTTTGCTTTTTTTTAATTTAGTCTTAGGCTTAGTCTAAATGACGAAAATCTATTTTAGTCTTAGTCAAATTTTTGTCATTTTAGTCAATTACAAATTCATTATAAACAATTACATTTTTAATGTCCATTCGTTCATGGCTCATAAATTTTGTCTGGACTTAGTCTCGTTGATAAAAATACGTTTTTATTTTCTTCATATTTTTATTTTCTGGAAACAATTTTTGTGCGTTTTCGTCTCGTCATCGTCACGGGAAAAGGGGGCGTTGACTCCATGTGCACCTTCACCTCTTCCTCTTCAGATGACATCTCTGTATCCCATTCTGGTTGACGAAATGACCACTGCACTGGACAAAACCTTGACTCCACGTGTTCCTGTTTTCTGAGTCAACAACAGAAGAGTTCATGTATGAAAGGAGCCACAGAACTACCATGAAACCCAGTTTGGAGTAACAGCTTCATTCACTTTTTACAGTATCACCACAAGATAACTTTCACAGTCAGAGGAAATGTATGTAAAGATCAAAGGTCATGTCCAAGCTCCAGAGGTGCACATCGACTTGCACTGTTTGTCTAAATTTATGCCCATTCTTCTTATTTTTGTCTCCTGAGTGGGAAAAATATACACAAGAACAATAAGAGTGTGAAATATTTCATCTATGCATCTAGAGCTCGATGATTAGCTTTCCCTCATCATCACTGCTGCTGGTGTCTTCTGAATTGTCTGGAACGCTCGGCACAGGCCTCACGCCGCTGGGCAGGCAGTCTGCGGCTTGGTAGCCATGAAAGGACCCGATCATGAGAATGGACTGGTACTTGTTTCTCCCAGAGTCACGGTTCTGGTCGGGGAAGTCCTTGAGTGTTTCTGCAGAGACTTGCTTCTTACCAGCTTCCAGAAACGGCTGTGATGAAGCGACAGGAATCTGCTCGTCCTGCAACATTTCTCCTGTCATCTCATCTGAACTCCTGCAGACTTTGGTAACCTGACTTAAACACGTAGAGGACAGCGTTCTGAAATCTGGTAAGACACTTGGGTTTTTTGTTCTGTCTCCAGTGAAAATATCAGAGCAGCTCTCAGCTGTCCTGCAGTTAAAGTCCTGCTGAGCTGAAACACTCATCGTGCTTTTAGTTGACTGACAGCTGGGCTCAGCACATAAAGAAGCCCGATGGTTCATGTTCGGTGCATGTGAGATCTGCATCTGCTGGTCGTAGAGGACGGTGCTTGTGTCCCAGTTCTTCTGTGGTGGATAGAGATGGTTGATTTCCAGCGGTGGGCAGTCTAGACGGCGGGTATGGGTGCTGCTGGCAGCCAGGTCAGAGTCCTGGGAGATGTTTGTGGTTTGATGTTCAGATATTTGTGGATTTCTCTGGCAAAGCGCCTCTAAATCCTGTTCAGACAGATGTGCGATTTTCAGGGGATCCACACGAACGTTTATTTCTTCTTCCTGAAATAAAAGAATAGACAAAAATAAACCACCATATAAATATTAGCATTATAAAGTTGCTGTCATTAGTAGAGTGGCCAGATGTCCGGCTTTAAGCCAGTCCAGATGTTCATTGCTCTGTCCGGCGTCCTGACGCCTATTTTTCCCGTTTCTTCTGGGCTGCAGCACAATATCCAATCAAACGAGCTAAAAATAAATGCATGGAATGATTGGCTAAGAGCGGTGCCGTGTCAGATAAATGATTTTAAATGGTTAAAATCCTTAATACATTTATTTTTAAAGGCAGCTCAGGTATAAATAACAGCTGTTATCTCTTTTGTAGAACATAAAAACTCAAGAAGGATGCTAAATATCCACTTTTTTTTCTTAAAGATAAAAATAGTTCTATTTAACTGACTTCTACTTCTAAAAATACGACAAAGACAAACAGAGCAACTCTATTTACACTGATTCTATGTTTCTAGATTTCCACACGGTCCATAAGTAAATGAGTACAAACATTAACGTTTGGTAAATAATGCTGGAATCTGGCTGTTTATTTTGGATACTATTACATTACAGATAAGATAGTGTTAAATTGTCTTTTATACTGTTAAAAGTGATTTTATATTTGAATAAACTTAGGCTAATTCTTAGTGTTGCGTTTGTAGATGATGCCACTAAAAAGAAAATAGACATAAGGAGCTATTTAAACAGTCAGACAGTAACAATATAGGATAAAAGGTTATTACATTTAATCCTTTACTATTAAAAACACACTTTTATAAAAGAAATATTATATGATTGTAGGAAACCCAGATATAATGCCTTAATGTGAAGCAGCTGCCCTTCAGTGCTGCATGATGGAAGAAATGTGTTTGGAAAGTTACCATAAAATTAGGGCTGAAACTAATGATTATTCTGCAAATTGATTAATCTGTCGATTATTTTTAGCCAAAGGTTCCTTAAAGAAGATTTTTTACTAAATTAAGCCACTTTTGAGGAGTTCTGAATGGAGAATATTGACAAACAAAAATTTTTTTTTTGATCTTAAATGCAAAATGTTTACATATTTTTTAACAATCTTATAATTCCTGCTCTAAGTGGGTTGCTCTATCAGCTGAAGGTACATTTTAGTGGCCCTATACTTCAGTTAACGATTAATCAATTAATAAATTAGGTGACGATTATTTAAACAATCGATTAATATGATTAATTGTTTCAGCCCAAGATAAAATACGTGAAATGGGCGACAGAGTAACTACAGCACAGATGTACAACTTGTATAATGAAGTTAATATTTTAAACGCTCAGTGTCAGTTCCTCTTATAGTTCCAGTGAAAATGTAAATACATTTATTTACCTTCCCTTTAATGTATTATTTTGCATGACACAGAGAGAGCAGATTAGATAAAAAATGGGTTTTACCTCTGTTTACCTCTGCAAAATTCTATTTCTTCAAAAGAAAATGCAGGATAAATCCACATATAACAGACATATTTAGACTATGTTTGGTTAAATAGGAACGTATTTACTTTCTGTCTTAGTCGCTTGTAGGTTTGAATGCAAACCTTTTCAAAGTGGAAAAAACTCCTAATTCCACATTCATCAGAGCCAGTGATGCTTCAAACATTGATTAACAACATCTAGAGCATGTAGTGCTAATAAGATTTATATTAATGTAGCAAGAAATGCTGCTGTTCTCTTTAAACAAAATGTGCCCTGATGCTCACATTAAGCATGAATATTTTTTCAAAGGTACCAATGACGTCAGACCAATCAAACTGCAGACCAACAGTGTCCCTACCAAAGTTCTTTCTTTCCTCGCTGCAGCTGGTGGACTGAAGATCCTAATGACCCCATTAACCTGTTCATCAACATCCCTGTTCTTAATTGCTGCTTATTTGTTTGTAAACAGTCCTTTTCGCTTTTTAATGGATAATTGTCAATCCACGGTTTTTAAATCCAGTGTGTAGGTTTTAGGAACTGGACAGTGTTTGCATTCCCTCGTAACCTCTATAAACATGTTTTAATCTCACCCTTGGCCTAGTCCTGTCCGCTCCAGCCACCTCTGGAACGTTGTGGGGCTTCTGGTCCTTCTCGGTCAGGTCGTATCCTCCCCGATGCTCTGACTGCAGCTCCTCTTGTTTCAGCTCTGCTTTGCAGTCTGCACCCTCTGGTGTCTCCTTATGTTCCTGATCCTTCAGGGCTTCCTCTGTAATCCCTTCCACAACAGAAACGGGCCTGGTTAAACCATCGGATTCTAACTGGGACCCATCATTTCAAAGGAGAATCGCCTCCTTGCTTTTATAGACATTTATACTAAAACTGAGAGTTTTTGAGAATTTCCCAAAACTTTGCAGATCAACATCCAGATGTTTACAAGACAGTGTGGAATGATACAAGGTGTTCAGTCAGACGCTTAAAGGAATAGTACACCCAAAACATGATTAGCCTTCATTTTCTACTCCCCCCCATGCTGAACAACACTCTGGAGTACTTTTTTAATATCTCAAATGCATCTGGAGATCTGGGAGGCTTCTTGCTGTCTGCTGACATTCAAATAATGGAGGTCTATGGCGCCCGAGGCAGAAAGGTCCATAAAAGTCCACAAAAAACGTGTCAATATTCCTCCATACTGCTCGTCCAATGTATTCCAAGTGTCCTGAGTGGGTAGCGTCCAGAATTTACTCGAAACGAAGTCATTTAGAACGTTTTTAGAGCATAAACAGTAGTGTATAGGATTTCCTGAAAGCGCGTTCACGAGTCTACGGAAACCGCGGCAGACCAAACCAGATGAAAGTGCGCATTCAGCTCGGCAAAGAACTCATGCTCTTCCTCAACACTGAAGTCCTCAGACATTTTTCTTTCGTTGTTTCTTTCTTTGCACAGGTAAACAGCACATTTCTTCTTCTACGCTTGCATTATCGGCAGAGCAGACGCTGAATGCGCACTTTCATCTGGTTTGGTCTGCCGCGGTTTCCGTAGACTCGTGAACGCGCTTTTAGGAAATCCTATACACTACTGTTTATGCTCTAAAAACATTCTAAATGACTTTGTTTCGAGTAAATTCTGGACGCTACCCACTCAGGACACTTGGAATACATTGGACGAGCAGTATGGAGGAATATTGACACGTTTTTTGTGGACTTTTATGGACCTTTCTGCCTCGGGCGCCATAGACCTCCATTATTTGAATGTCAGCAGACAGCAAGAAGCCTCCCAGATCTCCAGATGCATTTGAGATATCAAAAAAGTACTCCAGAGTGTTGTTTCAGCATGGGGGTGAGTAGAAAATGAAGGCTAATCATGTTTTGGGTGTACTATTCCTTTAAGCCCCACTGTTGGGTTATATGCTTTATGCTGTTTATTTTTCATGTTTTTCTTTTATTATTTTTCACTCTGGGATGTGATGATGTCTACTTTGTGCATGGAGTGTGTCAGAGGGCAGTAGAGAGCCTAAGTGTTCACATGGTGTTCAGAGAGAGAGTAGAGAGCAAGAAGCTCTAGGTTGATTAGCCTTGGTTGAGCACCTGATGGGCCTTTTGTTTGTTTGCCCTGGGTGTGGTTGAGTCAGTGGAGCACAGAGACGCTACTGGTATGTATTTTACTTCATTTTCACACTTATGTTCTAGTAAATCATGAAATGAGATTGATGATACTGATCAGAATGTTTAATTTAAGAAATTAGATCAGAAATGAGAGAAAATAAATGAGAGGAGGAATGTTTAATTTAATCTGTATTATACTAAGTCTAATGTAGAGAACTATACATGTTTGCATGTGTGACTATGGTTCATGGTGGAACTAATATCTGTTTGTTTTTCTTTTCTTTGTTGAGGTTATCAACCTGCTTATGATTCAACAGAAAATGACAAAAGTCAAATAAAAGAAGTGACTAAGTTGATCTGAGTTGTTTCCTGCGTCCTCTGTGCCAAGCCTGGTCGAGTTCAGGCAGACAAACCCCAAAATAACTCGACAGTTGATAACCAGTCGGGCAGCCTGGACAAAGAGATAAACGGGTCCAGTGTAAAGCTGTAGACGCAAGGGTGCAAGCTGTGAGTGTCAACAAAGTCTAAAATGGCAGAAGATATTCTGGAGAAGATGGTCAAACAGCTCAAAAGAGAGAGGACCACTGCAAAAAGCAGCTTCACCAGACAAGCCAACTTTATAAGTAAAGGAGCAGATGGCATGGTTGAAGAAGAGCTACGGGAGGAATTCAATAAGCTTTCAGTCTGTCTAAGAAATATATCTGAAGCAAACGATGAATACAGGATTGGATTGCTGGCTGAGGCAACAAAAGAAGAAGAGGCGGGCCTTGAAGAGCAGCTGGAAAGTGATATAGAAAAGACTGTTGGTGAGGCTGAAACAAGGTTTAATGAGGTGTGTGGAATCATCCAGAAGAACCTGTGGTCAAAGTATGGTCAAGACGAAATCACAGCTGCAATCCTGGTGGCAGAGGAAAGTGCTGATGTAGCAGGAAGCCTACCTGTTCAGAGTACTCACCTGGAGGGGTACGAGGTGCATCTAAGTCTCCTGGAGAAGAGGATGAAGGAGGTCATCAAGGCCATGTCGAAGTGGGAGCGATGGATCCCTGGGTTGGAGAAAAGAGATCTTGATGGCAGGATCAGAGATCTCAAAGGAACCAGCAGTAGGCTTGAACTGAGGAAAGCTGAATTTGCCACTGCACGGAGAGTTGCAGAGGAAGCAAGTGCTGCGCAACCTGCAAATGTGGTGGCTGGAGGTCCAATACAAGCAGTACCTATGGTGAGGATTAAACCGACAGCTCTTCCTACCTTCAGTGGAAACAACAGAGATTATCACAGATGGAGAAAGGATTGGGAGAATCTTCAGAGACAAGGAGAGCCATCTGGGTCAGCAGAGGTCAAGAAAATTCAACTCCTCAGCAGCATTGAAGACAAAATAATGAAGGATCTCAGACTGTCAACCTACACTACTGCTGATGAGATCTTCAGAGTCATGGAGAACAGGTTCGGCAATAAGGCAACAATTGTCCTAGAAATCCTAGAAGAATTAGAGAAAATGGCTCCTGTGAAGGGAAATCAACCAAGGAAAGTCATCGAAGTAATTCAGACTGTGGAAAAAGCCCTAGCAGATCTGACAGAGCTGGGGAGCTCCGGTGCGATGAGGAACCCGTTGGTCATCAGGACAATAGAGTGTAAATTACCTGATTTTGTGAAAAGAGACTGGTTGATCTTCATGCTAGAGTCAAGCAATAATGTCACCCCAGAGAACCACTTTGATCTGCTCCTGAAGTTCCTAAAAAAGCAGGAAGGCGTCCTGGAGAGACTTGAGCAGCTCAAAAGTGTGGAGAAGAGAGAGAGACCAGACTACTGCCCAGGAAGGAAACCTGAGAAAAGTTATGCTTCTACCAAGATGGCAAAGAAAGAAATGGGGGAAGTGTGTGCAGTGTGTGATGACTGGAGGCATCATGACAAGATCTTCTTCTGTAAGAAGTTTAGAGGATTGAAACTTCAGGAGAAAAAGGCGGCATTAAAGAAGCTAGGTGCATGCAAGAAATGCCTCGGATTGCATGATGTCAGTAATTCCTGCAAGGACACCTACCTGTGCAGAAATAAAGACTGTAACAAAGATGGAACCTCTGATCACCATTATCTCCTCTGTCCAGTTGGGAGCAACAGCAAAGTTAGCATTGAAACCAGCAGGAAAAGCAGTGTGGGGAAATGCAAGCTGACTGAAGAACAGGAACGTTTTCTGTCTGAACTTACCCCTGAGATGGCAGAGAGATGCAGAGATGCATTCACCAACAGTATTGCCCGGTCAGCTAACACAAACAAAAAACAGTCAGAGCTTTTGATAAGAAATGGGCTCTGTGAGCTTCCTGTTATTTTGATGCTGATGGAGGTCACCGCTAATGCAGGACAGAAGGTGGGAACACTGGTGGATCTTGCATCTGACACAAACTACATTACCCATAAGGCTGCTGACAGGCTGAGGTTACGAAGTGAAGATGTAACCTTGGTTTTGTATGGTGTTGGTGGGATGACTATGAGAGTGAACACAAAGAGGTACCTTCTCAGAGTCAGGATCAAGACACCCAAAGGCAAGGAAAGAGCACATGAAATGGTCTGTTACGGGCTGGATGATATCGCCAAGGTGCACAAAGTAATAGAACCTGAGAGGTTAAAAGAATTCTTCCCAGAGGTTGAGCTGGAGGAGCTAAGAAGACCAAAAGATGTCGAGCTTCTTATCAGCCACAGAGAGGGAAGGCTTGCTCCTCAAAGGAAGAGAGTGGTTGGGGACCTCGTCTTGTGGGAGAGTCCACTCGGGAAGACAGTGGGAGGAGCACATCCTGATCTCTTTGAAGATGCAGAAGTGGCAGCCCATGGGTCAAGAACCCACTTCGCCCGGTCCATGAGAACAGCTGCTGTCAAATATGAGGAGATTCTCAGAGACACATCTGAAGCAGAGGATTCCCTCCTAAAAAAGGAGCATCAGGCTAATGTAAATTTTACAAGAGCCACTAACAGTGAGTTTCCTGAATGGTGGAGATTGGAGAGTATTGGGGCAGCCTGTGAACCGAGATGTGGGGGGTGCAGATGTGGAAATTGCCAACCAGGAGGGAAGGAAATGACCCTGGCAGAGGAAAAAGAACTTGAGATCATTAAAAGAGGTCTCACGTACATCAGGAAGGAAGATACTCACGTGAACTCACCACACTGGGATGCAAGGTATCCATGGGTTGAAGACCCTGCCTCTCTCCCCAACAACAGGAGTGCAGTGGAAGCCACATTTTTAAGAACAGAAAGGCAATTGGAGAGAGAGCCTGAATGGAAAGCTGCATACACAGCGCAAGTACATGAGATGGTTGAACGTCATGCTGCCATGGAACTCACTGAGGGGATGAGAAGAAACTGGAAGGGGCCGGTGTGGTACGTAAGCCACTTGGTAGCACCTAACCCTCGCTCAGTCACGACCCCAGTGCGATTGGTGTGGAATAGTAGCCAAAAATTCAAAGGCGTGAGCATGAATGACCTTCTTTTAAAGGGGCCAGATGTTTTAAACCCAATTAGAGCTGTCCTGCTAAGGTTCAGAAGAGGTGTGTATGCAGCCCTTGGTGACATCAAAAAGATGTATAATTCAGTGTGGCTGGAGGAACGTGAAATGCATCTACACCGATTTCTCTGGAGGGACAAGCCAGAGGAAGATATAAAAGAATATGCCATCACACGGGTAAACATAGGAGACAGACCAGCTGGGTGCATAGCACAGCTCGCTATGCGTGAGACAGCAAGACTATCCATCTTTGCTCACCTGAAGGAGGAGTGCAGGATTCTGGAAGAGGATAGCTATGTGGATGACATCCTAACATCCCACAACAGTCTGGAGGAACTGATCGAAATCACACAAGGAGTGGAGGACATCTTGAAGGCAGGAGGCTTCTTTCTCAAACCTTGGGTGTGGTCAGGCCAAAGTGGGAGGCAGGTTGCTGCAGGGGGAATCCCACAAGAGCTGGAGGCAGCAGCACAAAAAGCAGCAACAATCATCCTTCCAAACCAGATGAGGGCTGAAGACAACAAGGCCCTGGGTGTTGGGTATCAGGCGGAGGAGGACATGCTTTACATGATGACATCAATCAACTTTTCCAAGAGGAAAAGAAAGGTTAGACTGGGTGAGCATCTTAACAAGGAGAATGTGAGACTGGAAACACCTGATCCACTGAGCAGGAGAGAGCTGCTTAGTCAGGTAGCTGGGCTTTATGACCCAATTGGGCTAGTCACACCAGTAAAACAGAAGGGAGCAATCCTTGTAAGGAAGGCCTTCCAAGAGGCTGGAGGTGGAAAGATGACTCGAGAGACCTGGGATAAACCGCTTTCAGAAGGTCTAAGAGAAGAAGCCATTAAGATATTTGAAGAATATGTAGAGCTTGGGCGTATTAAATTCCACAGAAGCATCACACCAGCTGACTGGAGAGGGAAACCGTGGGGAATAACCTTCTCAGATGGGAGTGATAAAACCTATGGAGCAGTGATGTACCTGAGGTGGGATACAGAGAGAGGAGTTGACGTCCGTTTTGTGGAAGCAAAGGCCAAGCTGACCCCGCTGGATCAAAAGGGAGAAGCGGCAAAGGCCGAGATCTGTGGAGCCGTTTTTGCAGCCAGGCTCAGGAAGTATTTTAAGAGACATGGGGAACTGAACATTGCCGATATAATGACTAGAGGAAGCACAGCAAGAGATCTGAAGGAAGGATCTGTGTGGCAAAACGGGCCAGAGTTTTTGAAGTGGCCAGTGGAGGAGTGGCCTAAGAAGTCAGCTGGAGAAGTTGCTGCCCATGCCAAGGAAAGTGTAAACAAGTTCCAAAGTATCCAGCAAGAAGTCAGCAGGTTCTGGAGAAAGTGGTGTGAGCTGGCTGGTCCCAACCTGTTCATCAAAAGCAAATGGCACACAAAGCGGCGGAATGTCACAGTGGGAGATGTTGTGTGGCTGGCGGATCAAAACGCTTTAAGAGGCCGATACAAGCTTGGCAGAGTTGTCAGTGTAAATCCTGACCAAAGAGGAGTCGTGAGGGATGTGAATGTGAGGACTTTTCCAAGCTACCCTGTTCCAATGAGTAAAGGAGGGACACTGCACAAGCAAAGGAAAAACACAGATAAACTCTCATCCAGAATCCCCTCCACCATCGTTCACAGGGATGTCAGACGCCTGGTGGTTCTGCTTCCTATTGAGGAGCAACATTAAGAGACAATAGTGTGACCTCCTTGGGTTCATTAACCAGGAGCTCAAGTGGGAGGTGTTGGGTTATATGCTTTATGCTGTTTATTTTTCATGTTTTTCTTTTATTATTTTTCACTCTGGGATGTGATGATGTCTACTTTGTGCATGGAGTGTGTCAGAGGGCAGTAGAGAGCCTAAGTGTTCACATGGTGTTCAGAGAGAGAGTAGAGAGCAAGAAGCTCTAGGTTGATTAGCCTTGGTTGAGCACCTGATGGGCCTTTTGTTTGTTTGCCCTGGGTGTGGTTGAGTCAGTGGAGCACAGAGACGCTACTGGTATGTATTTTACTTCATTTTCACACTTATGTTCTAGTAAATCATGAAATGAGATTGATGATACTGATCAGAATGTTTAATTTAAGAAATTAGATCAGAAATGAGAGAAAATAAATGAGAGGAGGAATGTTTAATTTAATCTGTATTATACTAAGTCTAATGTAGAGAACTATACATGTTTGCATGTGTGACTATGGTTCATGGTGGAACTAATATCTGTTTGTTTTTCTTTTCTTTGTTGAGGTTATCAACCTGCTTATGATTCAACAGAAAATGACAAAAGTCAAATAAAAGAAGTGACTAAGTTGATCTGAGTTGTTTCCTGCGTCCTCTGTGCCAAGCCTGGTCGAGTTCAGGCAGACAAACCCCAAAATAACTCGACACCCACAGATAAATAGCACTTAAATAAACTCAGTTGTTTGTACATTAAAATTTTTGTCAAGTTTTTCCCACTTTAACAAAAAATGAAATCCAACTATAAAAAAAAAAACATCTCAAAACTTGTTTGGTTGTTTTTCTGGATGCCGTTACATTCTTTGAATAGATCTAAAGACTGCCTAATAGTGATGAATTTGGACCATCCGTTTCTCAAAGCAGATTTTCCAAAACATCTGTTTCTGTTGCCATAGTAACATCCTGCAGAGCTAACCTGGTCAGCAGCAGGTTATCTTCAGTAAACTCAGTTTCAATCACACTGTCTGATTTCCTGATTTAGTCAGATTTTGGTCCTAGTTTAGTGCATAAAAACATCAGTCCCTAGGCCAGTCAGACACATTAGTTTTTACAAACAAACATTGCATGTCCGTCTGACAAGGATCTTATTAAAGAATCATCGAAATGAATTCACAGAGAATTAAATATTTATAGGGAGAGGATTCTACAACTCAGTGACAGGATAGGAGATTACTGGTTTTTGGTTTAATATGAGTGAAATGCAGAGATCATTTTATTTTTATTTAGTTATATTTACAGCACATAAAGAACTCCTGGGATTATTTTCATATTCTGTCAGCAGGTGAAGATGAAGAGTAAAAAATGTTGTTGTATAGATATTCCGAGGCTTTTACTTTGGTAGTTTACTTCCGCTTTTCGGCAGGTTAATTTGCATATTAGCTAAATAAATATTCAGCTCCAAACTAAATCTTTATTTAACAAACAAAATGTTTAGTTTGCAAATTAAATATTTAATTTGGAGCTGAATATTTATTTAACAAACTAAATATTTAATTTGCAAACTAAATATTTAGTTCCAAACAATATTTATTTAACAAAGTAAGATTTTTATAAATAAATGACTGATATACTGAAAAAATTACTTGCAAAAAAAGTAAACCCCTTATTTTCTCCTAAAACTCGCTAAATAAACATGAATATTGCTCCTAATTTTTGACTGCTGAATTTTACAAACGGCCCATAGTTTAGGAGAGCGAAGCCAGAGGACGAGTTTACTGAGGAAAACCTGCTGATGTTACTATGGCAACAGAAACAGAGGATGAAGGAAACTCTCTTTGTGAAATGGAAAACTCTGAGTTCCCTTAAAGGAATAGTACACCCAAAACATGATTAGCCTTCATTTTCTACTCACCCCCATGCTGAACAACACTCTGGAGTACTTTTTTGATATCTCAAATGCATCTGGAGATCTGGGAGGCTTCTTGCTGTCTGCTGACATTCAAATAATGGAGGTCTATGGCGCCCGAGGCAGAAAGGTCCATAAAAGTCCACAAAAACGTGTCAATATTCCTCCATACTGCTCGTCCAATGTATTCCAAGTGTCCTGAGTGGGTAGCATCCAGAATTTACTCGAAACGAAGTCATTTAGAATGTTTTTAGAGCATAAACAGTAGTGTATAGGATTTCCTGAAAGCGCGCACATGCGCGTTCACGACGCTACGGAAGCCGGCAGACCAAACCAGATGAAAGTGCGCATTCAGCGTCTGCTCTGCCGATAATGCAAGCGTAGAAGAAGAAATGTGCTGTTTACCTGTGCAAAGAAAGAAACAATGAAAGAAAAATGTCTGAGGACTTCAGTGTTGAGGAAGAGCATGAGTTCTTTGCCGAGCTGAATGCGCACTTTCATCTGGTTTGGTCTGCCGCGGTTTCCGTAGCGCCGTGAACGCGCCCTTCAGGAAATCCTATACACTACTGTTTATGCTCTAAAAACATTCTAAATGACTTCGTTTCGAGTAAATTCTGGACGCTACCCACTCAGGACACTTGGAATACATTGGACGAGCAGTATGGAGGAATATTGAAACGTTTTTTGTGGACTTTTATGGACCTTTCTGCCTCGGGCGCCATAGACCTCCATTATTTGAATGTCAGCAGACAGCAAGAAGCCTCCCAGATCTCCAGATGCATTTGAGATATCAAAAAAGTACTCCAGAGTGCTGTTCAGCATGGGGGTGAGTAGAAAATGAAGGCTAATCATGTTTTGGGTGTACTATTCCTTTAACTTTAAGTTTATTAAAGCAGCTTTGTGAAACAGACCCCCGGATGATTCCCTTCTGCAAGCAGTGGGATCTGCTGCCATCTGGTGGTGGAATGAGGTCTCTGCCTACAGCTTCCAGAGCAGAGCACTGGCGTTGGAGGAACCAAATAAAAAGTACAAAAGTTTAAAGGGTATAGTAAGTAGAATTCGACAACATTTCTTGTTTTCTTGCAGTAAAGATCTGCACCATGTGAGTCATCATTTCATTCTGGTGAAGGATATATAAATAATGTTTTACACTGTGGGAATAGCAGATATCTAATGTGAGATGGGGCTTATTTATAACCAGCTTTTCCATAAAGGAAGCCATTGTCTATATCCCACACTTCCTATAAACCTAAAAGTTTTTGCTCTTCCTCTTCAGAGGAGATTATCTGTTTCCTTATCAGGTCGACGCGGTGGAGCAGTTGGTACCACAGCAAAAAGTACTGCATCCACCCAACCTGGAGTTCATGCATGGTTCTCACTGCAGCTTCCCCCTCCAGTCAAAAATCAGGTTAAATGGCCTCGCTGAATCGTCCCCAGGCGTGACCAGATGTGTGCATGTTTTTTTGACCTGTACTTTCCACAGTTGCCCTATGATGGACTGGTAACTTATCATGGATTAACTGGTGGATAGATCCCAGCCGCTCTACAGGGACTGACAATGTACCCCCTTGTCTGTCTAAATGGATTCCTGCATGATGTGTATTTACTCATATATAACATCCAGATGCCTAATAATATGAAAAAGTAATGTGTATATACCTGCAGTGGAGCTTGTGGTGTCTCCGGTTCTTTCCCTGTGACCAGAAGCAGAATGTACAGGGATTTCCTCTGGTTTTTTAGAGGATTTCTTCCTTTGATCATTCTGTGTCTGTTGTGGACATAGTTTTATTGTGGAGGATGATTGGTCAGAAGGCTCCACTCCTTTCAGCTTCATGTTTGGATGGTTGGTTGAACTCTGGCCAACACATTCTGGAGGTTCTGTTTGTTGGTTGGGTTGTCTCCTGACACTGGAGCTGTTCATGAAAAATGGAGTGACTCCTCCATCCATGCCTGTGGCACTGGTGGCCTGTTTGAGGGACTCTGAACTGTCTGTCCTGCTTACTTTGCCCATTGCTGCTCCACCACATCCTTTAAACACATCTGCACCACAGGAAGTCCTGGGATGTTCAGGGTCCTGTTGGCTTTTCTCCAGATTTCCACTGTTCTGGTTTGCTGCTTTGGTAGAAAGGGATCCCCCGCTGATTTTCCTTTGTCCAGGTGGTGTTTTTGAGATGTTTTCAGTCCTTTTGTGTCCTGTGTTTGATAAGAAATGCTCCTCAGCACAAGGGTTTGCAGAGAGAACCTGTTTGGTCTCTGAAGTTTGGTTCCCTGCTGACCTTGAGCCTCTGGATGAAGCAGAGGTTGCCATAATACAACCTGCAGAGTTTCGAGTCTGTGTGACGATGATGGAATGGCCATTGCTGTGTGAGTTTGGTGCTTTAGGAGGGATGGATTTGATTAACAATGCTGTTTTACAAGCATCTCCTCTATTAATCTCCTGTTGGTTTAGTCCAACTAAACACTCCAGTCTGTCACTCTCTGTTTGATGCTGTAGTTGTTCATTTATACTTAAGACATTGCTAGTTTTGATTGAGAGATTTTTCCGGACACCATCTGGTGTCATAACTTCCATATCACAGATCTGTGACAAACCAGAACACGGCTGACGTTCAATTTGAGGAGCAATGAGAGCCATCTGCTCATCAGATATGATTTGAAGACAGATCTGGAGGTCTGCAGTATGAACATGAAAGACATTTTGAGCTTGTTGGTCCAGTGGCATAATCCCACAGGGTACAACTGGGCCATTTGGGTCAACACTGGATTTGTTTCCAGGTTCTGCTGGGTCTGGCACATGTCCCTGAGGAGGGTTAGAGCCTTGGTAGGAGAGATTATGTGGAAGGCCTGTGATGGTGGCAGCTGATTTCTGATTATATGTGGTGGGCGGATGCAGCACTGGAGCTGCAGGTGCGAGAGATCTCAGTGACTGTTCAAGCACTGAGTCAGTTCCAGCTTTTGAACAATGCATTAAAGTGCTGCATAGACCACTTGTATAGTCCTGAAAGCAGCTTGTGGTTATAGTGGTTGCTGCAAACTGCCTCTGCATGACAGATACACCAGATGCCATTGTGTAGCTGTGTTGTGATGTTTTGACTTGACACAGACTTGTGACTGTGCAAGGTAAGGCAAGGTGGTCTGGAGTTTGTATGGACGGTAAACGGACCGGGTTTCTGAAGAGGTTCACAGAAGCCGTCACCAGGGTTTGGTTGGAGTGAGCAGATAACGCAGTGGGAGTATAGCCCTCCACTGCATTTGGTTTAACCCCTAGTTGTGATGGAGATATAGGGTGGGGTTCATGGGCATTTGGTAACTTCAGCTGGTACTTGGGGAGGAAGCTGCTCTTGGCAGCAATAGGCACTGAAACAGCTGCTGAATTGCTAATCTGAGAAACAAGGAGGGATCCTTTTAACTCGGGAGACTTTGGGATCTTTTTGGCTGGGATGAAAGTAAAATCTGCCTCCTGCGGAGCTGTGCCTTCAGTGACAGATGCAGGGTGTAGAGTGGGGGTGGTTGGGTCAGTCTCCATCAGCAGAGGTGAAATGTCTTCTTCCACAGTTTTTTGCTTTTTCCTGTCAGATGGAATCTGGCCATCGCAGGGCTCTGTCATGGAGTGGGAATGTTTAGGAACATTTAATAATCTCCCTGCCTCTCTTTGGCTCAGAGACTCCATTATGGGGCCAGGTGCTGGTCTGGCAGCAGGTGATTGCAACTCTGAGGCAGACAGGTGCCTCCTGAGGGGAGCATTCGCAGGGTTAGCTGTTTGATCCAAAGAGGAGACCAGAGAAAGATTGGCAGAGAGGGGCGCTGAATCGGATCTTGTAGCAGTTTCTCTATGGACCACTGAAAGCGGTTTCTGTTGACCATGAACTGGCTCCTGAAGTAAGTTGGTTGAACATTTCCTCCCTTTCAAAGCAGCAGTATCTCCACTTTTGTCCGTATTGTAGAGCTTTTTAAATGTTCCACCCCCGTACATGTACCACTTGTTGTAGGCAAACTTCTGTTCTTTCTTCTTCCGGACCTTTCTACTGTTTGGTTCTCCAACTATGTTGCTGCCATCTCCGTCACAGCCGGGTCTGCTGGTGCACGCCTCCTCCACAGATGAAGTGGTGAGGAGGCTGTCTGTTGCGTGGTTGCAGTCTACGGCTGTCTGCCGGACCAGTGGGCGGTGAACAGATGATTGCTGGTTCACAGGCTTCTTAAGTAAACCTGTTGGGTTGATCTTGCCAGAACTTTCGGTTACATAATCTCTCTGGTTTGATAAGGTCGGGCTGCTTGTCTCTGGCTGCAGGAGGGAAACGCTGAAAGGCAGGGAGTTGCTGCGTGTTAAGGGTCCATGCTCGGTGCAGGAGGAGCCCTGAGTAGGGACAGAACTGTAGAGTCCAGACTTGGTTTGTCTTTGGAGCCCAATATTCTGAGCTGGGCTCGCTCTCATGTCAAAGTGGAAGGAGTCCTTGTAGGTGTACGGCATGGGAAGGTCAATGCTTCCTTGCTTTGACAATACAGTCTTTCTTGGCCTTACATTTTCAAGTTTTTTGTCCTCCACAACTGCAGTGTTCTCTGAAATCAGCTTGGATATTCTCTCCTCCAGCTTCCTCTGCTCCTGCACCCGCGCCTTGCCTTTGTCATCCCTTCCAGCCTGGCCTTCGGTTTCCTGGGCCTCCTCATCGTTCTCCCTGCTGGCTTTAGATTGGTCATCCACACTGTTTTCAGCTAAGACACTGTTGGGACTGGGATAGTGATCACTGCTCTCGCTGAAGCCAGAGTCTGTGCTTTCGTGACTCTGGGATTTCCCTCTAGATGCAGAGCTTTCCCACTGTTTGGAGAACAGGGTGGCTTCCTGTCTCTGAAGCTGGAGGTGCCTGCTGCAGGTCAAAGACTGTTTTAAACTTTCTGTCTTCCCTTTGTCCCCCTCTGGTGTGAGTTTGGTTTCTGGATTAGGAGCAGTTGAGCTGGGCTCTTTCTGTTCGCTGACAGAACTTTGCATCTCGGTATACTTTGCCTCACCACCCAGCTCCTCACATTGCTCATCCAGAGAGAAACTGGAGGAACATGTCTCTCTGGAGCTGTACATGCTGTCTAGACTGCCCGGGTTGCTCTGCTCTGATTCCGATGACTGCCGGGCATGTGTCTGAGTTCGTCTGTGTTTGTACAGGTTGCTCTGGGTCTTAAAAGATACTCCACAGGTGGTGCAAGGATATGGTCGCTCTCCTGTGTGGCAGCGGAGGTGCTTCTCCAGGACACTAGGCTTCATGCAATCCCGTCCACAGTGAGGACACACGTGTTTGCCTGCAGACTTCGGTTTGACTGCCGGAGCAACAGCAGCAGGTCCATTGCATCCCAGCTTAGGCTGCGGGTCACCGGCAAGGTGCAGAGTCAGGAAGGGGAGTGTCTCCTTGGCATAGAGAGCTGGCATGGTCAGGTGGAGGCCGCTCGTCAATCTGGCCTCTGCAGGAGGTTGAGGGTAATGCTGTAAAGGCACAGTTGGAACTGCTTGGATGTAAACCGCCGTTAGAGGCGACTGGATGTCCAGTCTTTTCTCTGCCTGTGCTCCGACTGAGCTGATATTTACTGGAACACTTGCCAGTCCCGGCTTTCCAGTCTCCATGGCAACGCTGAAACTGTCGTGATTAGCCAGTGTCGGGTCTCTAATTACCTGTAAGATAAGGACATTTGTTTTAATTTTTTCTTGGCCACAGGGGCCACTGGATTTATTCAAGCAGATTGTCAGACAGGACAGAAAGCAACTAAGCAGGTGATGAAGACAGAAAAGTCCTGTTCATCTGCGCAGAGAGCTGCTCATGTTCACTACCCTCCAGTATCCGAAACAGAAACACATCCACATCTAAACGGCATCACTATGGCGATGAGTTAGGGGGGAAGAGCAGGCGTCTTAGTTTGAGGCGAAGTTAAGAAGAGAAAAGAAAAGATGAAGTAAGCTGGAGAATGGAGCAGAAAGTCACAGAAACCTCCAGGTTCTGCTCTCCCTGTATTGTGTGGAGGTGTCTGGTACATTTCTGCATGTGAAACAGTGATTTCCATTTGTTCTGCTAAGGAGGGTTTAAAAGCACTGAGTTGGCATGGAGCATCATCTTTTGCTGGCTGAGGAGCATAAGCACACCCACGCAGCATGGAGGCTTTCTGCTGTTGTGTACAGAGGGAAGTTTTCTGCTGGTCGCATTAAACAAAAAACTCTGTGTGCACGCCATTTACCCCTGACATTATCCTCTGCATGTAGCAGTGGAGCTCAACCTGCTTTCACTTCCTTCTCACCATATAAATCAACTCACATTGTTTCACCCATTGCGGCTGAAGAGAAGCGAGTGTTAAAATGTGGATTAATAACTGCAGGTCCTGATTGTGTTACTGGCTTAAATTGATCCCAAAAGCATGTTCAGGAAAAAGTATTAACAATAAGCAAATATTAGTCCTGTGAAATTACAAATTAACTATGGATGTAATCAGTGATTTTTCACTAAGTAAAATGATTCAAATCTAGAACAACATAGAGAAACATCATCCATCTGTGCAGCTGAGCAGGAAGAAAGCAGGACAGGTAGCATCTAACAGGGAGCAGGAAGAGTTGAGGAATCAGGCAGATCTCACTCACCAGCGGGATGTTCAGCCTGATCGGAGCCTCATTCTCACCCACATTCCTCTGCTCTTCTCGCTTTGACAAGAACCGTTTCTTGTGATGAGGAAGCGGAAGACATGCAAATGAGACACAGAGAGAGGGAGGGAGGGATGGAGGGAGAGGTGATGCATGCTGGGGGGGGGGGGCAGAGATTACACAAAGAGAGCAGCAGGAGAGTCAGGCTCAGTGAAATGAAAGTGTTTGGTAGCAAAGTGAAAGCATGCGCCTCCTGACAGGGGAGGGAGAACCTACCCTGAGCAGCTGACTTCAGCCTCAACAGTACCTGACTTCACTTTAACACCCACCCACCCACTCACTGCCACCCACACAGCCTCGCACATCCACACAGCCTGCAGAGAACAGCCCACTTTCTGTCTTCACCGGGTGAACTTCCAACACGCTGATGGAGCAGGCTGGCATTTCAGCTGCTTTCTCATTAAAACAAACTTCCTGATTAATGGAGCAGCTGCTGTTCAGTGATTCTGGAAGCTAACCAGGGACAGGCGTGTTTCTGGAAGTCGCTTTTATTCACCCTGATTAGAAGCTAATTGAACCCATAAAGGAGCCATCAGCAGAGTTCATTGAGTCCCAGTGGAGAGGAGACAGAAAAAAACCACCCCATCCTCACCAGTTTGAGTGAATGTACACCCAGGGCCTGGCTTTAAAGATGCCAAACAAGTGATACATTGCATGAGCAAAAAAAGAAAAAAGTGTGCAACAGGTGGGCGTGCCGCAGATGATACCACATGTAACCAACTGGGTTCTTCCCCATTGAATGAGCAGATTGGTGGCCCCATAGACATAGGTAGACTTAATTTTCTTAGTTTTATAACTAATGGTAACAGTGTCACATTTAACTTTGCTTCATCTTGATTCAATTCAATTCTATAGTAGTTTATTATAGTTTGTTTATTTCTATATCACCACTTCACATCATGTCACCTTAAAGGAACTTTCCGGTTCATCAGATCATCCAGTCAGATTGATTCAAAGTTTTCTATCTAAGGAAAACTGCATCGACTCATTGACTCTTCAGCAATCCCTCACACTAAGCATGCTTGTAGAGACAGTGGAGAGGAAGAACCTCCAGCAGAACCACTGTCACTCTGCCCTGAAGTCCAGAATTCTGCAGCCGCCCTTCACCTGTTGACACTGGTGTTTTAGCGGGTGCTATTTAATGAAGATGCCAGTTGGGGACCTGTGAGGCGTCTGTTTCTCAAACTAGAGACTCTAATGTACTTATCTTCTTGCTCAGTTGTGCAAGGCGGCCTCCCACTTCTTTTTCTACTCTGATTAGAGGCTGTTTGTGCTGTCCTCTGAAGGGAGTAGTACAAACCGTTAGCCGCACTTTCGTCTGGTTTGGTCTGCCGTGGTTTCCGTAGACTCGTGAACGCGCTTTCAGGAAATCCTATACACTACTGTTTATGCTCTAAAAACATTCTAAATGACTTCGTTTCGAGTAAATTCTGGACGCTACCCACTCAGGACACTTGGAATACATTGGACGAGCAGTATGGAGGAATATTGACACGTTTTTTGTGGACTTTTATGGACCTTTCTGCCTCGGGCGCCATAGACCTCCATTATTTGAATGTCAGCAGACAGCAAGAAGCCTCCCAGATCTCCAGATGCATTTGAGATATCAAAAAAGTACTCCAGAGTGTTGTTCAGCATGGGGGTGAGTAGAAAATGAAGGCTAATCATGTTTTGGGTGTACTATTCCTTTAATTGACCCCACAAATGTGATGCTCCAGAAACTCAATCTGCTCAAAGGAAGGTCAGTTTTGTAGCTTCTGTAACGAGCTAAACTGTTTTCAGATGTGTGAACATGATTGCACAAGGGTTTTCTAATCATCAATTAGCCTTCTGAGCCAATGAGCAACACATTGTACCATTAGAACACTGGAGTGATAGTTGCTGGAAATGGGCCTCTATACACCTACAGTATGTAGATATTGCACCAAAAACCAGACATTTGCAGCTAGAATAGTCATTTACCACATTAGCAATGGATAGAGTGTATTTCTTTAAAGTTAAGACTAGTTTAAAGTTATCTTCATTGAAAAGTACAGCGCTTTTCAAAAATAAGGACATTTCAATGTGACCCCAAACTTTTGAACAGTAGTGTATATATATATATATATATATATATATATATATATATATATATATATATATATATATCCACTGTGAGATCAATAAAGTCTGATAAAATCTTATCTAATCTTAAATGTTAGAAAACCTTTTTTGGTTGTTTCCAATGAAACTAGATCAATGAGATACACATCAGGCAGCAGGAGAGCTGCTAAGAATGCAGACATGCTGAGTCAGCATTCGGTCATGAGGCTTAAGTGAACCAATCAGGACGGGAGAAATAAAAGAAGAAGAATTGATCTAGATTCCCTTTGTGTAAAGGGACAGTTACGCAGCAGTACTTTACAGAAGTACTTCTGTCTAACTTTTTGGTCATTTGTGGTGACTGTGGAAATGTGTCATTAGGACGAAAGTCAGAAAAAAACATGAAAAGAGGTCTTATGATTGATATTTATTGAGATATTAAGATAAATGTAAGAATTCACTTGTTTTGAGTTCAATTTTTCTTTGCGAATATTTTTGTTCTATATTATTATCATCATTCTCTATGGCAGAACCTGATCCAGGGTCAGACATCATGCAGTTTGCTGCTCCTCAGGTGGAATATTTGGAGACGGACGCTGCTCTGAATATTTCCACAGATCCTAGAACGTTAGCAGCTGAATTTAAAGAGACAGCGTTTTTTTAATACCTTAATTCTGTGAAAGTCTCAACACATCAACAAATGAAAGAGTTCTCACAGAGTTATTAGTTTATAAATAAATAGGCGGCGGTGTACCTGAAGGAGGACGCCATGTTGAGCTGCCATCTTTGATCAGAGCAGGAAGAAGAGGACAATTTGTGAGAGTACGGCTGGGAGGCAAGAAGAAACAACCGTAGATCATTTTACAAAGAAAAGAAGTGATAACCAGGAGGAAGCAGGGATGGATTCCAGTGTAGCCACCTTTCAGACCAAGCTAGTTTGAATCTAGTGACTTTCTTTCTCCCATGTTGATGGAGACTCTGGTGAAAACATGAAAGCATGAGTCACTCTGAGTTTATCAGCCAGGCCTTGGTGAGCGAAACAGTCACAGGGACTCTAATTAATCTGCAAATGTAATAATTCCAACAATCGTAACAGAAATATGATCCTTTTAAACTAACAACCCCGCCAACATATTTCCCACAAGTAGCTGCTGCCTACTGCAAACATTTGCATATTCATTAACTTTGTGATAACTTTCTGAAAACATTCTAATATAAAAACTGTTCGACACACACTGCAAAAAATCAAGAAATAAGTAAAGATTTATTAAATTAAGTGTATTTACCCCTTAATTTGAGCAGGTAAATGAGAGGATTTAGCAATGGAATGAGGATTTTTACTCTTAAAATAAGAGAATTAGATAAAAATGCTCTGTTGTTTGTTCTTATTTTAAATGTAAATTGTCTTGTTCCATTGGCAAAGTGTCTTACCTACCTCCTCAATCCAAGAAAAAATTTACTTATTCTAAAAAGAATTACTTATTAAGAGTTCAATATTTTTGAAGTGCAAGAACACAGAGAAATTTGATCCAACATAAACTACAAATCAACGATTAAAAACCTTTTCCTGTTCCCTCTTGAATTGGATTCTGTCGGTTCTTTTATTGCTCTTGCAATTTAAAACCAACAATAAAAATAAAAGACAAATAATTGTTTTTCATAATTTTCTTACTTATTAGGCCTACAGAAAAATGTTCCTTTTTTATTGCCATACTTGAATTGAACCCCAGTGGGCCTCAGCAGATGGCCGCTCACACTGAGCCTGGTTCTGCTGGAGGTTTCTTCCTGTTCAAAGGGAGTTTTTCCTCTCGACTGTCGCTACAAGCATGCTTAGTGTGAGGAATTGCTGAAGAGTCAATGAGTCGATGCAATCAGCTGGTTTTCCTTAGATAGAAAACTTTGAATCAATCTGACTGGATGATCTGGTGAACTGTAAAGTGACCTGAGATGATCCGATGTGAATTGGAGCTATAGAAATAAACTGAATTGAATATATGATTTTATTTAGGAGAGTAAAGCTGCAGCCTTCCTCTGCTTCCAGGCTCTCAGGGTGTGTCTGGTCCTCTACAGCTCTACTGGCTTCATCCACCCTCCAACGCCTATTCAATCAAGTTCTGCACATCTGATCACCTCCAACGAGCTGTTCATCAATTCACCGACCTCTCTTCTGCAGTGCTGTCGCCTCGTTAGGCACATCAGTTCACCTGAGCTGCTCCTTATGTACAACATCACTCATTTTAGAGCTCATACTGAAGGACATTTACTTTTCCATTGGCGGGCAGCAGGACAGGTTTGCTGCTGGGGTCGGTGTTCAGGTCACACAGTCAGACTGGAGTCTGATCCGATTGTTTGTTCGACTCCAGCTGAGGTCGAATCTGGACGGTTTCATGAGAAAGACTGTGAGCTTTATTCAGGTGGGATTGATGCAAGATGGACAGACCTGCAGCCTCAGAGGACACAGGGATGGACTGGACATGCATGTAAGCTGGAGATAGAGTCACCTTATAAAAAAACATGTATTTTTATAAATAAAGGCATTTTCTTCATCATAATAAATTAATATTTCAGATTTGTTAAAACAGTTTTCTTCCATAAGCTTTAAAGTCATTACAAGAAAAAATGAGAGAAACATCCAGAAACCTTGTTTTTACTGTGAGAGGAAGAGCATGTGAAGCTCCAGGAGCTTCATCCTCATTTTTAATCAGCGCTTTTTGCTTTGAGCTTTTAAATATTTTCATTTTTCTTTCCAAAGATTTGAATGTTTTTAATTTAAAGTAGAAAACAAGCTTCATTTGGTAAATATTGTTGCAGGGATCAGTTTGAGCCTTTACTCATCATTCCCAGATCCAAACCTGAAAACCTCAAATATATTTATACTTTAAAGCTCTTTTCGCTTCCTCTATTTTTTTTGTTTTTTTTTTTTTTACAGACAAAAATATTTAGTCCGTTATTATCTTTAATGGACTTCATGTTTCATTTTAAGGTGAGAGGAAGGAGTAACTGGAG